TCAGGGTTCAGGGTTTAGGGTTTAGGGTTTAGGGTTTAGGGTTTAGGGCCAGGTGCTGTCCAGCGGCCCCGGGATTTACGCCTTGGTTGTACGCCCGCATCATGGCTGCTGGTACCCTTGGTGCCCTTGGGACACGGCTGTAGCCAAGTCGAGAGAGGCCGACTTCAGCCTGGTCTGAAAGGTTTTGTTTTTTGCCGCAGGTCTAGCTGACACTCAGGCCACTCTGAAAGGTTCAGGGTTTCAGGTTTATGGTTTTCGGGTTTAGGGTGCCGAAACCCTAAACCCCTTTTCGGCTTAGGGATTTAGGCCTTAGGACTTGACAGGTTAAAGAGTTTTCCCGTCCTTACCAGGCCACTCAGTTTCATGTCTCAACACATCCCAACACTTCTATGGATAAGAAGCTGTCTTTTTCCGAGTGGCTCTCGCCGCCATTTCAGCAGCTGCATCTGTGGCGAGTAATCTTGAAGCCCCCTCTTTGGCAAGATACTCCCCCAGAATGCGACCAGGGTTCTTTTGCAAGTGCGTCTGAAAGATGGTCCGGTTATGCACCGCATCCAGGCTGTGATTCTGCTGGAACCTGTGTGATTCTGAACCACCTGCAAAGATAACCGCGGCCAAGACCGTCCGAGTGAGGCGGGTACCTGACAATGCCATGCAAGCATCGTTTAAAAGACTGCTGCTTTCGCGGGCGTCAAACCCCAAAATAAACTCCATCAGATTCGTGGCAAAACAGATAGCTAATCACGTCCAGTGGCTCATGTACATGGACGACAAGGAGACAACTGCACGCTGCTACTCCCAGAATGACCTTGAGAGTAGTTTGATGAACAGCTGCGGTGGCAGAGCTTCGCCAGTTTTGAAGGGCTTAAGGTTCAGCGGTTTAGTGCGTGTAAAGGTTTAGGAGTTCAGTTAGGGGCAGCTAGGAGGGTGTAGGGCTTACACATTCCCAGATTCATGGCCTAAATTCCAAACATCCCGCAGCAACAACAACAACAACACCTAAACACACATCCCGAAGCTAACAAACACCCCGAAGCAACAGAAACAACACCTGAACAATCACCCGAAACAACAGACACACCACCTACACAATCACCCGGACGCGGCAAAAACTCTACCTCAACAATCGCCCTGAGGCGAAAGGAAACACCACCCAAACAATCACCGTGAAACAATAGAAACGCTATTTTGAGCAATCACCCCGAAGCAACAGAAACAACACCTAAACAATCAACGCGCCACATAAAACAAAAAATCGCCAAAGCAACAGAAACGATCACCTAAATAATCATCCCGTAACAACAGCAACCACCTAAACAATCATCCGGAAACAAAACCAATCACCCCGAAACAAAAGGATTCTATCCACGAAAATAAAGTTCTGACATGAAATCAAACGAATCCAAATCCAGAATTCCCTGTATCCCAAAAATGAAAAGTCACCACCATGCGAATTATGTGGGAGAATCGGTTGAATTATCTAATTCCAAACATATGAAAAATCAACCTCAATCGACGAAAGGTTCAAACATGGAACCTTGCGACTGGGTGTGTGAACCATTCACAAAAGTCTTTGCCCACGCAATGAACTAACCAAACGACAGAGCTTCCTGTAGGATCCCAAATCAGAACAGTGTTTCACAGGTATAGTCTATACCTCATTTGAAAAGGGGAAATTGTAATAGATCAAGCTTTGCAACACAGCAGTATTCTTTCGCGCAAAGACATCTCAGGCCCATGGGCGCGCGCACCTCTGTGCGTGAAATCCCCTAAACCCTACACCCTAAACCCTAAACCCGAAACCCTAAACCCTAAACCCCTAAATCCCCTGCTCCCGCCAAGTCGTGTAGGCGATCCATGCCCTCCCGCAGTTTCGCGGGGAGCTCCTGCTGCAACCCCTTAGATCCTTAGAACCTCCGACAGATGGGGGTGGGTTGAACGTTCAGGCTTGTAGGGTTTAGGGGTTTTGGGGACCCGGGGTGTGCATAGCAAGAGTTTAGGAAGGCTTTGTCGGGGTGCTAAAACTTGGGCCCTTACCGAAAACTGATTATTCGCAGTAAGGAGTTTGCCATAGTCGCAAGCTCTTTGGAGCCCAAACCCCAAAAAGAAATCCAAACCGCCCATGACCCTTTTTTATTTTGCTTGTAGCACCGCCCATGACCCTGTTTATTTGCATGTAGCACCGCTCCATGCCCATTCCATTTGCTTTTAGCACCGCCCAAAGACCCCTTCCATTTACTTTTGGCTCTGCCCAAGAGCCCTTTCCATTTTCTTAGTGCACCGCCAAGACCCCTTCCATTTGCTTTTAGCACCTCCCACATCCCATTCCATCTGCATAAAGCACCCCCCAAGACCTCTCCCTTTGCTTATAGCACTGCTGCAAAAAAAATGCTTGTAACACGGCCCAAGTCCCAGCGCCCAAGACCCCTTCCATTTGCTTATAGCATCGACCATGACCCTTCTCATTTGCTTGTAGCACCGCCCCGGACCCCTTCCATCTGCTTATACAGCACCGCCCATGACCCTTCTCATTTGCTTGTAGTAGCGCCCAAGTCCCATTCCATTTGCTTATTATAGCACTGCCTCAGACACCTTCCATTTGCTTATAGCACCGCCCATGACCCTTCTCATTTGCTTGTAGCACCGCCCCAGACCAGACCCCTTCCATTTGCTTATAGCGCTGCCCATGACCCTTCCCATTTGCTCGTAGCACCGCCCCTGACCACTTCCATTTGCTGATAGCACCGCCCATAACCCTTCTCATTTGCTCCTAGCACCGCACAAGTCACATTCCTTTTGCTTCTAGCACCACCCAGACCCCTTCCATCTGCGTAAAGCACCGCCCATGACCCCTCTCATTTGCTTGTGCTTGTAGCACCGCCCACGCCCCATTCCATTTGCTTATAGCACTGCCCCAGACGCCTTCCATTTGCCTTTCAGCACTGCCCAACTCCCATTCCATCTGCCTATGGCACCGCCCAACTCCCATTCCATTTTCTCACATCACCGCCCAACTCCCATTCCACTTTCTTATAGCACCGTCAAAAGCCCTTTCCATTTGCCTTTGGCACCACCCAAACCCCCTCTCATTTGCTTGTAGGCACCGCCCAACCATTCCATGTGCTTATAGCACCGCCCCAGACCAGACCGCTGCTTGTAACGCTGTCCATCTGCATATAGCAGCCCCCAAGACCCCTTCCCTGTGCTTATATAGCACCGCCCATGACCCCGCTCAAGTCCCATTCCATTTGCTTTGAGCAGCGCCCAAGACCCCTTCCATTTGCTTATGGCACCGTGCAAGTCCCATTCAATTTGCATATAGCACCATGCAACTCCCCTTCCATCTGCTTATAGCGCCAATTCCCATCCCATTTGCTTAAAGCACCAACCCAAGCATGATAAAATGCCCACCCGGGTCCTCACGGTCCGCCGCGAAGCCAAGTCCCCAAAACCCTAAATGTCGAAACTTATTGTTTAGATCCCTAAACCCTAAACCCTAAACCCTAAACCCTAAACCCTAAACCCCAAATGTCCCTAAGTATTATTGTTTAGCTCCAAAACCCAAAACCCAGCACCCGACCCCAAAAGCCCCTCACCCACACACGCCTTGCCAGAACGAAGGCCGCGGCGGCGCCCGGAAGTTCGCCAGACCATCCATTCGCACACGCTTTTTGGAAGATTAGGGATCGGGCTTTATAGGTTTTATAGGGTTTCGGGGTTTTAGGGTTTAGGGTTTATCGGGTTTGTAGGATTTATACGGGTTTCGGGTAGAGTGGGCTGGGGTCGCTCACGCTGTGAAGCCATGTTGCAAAGACTCCCAGACATCCCCCGAAATGGCCAACGCAATGAACAGGCAGCAGGTCCCTAGCCTCAAGAACCCTAATTAAACCCTAAACCCTAAACCCTATTTGAACAGACCGCAAGAATCCTAAACCCTATTGCATGGTAAGCGGGAGGAAGTTGTTCCTATGCAGCTGGGACCGACAAAAGGCAACAGCGCTCAGCAATGCCACGAATGAGATGAGACTTTTAAGCTTAAGAGCCTTCCACCACCCTAAACCCTAAATCCTGAACCCTAAACCGTACACCCTAAACCCTGAACCCTACGCCCTACACCCTAGCCCCTAAACCCCTGTCAGGGTGGATCGAAGTTCATGCGACATGATCGAGGCTCGGAGCAGATTCTACAAGCACGCCGGTATCCGACCCGACAATGTGTGCGGGGCGGCGCTATATCAAGCATGGGGTTTAGGGTTTGTAGGGTTTGCGGGTGGAATCAACTGCTTCGTGCAAGAGTGTTCTACTCTGGGGATTCTTGAAGCGACAACCCCGATCGCAACCCCAAGACACAAACAGGATCATAAGAAGTAAGCAAAAGAACCAACGATTCCAAATATCGTTATGTGAGAACAAATGTCTGATTGGATTGGTTCGCATCTATCATTATAGATATTTCTATGCTTGGGATAAGGCACGGGAAACCCAAGATGTGATGGTCCATGAATATAAATATAAATATATATATATATATGTATATATATATATATTTATTTACATGTATGTGTAGGTATGTAGGTATGTAGGTATGTAGGTATGTAGGTATGTAGGTATGTAGGTATGTAGGTATGTAGGTATGTAGGTATGTAGGTATGTAGGTATGTAGGTATGTAGGTATGTAGGTATGTAGGTATGTAGGTATGTATGTATGTATTATGTACATATATATATATATATGTATGCAAAGTTCTGATCGGATGACCCCGTGTGTGAAGGCAATCATTCTTTGTGTGGCTAGTCGTTCTTCATGTTGTTTGTTTCGTGTGTAAATACCAGGTGTTTTTACAACCGACCGAGCTCCTCGAACGTCGCGCGCGTGAGGTTGGCTAGGATTCAACCTTCAATGCCTGTATGAGGATGGAGGGGCGTCGGCACACCTTTTTGCCCTTGCTTCAGCGCGAGAGAGCAGATCACTGCCTGCCAAGGTGCTAGTTTCAACCCGATCACACGGAATAGAGTTCCTGAAAGGCAGGCCCGAAAGAAGACATTGTCAGGCCACTCCTGTCCAGGGCGGCCACCCATGGGTGGTCCTCGACTTCCCAAAAAGCGCACAGAGCTGCTTGTGCTCCATAAGGCTCCTTAGTTGTCCAGTAGCCTAGAAAGCTAAAGCTTAACCTTGGGAAGTATATGGAGATTACAAGACCCCAAAGAGGATCAAGGTCATTCTACTCTACTACTACTTAGGCTCCTTGTAGTCCGTCAGGTAGTTCCGGAAGAAGTGCCGCCACTCTTGGAGCATGCCCGCCCTCTCCGAGGCCGTGAGAGCCAGGAGGTGGCGCTTGACTTCATCAGGTAGAGGCACCCGGTACCTATACTCCCCTTAGAACCGTAAAAAATAATAATAATATTTTTAATGTCCTCTTGGGTTTCATATAGACAGAATTTTAAAAAAAAGTTCCCAAGGGGGATAGAGGTACTTCTCCGACAAGCCTTCCAGCGGGCTGCTGTGAGCATCCTCCAAACTCTCCTGACTTCTTCCATCAACTGGGGCAATTTGCAGGCGAACTTTTGTTTTGTTTACTACTACTATTAAGTTATGTCTTTCAAAGTTGAGTGCCCTTCCCCCTCATTAAAAAGAGTTCAGCTATACCGGCTAAGCTTCGATAGCACAGCTCACCTGCGAAGTTTGCAGAGAGTTCAGGGCATCCGGGATCTCGTCGACGGCGATGTGCCTGCTTTCCGCACCGGCTGAGGCATCGCTATTCGGAAGTGGGTTTAGGGTTTAGGGTTCAGAGTTTAGGGTGGCAGCTTTAGGAGCCTTTATGGCCTCACCAGGTGCAGAGAGGCTTCATCCCAAGCCCTCAACGCAACGCACAGCAGGTGAGATCACCCATCCCTAGGGCCCTAGGGCAAAGTGCAAACGGGCTCGCATAATATCGGGGCCTGAATAATTAGAATCGGGCATCGGGGTTATTATAGTATATATATATATAGGGACCATAAGGAATTGCTAAGGGGAATTATTCCAACCCCCTATATTAAGGACCTTCGAGCTTGCAGCGTTTGGGCCTTGAACGAACCCCCAGAATACCTCCGAAGCCTCGACCCGCCTTAAATTCCCCCTAAGCTCGCTGGGGCTTGCGGTGCTTCTAGGGCTCTATAGTTTACGCTAAACCCTAAACCCCTAACCCTTCAACCCTTCAACCCTTCAACCCTTCAACCCTTCAACCCTTCAACCCTTCAACCCTTCAACCTAAACCCTAAACCCGAAACCCCATCCATGCGCAAGCGCCAAGGCACATCACTTGCCGGGCAAACTCTGCTGCAGTCTGCCCCGGTGCGGGTGCGATGCGCAGCCACGCCTTCCACGAGCATGCTGGGTTTAGGGTTTAGGGTTTAGGGTTTAGGGTTTAGGGGTTTAGGGGTTTAGGGGTTTAGGGGTTTAGGGGTTTAGGGGTTTAGGGGTTTAGGGGTTTAGGGGTTTAGGGGTTTAGGGTTTAGGTTTGGGGGTTTGGGTTGGGATGTTGCCCCCCTTATACTAACAGTCCTTAACAGGGATGATAATGGAGGGGGGGGGTACTATAGTCCCTATGAAGGACTGTTTGTATAAGGGGGAACAAACATCCCAAGGTTGGGTTATTTTCGATGAGAACCGCTGGCTGAAAACATGCTTCTTGGCCTGGGGCCGGTGGGTATCTAGACCTTCATCATCCAAAAGGCGGGTTGCAGGGACTTTCGTCTGCTCGGAAGCCTCCAGTCCTTGCCCCCCCCCCCCCCCAATCGAAACACGGCTGCCAAAGAGAAGAGGTACTATGACGAAGGTTCCCCTTGCACGTCGCCATGCCTCCATGTCACGCAGTATAGTCAAGCAAGCGTCCTGCAAGTCCCACAGTTGGCCACTGCCATGTTTCAAGCGAACGAAAGTTTGACCAGCCATAAGATACAACAGGAGTTCTCACCTTTGCAAAAGCAAATTTAGACCATTCGTCCAAAACAGTAACGACACCAATATAGAGAACCGTCCTGGAGTAATCCGTTGCTCAGACTGCGCTGCAGCTGCTGCTTGACCGCCTCATGCAGCCCAAAGACATGGCAACTCGAGCCCCTCAACTCTGAACCCTCTCAACCTTGCGCCCTCAAACCCTGGCTTGGCAGAAGGCAGGACAAAGGCGTCGGGTTCAGAGAAGTTTCTTTGAAGAGATGCTTGGAGAGGGGTTTGGGGTAGCTGGGCGTTTCGAACCAGGAACGTGGGCGTACCTGACTTCATGCAACAGCCATGACGGGGCAGCTCCGACAACAAAGAGAGAAGAACCAGCATTAGAACTCCTGAGCCCTGAAAATAACCCTGAAACCCGTCATAAAACCTGTTTGCCCTAAACCCTGAACTAACTGTCCGAGAACCTCTTGCCGGATTTTTTTCAAGAAGACTGATCAAGATTCTTGAGTCCCTAATCGGTGGCACATGGAATATTCGGTTTAAAGCTAGGACCCGCAGGGGCAAAGTCCCCCATAAAAGTGCGGCGATGCCTCTGTAAGCGGCGCTTGGTTTCTCGGGCGCTGCGCGCGCGTCTGCCCGAGGAAGTTCATGACAGAAATCCTCGGCTGAGAAGGCTGGAGAGTGCCCTAAGCCCTAAAACCCTGGGCTTTACAGGGTTCGGCTACTTCCAGGTCCAAACCAGACGTGCAGTGGCATAGATTCTAGCTCGTGCAACTTGGTGAGCCATGTGTTTGGCCTTTGGCGCAGCAATGCTCTGCGGCTCTGTTTCTGATTGGGTCTTCAGTCGTTGAGTGGCTAGCAAAACGACGACATTTTGGAGCAATGTGTTATGCAATAGTGTGGGGCACACTTCTGGCATGAGGCCGGAAACAAGCGTTGAGTGCTCCCAAGCTTGGCATGGAGACACGTCAGAAGTCAGCCGATGTGCTCGCGGCATGAACAGTGGTACCCTGAATGTCATGGTCTGCAAAAGCGAAAAGGATGTGCTGCTGGCGGCAAAGAAGCTACACCATCACTGAGACTGGGAATTCAATACATGAACAGGCCGCATATAGGATTTTCTGGCATCGATGTGGAGGACTACGGAGGAATTCGTGACACATTGAATACACAAAGGCCAAGTTTCTTGTCAGGAACAATTCGGCGGGCTCCAGAGAAGATGGCGTGAACCCGGCTGGCCGCTGAAGCCCAGTCGAATTTCAAGCTCCGGTTTGCAATGCTGGCCTGAGCGGCCTCTGCAGCCCACTGATCCAAAGAGCCTGTCTTGCAGCTGGCACATGTTGCTGCCCACAGTCCCAAGCCCCGAACCCTAAAGCTCTTTTACCCAACCCAGACCCACATGACACCCAGCAAGACGCACGCTAGACGAGGAAGCCTGCGCTAGACATGCATTTCCCACACAAGACGGCTTCCCGGTACTTGATTAACCGGATTCCGAGTTCCTGAGACGGGCCTGGCTCGTAGCTTAGAAAAAACGGATGCAAAGCATCGGCGAGGCAGCATGTTGCCACATCCTCCTTCCGAGCTGTATAGGGTGATTCTCAGGAGATCGATTTCTTGCAGCCTAGGGGAGCTGGGACCTCGAATCCGACTCAGCTACTGTCATGACAGAACAAGCAGGAGTTGAGGGCAGCTTGAGAAGGAACTGCTTGAAACTGCTTGAATCTGCTTCAAGTGCATCGACGGCTTGGGAGGCGTAAGTGTAGGGCAAAGTCACTGCTTGCATCGACACTAAAACTTTCAAAGCTGCATAAGTAGCCAGGCATGCTCTTTAGCGTAGTTACATGGTCCCTTAGTATGGGCCCGTAAACGGAACCCCTTATATACCCCTTATATACCATATTCACGGCCCATGCAACTACCTAAACCCTAAACCGTAAACCCTAAACCCTAAACCCTAAACCCTACACCCTGAACCCTACAGACTCTTCACCCTCAGCACGTGCATTCTCTAACATGACATCCTCATCCATTCCCAGAGCTTCCGTGGCCAGGCCCAGAAGCTCATTGTGCAAGTCCTCTCACAAGCTTTTCGTCACTTTTAAGGGTTAGGGTTTAGGGTCTTTGCTCTACACTGGCTAAGAGCTTGCGGTCTTGACGGAGGGGGGGTGGTGGAGATCAACTCAGTCCACCAAATGGCGCGCCAGCAGCAGAGCTTCCAGGGATCTGGGGCAATCCTCACGGTCTGACCGTAGCCAGGCTGCCTGAGCTCTTCGGCTTAGTTCAGATAGGGGCCTTAATAAGTAGAACAGGGTTTTGGGGGGATATCATAGTATACGTACGCAGGGATCATAAGGGAAGATTATTAGGACTTAATCCGCCCCGTATTGGCGTGGCTTTCGGACTGAGTTGTTGCGAGGATCTGGAAATCCACACGTGTTCCTGTCTCAGGTGGGGGGAGACAGGTAATCCATTCACAGGCGTGCTATGTCCATGCAGCGGGCAAGTTGGGATAGCTCTCGGTACGACTCTCGTAAGACCTGTAATTCTGGTTTGGGCTTGCAAGTGCTGCAGCCTAAAGCCATGAACCCGAAAGCCAAAAAAACCTGAACCCCAAACCCTAAACCCTAAACCCTAAACCCTAAACCCTAAACCCTAAACCCTAAACCCTACGCCCCAAACCCTAAACCCTAAACCCTAAAACGCCCGGGAGTCAGCCTCGCTACAATGGGCACCTGGTGCGGGTCTGCCGGCATGCTGGGCAGTGTCAGCTCACCCCGGCACTGGTAATCTATCCGTGCCCTCGGTACCACGAAGTTCCATGCTTCCATGGCTGCCTTGAAGAGGCCCCGGGCCAATGGCTGAAGGCTTTCGGAAAGCTCCTTCTCAAGAACGTCCTCAGTCCACCGCTCTTGTCTCTTACGTCCAAACACTTGGTCTCGTACCCGAGAGGCTTGGGAAGCGCAGGCGTGAGAAGTGCAGGCCACACTTGCAGAGGTTATCTGAGCACAGTAACCTAAGTCTGAGGCACGAAGTTCGTTGGGATAACTAAAGACCGACATTGGTGAATGGCGTTCCTCGGACTTGTGGCATCCCGTATTCTAACAACAACCCAGACGAGCCTCCTGTGACAAAACAACCCGCCTTAGACTCAGGCATCTTAAGTGCGGAATCCGAAACCCTAAACCCTAAACCCTAAACCCTAAACCCTAAACCCCGCTGTCTCGGCGAGTCTCCCCGACGGTCAGCTTCATTGCCTGGCTCATGGTCCAGCTCTCGCAGTGACGAAGGAGGAAGTTCTGGAAGCTGGCAATGTGCGGCAGCCTCCCCGTGTTTCGGAGAAACATCGGGCCCTGAACTATCTACTCCCCTTAGAACTTTACAAAAGTATGAACAACACCCTTTTTCTTGGGTTTTATGCACAAACAAACTACTAAGGGGGCTATAGGAGCTCTAAAGCCCTAGACGAGCCGAGGCCTCAAGTCAAGGGGGGCCAAGAGCCCCGGTTGCCAGACTGAGGAACCCATGCCATGTCCGGGCACGCGTGAGGTCGCAGGGCGCACTGTAGGGTTTAGGGTTTAGGGTTTAGGGTTTAGGGTTTAGGGTTTAGGGTTTAGGGTTTCCCCTGCAACTCGGAAATACCAGGCGAGGCGTGAGCCAGGCCGAACTCTTTCTCCAACGCTTCCAGGGGCCCCCCGAATGTAGACATCTTTTGTGGTAAGACAATCCTTTAGAGATGAAAGCTCTCTCGTTCGAAGGATGCGTTTGGTTCACCTTCACGGCGTGCAGTTTCTGACTGCGCAGTCTGAAGCACGCAACGCTGGAGCTTGAATTTGGTGAGGCTTTGTGATTCGATTATTCTTAAACGGCTTTTGCGGCTTGAGAAAAAGCCAAAGGCACATAATTATTCTACGTGAATGTTTAGAATGTTTAGATTGCCTCGTGGAGCGTCGGGGCTTAAGATCAGGGCCGTTTTCAACAAAGGGGCTTGGGATGGACGCCCGCATTCAAAGTCCATTTTAATTACCCGCACCCCTACAAACCCTACACCTGCACCCTAAACCCTAAACCCCAAACCCTAAACCCTAAACTCGAAGCCCTAAACCCGAAACCCTAAACCCGAAACCCTAAACCCGAAACCCTAAACCCTAAACCCTAAACCCCCCCATGGCCTGGAAACGGTAATGAGGTCGGCTTCGCGCTCGAAGGCCCGAAGGAGGAGCGGATGCTTTCGCGCCGACTCGGGGTTCCCCTTGAGCCTTGGGGCACGAAAAGAACTCTGACAGGGTTTAGGGTTTAGGGTTTAGGGTTTAGGGTTTAGGGTTTAGGGTTTAGGGTTTAGGGTGGTTCATATACCTGAATTGGAAGTATAGTAGTATAGAGTATATGACCCGAATTTTAGGGGTCATTTGGTCTCCGAGGAGCTCGTCCATCATATGCATGCCGCTGATCGGCTGCCAGCTTCGCATGACCTGGGCTTCTTCAGGAAGCGCCCTGTAGGTTTAGGGTTTAGGGTTTAGGGTTTAGGGTTTAGGGTTTAGGGTTTAGGGTTTAGGGTTTAGGGTTTAGGGTTTAGGGGTCAGGGTTTAGGGTTTAGGGTTTAGGGTTGAGGGTTTAGGGTTTAGGGTTTAGGGTTTAGGGTTTAAAGCTGCCGGAAGCAGCGCAAGAGTAGCTTCCCAGACCCCTGGGAGGATCCCAAAAAGTAGATCCCCTTAAGGATTCCCAAGAATGACCCGATAGTAGTATCGCGTACTATTTGGGGGCTCTACTTTTTGGATCCTCTCAGGGGTCTGGGTAAGGTCTGACTCATCTGAAAAGTCCATGTTGCATCCCAGGAGCCCAAGGAAGCATTCTGTCTCTGACAGTCCGGCGGGGCAGCTGATCTACATTCACCCGATCTTCCAGCTCGTCTCGGAGCCTTTCCTCCGCTTGCCTCGTCCCGTCATCATTGGGACACGCTCGACCTGCGGAGCTTTGGTTTTAGGGTTTCGGGGTTTCGGGGTTTAGGGGTTTGGGGGTTTGGGGGTTTAGGGTGGCTCTCGGCAGTTTGGAAGGTCTCTGGGGTTGATGCGGATCAGGGTTTACGGCTTTTGGTTCTTTTGTTTTGGCCATCGGATGTGGGGTTTGGGTATTGGGTTCGTGTTGAATTAGGTCCTGCCTGACGGGGCGCGACGGAGATGTTGCGACCACAGCCTCTCCAAGTGCGTCCGATCCGCCTCCTGTTGTCCTGCCGGCGCCGGTAGGTACCAGCTTTGTTTGGCTATTGCGTGGAGACACTCGGACATTTCCTCCGAGCTGCAGTTGCACAGCTCCTTCAAGACCTGCCAGTCGCTGGCCATATTCCTCATGAGATCCGCTGCAGAGAGCTCGGCGAGATCACTGCGAGCAGCGCGCTGCAGCGCCGTGCCCAAGCTGAGAAGCCCGTGAAGGAAGAAGCGTCCGGACCGGAGCTCTGTAACGGTCAGATCCCTCCATGTCTGGCGAGCAGCCTCTCCCCGAACATTGCTGTACCCCGGGCGCCCCGTGCGCCTCCTCCAGGCGTCATGTCCGGTATCTTCGAGGCGTCGATTTCCCCGTTGCAACTGGTGATTCTCTCCACCAATTTGCCCATGGCACTCTGGGCACTGGGCCCTCACCCAAGGCTGGGTACAGTTCCCAATGGTGTACGTGTAGCCGCATCGGCATTGATAGACTCCAGCACGCTGGCCTTGCGCAGTTCCTAAAACTGCAAGGACGGCTGCAGCCTCGTCACCGGGCATGAAAGGAAGAAGCACCTGTCGGAAGTTCTGTGGCGAGACGAGCAAGCGGTGCCAAAAGCTTTGCCTGTCCTCCGCGCTCTTGAGCGCCAGATGTAGGACTGGGCGAACCATGAAGACCCAGTCTGCGGTACTCGATTCCTGCACCTGCCAGGCAGGGCAATCGGGGAAGTTGGTCAGCAATGCTGTAAGCAGCTTGTGTGCAAAGCGGCTGTCTACGGAAATCTTCTCCGCCAGCGGCATGACCTGTGAACGGAAGTGGCCCAGGTACTGTGTGGAGAACACGGCCATAACTTTTGTAAGATCGCTGGCCGGCTGCAACTGCGTGCTGGATACGTTCGGAGCTGTCTTGCTCTTCAGGATGTCCTCCTTGAGCACAGCGTACGTCTGTCCCAGGAAGGTGGGATGGCAGAGGCAGTCACTGGGGCAGATCTCCTGTGCTCGCGACTTCCAAGGAGCCAGTTTTCGGGCTTAGTGACTCGTGACCAAGGGCTTCAACAAAGTCCAAACCCTGGACCGAAAACTGCCGAAGTACACCAAATGACTATGCTTCAAATGACTATGCTTATAGCACTCGCGCGTCACCCTGTGTTTAGGCTGCAGAGAAAACACTGCAACTGCTGGGAAAATACTGAAACTGACTTACAAGCTCCGCGTACTTCTGCCTTGGGGGGCAGAAGTAAGGGCAGAAAAAACCCTCAGTGCTCCTGTACCAATGCGCTTGCCGGCGGCAACCCGTCGCTTATGGCCGGCAGCTCCAGAAATCGCCACTCTGGGAGGCCCACACTTCGATGCTTCAGCTGCGCAAGCCTCTTTGGAGCTATACAAAAAACCCTAAAAACCCTAAAAACCCCTAAAAACCCTAAAAACCCTCAAAACCCTCAAAACCCTCAAAACCCTAAACCCTTCTAGGACGGCCCTTTAAAAAACATCTCTGAAACAGATTCCTGATGTATGATCCTCTTAAACCCAATAAGGGGAAGCATCAAATGTCCCATAAATCTACTAAAGCTTTGCATCCCTTGGCTTGATCTCAGGGCTTACTGAAGGGTTCCCACGCTAGGTGATGCTGGAGGCTTCCCTTCCTTGTATGGGAAAGCACACAGGGGCTCCCGAAAACTTGCACATGCTGCGCGCAGTGGGCAGTCGGATCTCTCCACATGATGCTCTTTCCACAACTACACGGAAAACACCAAGGCACCCCACCCAAACGTCAGAAACGCCTGCAAAGTCCTAGGCCTTCTACACGTAAACAAGAAAACTTTTAGGTTTTTTTCTTAACGTTTAAAAAAACCCTAAAAACCCCTGAAGAGTCCTTAAGCCTTCAAGCACCCTAAGAAGTTCAGACATGGGAGCTCGATCCGGTCCATCCTCAGACTCCTCGGTGGGCTCTTGAAAGCTCATGGGACGAACTCGGCGTATGGTTTCGGGCCGTCTTTGGGTTTAGGGTTTAGGGTTTAGGGTTCAGGGTTCAGGGTTCAGGGTTCAGGGTTTAGGGTTTAGGGTTTAGGGTTTAGGGTTTAGGGTTTAGGGTTTAGGGTTTAGGGTTTAGGGTTCTAAGAAAGTGGGAATGGGGTTCGACTTCTGATAGGGGAGTCTTCAGGCGAAGAAGGCCTCAAACTCCTACACACGCAGCCGCACGAAGCATGGGCATGCCAGCATTGTGTTTGCAAATGCCCCCCCCCCCCCCCCCCCACCCACCCGTTATGTTTAAAGACATTCTGCGAGCATTATGTCATCCGCCCCCCTCCCCCAACCCCCCCCGCTGTTCAAGCCTTGCAAGCTTGTTCAAAGCATATGAATGTCTGTGAAACCCCCCCCCCCCCCCCCCCCCACCCCCCCCTGTGTGGGCTTTGGGGGGGGGGGGGGGGGGTTTGCGCACGTGTGACAGCCAAAATTTGGTCACTTTATGCGAGATGACGGTCCGAGCAGGTCTTCAAGCATCTGGTTGATCATGCCAGGTGGCAATCTGGAGAAGCTGTTTTGATATCAGCAGTGGAGGATCAGCGTCAGATACGGCAAAGCCAGGGGTCAAGGTCGGTGGGGCCACCATGCTAACAACAAAGGTCGGCGAATTAGAGAAACACTTGAGCACGGATGTGGGCCAAGCTTTCATGTTGGACTCGAATCTGGGTTACTGCTAGGTTTCAGGTCTGAGGCTTCGGGCTTGTAAGTTTATAAGAATGCAAGGAATGCGCATGAACCGTCAACCCCACACCTAGCCAAACCCGCGCACGTTCAGCACGAGGCTCTTGACTAAGAAAACTTCCAAGGTCCGACGTGAAGGGCCCGCTGAAGAAGCTCCAGCAGCATCCAGAAGTTCAGACGTGACCTTGCCCGTGAGAAGGCCTTTTGCCTTCTGCATCCGCGTTTTGAACTTGCGTTTGTTGCTTTTTTTGCCTTGGGCTTGAGACCAGCAGCCCCGCATCTCTACGGTTGGACAAGGCAATAACTGTCTGATGTCCGAAAGAAGGATACACATAAGACACAGCTTCAGAAACATTAAAGATGAGAATAGCTTTGTGAGAAGAGAATTGCAAAGGTAAACAGACATACAGTCGGCGCAAAGGGCAACAGCACAAAGCCATTCGTAGAAACACAATGAAACTGATGTAAATTCGATATGCTCAGTTCTCCAGATACCCAAACTACGAGTGAAAAATGCCAAGTATGTGGATGTAGTGAATTTGCCCCAGAAAAAGACCTCTGTTGCAGGTGGGGTTCCTGGAGGTTTGTCAGGTGACGTTGAGCCGTAGCATGGCAAGCTCGCAGGCTCTTTTTCAGTGAAGATAGAAATGTGAGGTTAGACGACTATGCCCTTGTATCTGCGGGTCGTGAGTGGGCAAGAAAAAAACAATCAACTTAGCCTCAGGCTTAAGACAGCTCATAAGCACACATGAGACATCGACATAGACTTGCAGGAATGGTGCCGCAACAAGAGCCTACACCACAAACCCCCACGAGAGCCTCCGTGGTTACCTGGTCCGGGCGGTTGTCTTGGACGGTCTTCGCCGCCTTCATCAAGACCTGGCGCTGGACATGCCCAGAGCTCTGCGGGCACGCATACTCCTGAAAAGCAACCTTCGAAGGGTAACTGAAGGGTTCTGAGTCCTGATTGCATGGCCTTGGGGCCGGGTGGCTTTACTTTAAAGAAAGGAGGCTGCAGAAGCTTGAGGGACGGTCCTTCGCTCTAACCGGCCGGCAGTGCACACAAAGTTCACAACCCGAAGCCCTAAGCTAACGCAGCGGCGGCTTAAGCATGAAAAGCTTTAGGCGTGTTAGGGTTTACAAAGGGATTTGGGGGGTCCTGGGATGTTCCATTCTGATGCTCGGTTCTGGGTTTTTTGGGGCGTGCGCTTCTCTCGGACTGAGGGTGCCGCCAGCTCTCGAAAGTTTAAGCAAGGACCTCACCCGTGCGCAGCAGCGTGCAACAGGGGCTCAAGAAACCATCAAAAGCCCCGATGAATCCAAAGACAACCTAAAGAACCTGTGAATCAAGCCCAAAGCCCCCCCCAAAAACCTTGGACTCTTGAGAAAAGATGCCAACTTGGAGGCTGCAACTCCCCAGGCAAAGTCAAGACCGGACCCGCGCAGCCCGACAAAGTGACGGCGCAGGTCGCGAACGCCTTAGGGCTTCGAGGGTTCTCGCCAGCGATGTTCCCCCCCTATACTAGCAGTCCTGAATAAGGACTCTGGTACCCCCCCCCCTATTCTAGTCCCTATCACGGACTGCTAGTATAAGGGGGGACATCCCAAGATCTAGGGTATTCAAGGTGTTGCAGGTCTCTTGGGCTTGTAGGGTTTAGGGATCTACGGCTTGAGGGTACAGGTTAAGGAAGGGGAAGTCAGTCCTGGATCAAAAAAGGGTGAAACGAGTTTGGGCTGTGGGTCTCTCGGGGCTCACAGGTCGGTCACCTGAGCGCATCGGGCTCGCGTTAAGGTTTCGGGTGTAGGGCTCAGGAATCGGAAGCTGCCTGGGCACATTGTTCAACCGTAGGCTTAGAGGGTTCCAGAAAGCGCTGGAAGCTCTCACGATGAAGCAACAAGCAAAGCAAGCCCTGACCTTTTGTTTGGGGCGGCCAGATGCCAGAAGGGAGCAGTACACCTGAACTTCAAAGAACCAGGGGCCAAAACCAAATTCGGAGCTCTTGCCAAGACACTCTGCATGCGAGCCTCCAGGTCACCCTGGCAGGCCTGGACCAAGATTGCCTCAGCCCCGGGAAAGAGTTTTGAGATGAAGTTAAGCAAGTGAAGAACCCGAAAACCCACTTTGTTGTGGTCTACGGTGAAAGACAGAAACACCTAGGGATCTACCAGGCCCTGTCCCTGCTTCGGCCAGACTGTCAAGCTCACAGGCCTGTGTGGCCGAAGCTAACACCCTACATCCTAAACCCTTCAAGCCCGAGGCGGGCGACGCACCCAGTTGGAAATTAGGGATCCAGCACTATACCCAATGAAGTTCGCCAGGGGGCCATGGCATGGTGGTCGCGGTGTCCCACCTGCATCTTCAGAGGTCTTGGCTGTGGGGGGTTACCTCAAACCACACTCCCTATAGACCAACTAGTACTGCGACATACGCACTTGGGTCCCGGGCCTTCAGGGTTTCAGTGGGGAGCTATACATCCCCCGAGCCCAAGCTATGGGCATGCAGGGCTTACCAAGGAAGAGTTTAGACAGAGGGATTGAGACTAAATTGCACTTGTAGCGATCCTTGCTGTAAAGCCCCTCAACCACCACTTAATCGGTTGCAGCATGCTCGCCCAAAGACAGAAGGCCTTCTCGAATTGCTTTTGCAGCAAGTCCTGCGAATGGGCAGCGTTGCTTTGGGGTGGGCTGTGTTTGTCTGCCCCTGGCCTCGCTGACCAAGCCACAAATCGCACGGTTTAGGAGAATCATGCTTTATCAACATCTCTCATCAACCTTGGGGGAACATACCCGTACAAGGACCTGTGCCCGCTTGTCCTCCAAAACACCGCGGACAGTTGACGACTGGCTTGAAAGAAGCCGGCGCGCCAACTGTATCTTTGACGCACAGCTCCTGCAGTTCCGCCACAGCTCTGCGACAACCCGATATCACACGTGCCCTCAACCCGCAAAGCCGGGCGCTCTGCGACCTCACAGTGCAGCTTCTCAGGGGCAGACAGATTTGGGCCGGTTTGGCAACCCGAAACTGCCTAAACCCGAATGCTGTCACTTGGCTGACACCATTTCATCACACGCCCTTCGTTGAATGCAGCCGAGGCTCAGCAACGATCCGCCCAAGCAGGACTCCAGCCACTGAAGCGCGAGGACTTTGCTCACCTCCATGGAGGGGGCGGCGCCGGTGGAGAGGTACAGCGCCATGTCCAGCTCGGCCTTCGAAGTGAGTCGCAGAAAGATCAGGGGTGTATGCCGGTGTACGCGCCTTTCGAGATTCATGTGCTGCGCGTTGCTCTTGCCGGTTCATTTCAAACTGCGTTGACAACTCTATCCTATAGAGTACCTAGCCCGAAGCGCCATGGGGGGGGGGGGGAGGAGAAAGGCTCATTGTAGCTACAGGTGTGCTGTGCGTGTGCAGATTTGAAACGGCTTGGACGTGCACGTCCAGGCGTCATAGTGCAAATCCGATGACTGGCATAAGCAAGAGCCAACACCCCCGAAAGCTCCCTGCTCGAACACTGTGCAGCATCGTAGGGCTTGCAGATGTACGGCTGAACTTTCTGAAGTCTGGGTGGCCAGGGCTTGGGTCAGAGTTTCAAGGCTGAACGGCCTCCAAGCCGGGCGTTTGCGCCAGAGAGGTACTGAAGAAATGGCGAACTGCAGCAAGCTTCTCCCCGTCCGCACGCAGCTCGCGTTGGTTGTTTCGGTCGAACCTTCAGTTTCACTTGGGCCGTGAGGCTTCAAAGACATCTTCAAAAACTAACTTCTCGACGCCAACACCCAAACAGCCCGAAGCACCAAAACCCAAACGCTGCCACCATGTGGCCAGTGCCATACACGCTGGTACCACGGCTGGCTCCCAGGCCACAAGCCAAGGACAATCTCGCCAACCTCGCTCAACTGAAACCTCGCAGCCGAGTTCGGTCAGGCGCAGGCGGTACCCGCAAGCAGATCAGCCACACTGCAGGGAAATGGGGTTCGGGGCTTGGGGTTTCGGCTCAGGGTGCTGGCGGTGTAGGGGCTAGGATTGAGGAGGGTCTAATTAGGATGAGAAGATAGGTCCCACAGACCTTCTCTCCCAACCCCCCCCCCCTCAAAGTTCAAAACCTCCCAAAGGACCAAAACAAAGAGCTGCAGGCCCCCAAGCCCGAGTAAGCCTAAAACCGTTTTAACCCCAAAAGAGCTGTCTACCCTACCTGCACCACCACGAAGTCGCGAATCCGTGCCAGGAATAGGCAGGGATAACCCTGAACCCCAAACCCCAAACCACCCCCAAGCCCTAAACCCTAAACCCGAAACCCTAAACCCTAAACCCCAAACCCAAAAGCCCCAAACCCCCGGCTTAAGTCTTGCATTCCTGGCTACCGACCGGTCTGCAAGGCCGTCATGGCCTCATAGAGCTGCCGCATCCTTGGCTCCAGGAGACCAAAGCACAGCAGACTTCATTTTGTAGGGCTTAGGGTTTAGGGTCTAGGGTAGAACCCCGAATTGAACTTCCCCCTCCCCGCCCCCCAAGCCCTAAACCCCAAACCCGAAAAGCTTTCGGTTCCTTCGACTCGAGGAGGTTCCTGGTTTCAAGAATCCCTCTGAGCTTTTGAAGTGACAACTGAAGCCGGCAAGCCCAAACCCGAAGACCCTGAAGCCATGGCTAAGGTTTAGGGTCTGAGGGTTTATCGCGTTTATAGGGTTTATAGGGTAGATAGGGTTTATTGGGTTTATAGGACTTTATAGGGTTTCTCGGGTATACAGGGCTTATAGGGTTTTGTAGGGGGTTTATAGGGTTTATAGAGTTTTGTAGGTGTTACGGTCGTTTGACCCCAAGGTCTCTAACACCGAGCCTTGGAAAAAGGGCATCCAGCGGTCGTCTGCAGCTTTCCAAGGCGTTCCGGAGCTTAGAACCCTTGTGCATCTCCGGCCCCCCCAGAGCCGAAACCCAGAAACCGAAGGGTTTAGGGTTAAACCCTAAATCCTAAACCCTAAACCCTAAGCCCAAATTTAACCTGAGCCCATGCTGAGGTCGACCTCTCAAGATCGGTGTCCCAAACCCCAGAGCCGGTCCTAAACCCCCCTACTACGGCAGATCTCTGAACCGATCTTGTTCCATCCGGGCCCAGATGAATGCTGGCAATCTTTAGATAGAAGCCTAAACCCTCCACAAACCCGATAAACCCTGAACCCAACAACTCCCTTATACAACCCCAAGCTCCTCAATTCGTACTTCCTCTATGAGCCCTAACGCTGCAAGCATTGAGCCAAATGTCGGGGGACGCTGTCCAAGGGGTAGCACCAGGTGTACCAACACCTGCCTCAGCGACTGCAGCTTCTCCTTTGGCGTTTGGAGCCAGGGCTGTGGGATTGTCTTTAAACCCTAAAAGGGCCTACTTCATCAACCTTGGGGGGCTTGGGGATTTAGGGACCCACTTGGAGTTTGGCATTTGGGTTTGAAGCGTTGAGGGCCCCTAAGAGGAGTGTAGGGGAGTTGCCAGGCAGGGGTGCCCTTAGATATCATGCTGCTAGGGGTGTTGCAGGGCACGAAGTTATGTGAGCCTCGGTGGAAGGGTCTATCTGTAGGGTTTACAGGGTTTTGGGGTTGAGTCTCCTTCTCCTGGTCGATCTCACCGTTTGCAGAACCTCCTCCACGAGAGGGTTGGGTATCGGCAGATACGCGTGAGGCAAAACGAAGGCAGCCGCTAAACCGAAGCTCTGGGATTGAAGGGTCCATACATGTATATACTGTTTAGGGTTTAGAATTCAAGGCACATGCTACTCAGAACTCTCTGCTAGTGCCAGGCACACCTGCAGCAAGTGTGACTGCAGGGGCCTGCAATGAACACCTGGCTCAGTGCCGTGAGAAGCAGCTCCACTTCCTTGAGCTGCAGCTCCTCAGCCCATGGTCTTACTGCTGTTTAGTAGGGAATAATGAGGTACCCTATATCCCCCTGTATATACCCTTTAAGGGATTATATAGGGTACCTCATTCCCTCATTCCCTACTAACCAACCTTAAGCGGTGCTTCGGGATTGGGAGTGACACTGTCAGATAGTATGACCCTGACATGAGCATCTGAACCCTCGAGAAAGCCCAAGTCAACAAGCCGAGCCCTAAACCCTACACCCTAAACCCTAAACCCGACACCCTACACCCTAAACCCTACACCCTAGACCCTACACCCTAAACCCTAAACCCTGGCCCTACTGCGGACCCAGTTCGAGGATGTCGGCGGGCCGAAAGCTGTCCGAGGTCACAGCAGCCACCGCCGCTTCGGCGATGGACGGCAAGAAGCGATCGGCAGGCTCCTTTGGGGCTTGTTTTAGGGTTTGGGGTTTAGGGTTTAGGGTTTAGGGTTTAGAGTCTAGGGTTTAGGGCTGCTAATTCTTAGTTGTCCAGTAACCTGGGAGAATTAAAGGTTAGCCTTCGAGATTTTCTAGGGATTAGAATGCCCCAAGAAGGTTCAAGGTTACCTACTCTAGAGAAAGTGTCTGCCTTCCTCTTCCCGAACCCAAAGCTCCAGAGGCCTGATGTCCGCAACCCGAAGCCCCTCAGCCCGAAACGCTAAGCCCCCGCATACACCGCCACAACCACCGGACGTTAGAGAACCCCTCCTGAACACTGGGTCTAGGGTTTAGGGTTTAGGGGTTTTGGGGGTTTAGGGGTTTAGGGGTTTAGGGTTTAGGGGTTTAGGGTTTAGGGGTTAGGGGTTTAGGGCAGCCACTCCCCCCCCCCCCTCCCCTCACCTCAGAGCGCACCGCCACCCTGATGGGCGCCATGAGCCCCAACGACTCAAGCTTGGCCAAGTGTGGCAGAACCGGCCATAGCTTTCCTGGCGTTCGGGGTTTAGGGTTTAGTGTTTAGGGTTTAGGGTTTAGGGTTTAGGCTTCCGGCCACAAAATCCCAGCCTTAATACTTGCCTGTCGAACTGCGGACCTTAGAGCCTAGCCATAGCAGCATCTCGGAATCTACGCCGAACTAAAAAATGGGTTTAGGGTTTAGGGTTTAGGGTTTAGGGTTTAGGGTTTAGGGTTTAGGGTAACTGAACGGACAACGAAGCCTTTGTTCAGGGTCTCAGGGTTCAGTGTCCAGGGCTCCTTACCGAAAACCCTGAACGCTAAACCTCCAAGCCCTTGCGTACGGCACGACCTCTGGAACAGTGGCTGCCTTTTGGGCGGTTCTTTGCGGCTTGGGCAGTATAGGAGTCGGGACACCCTGGTTGTGGGGGGTTTCGGAAGTGGGGGCATGGAGTATTTGTAGATCTTCTTACGAAGGGCCCTCAGCCCTGTCATTGCAATCGGGTATCGGATTGCCAAGTGCACATCGGGCCCAAGAGGGACGCCTCTGACGGACTTCCTGGAAGAGTGAGATACAGTTGTGCACGGCAAAGCTGCAAGGCTTGGGCTTGCTCCAGTAGACTCTACTTCAAGGTTCATGGTGCTTATTAACCAACTATTCTGTACTTATAAGTGTACTTAGAACTGTACTTATAACTGTACTTGTAACCATACACTTAAGGGGCTTATAAGTGGGTTTTAGTACAGTTATTGTTGGTTAATAAGTATCATGAACCTCCAAGTAGTCTGTCTTGCACATGATGCAGTCCTGGCATAGCTGAGCACGACATCCAACAACCTCACGCAGCAGCAGCGCAACGCATGTCTTGGCTGGCACATGTACAACTTACCATATGGGGAAAGCTGTTCACTGGGAAGCTACCTTGCCCTCTACCTTGATCTGGGTGCATGGTGTCATGAGCGAAAATGGTCTCTGAGGGCTTCTGTTGTTCTTCAAGAATGCGAGTCCAAGAACCAGGGGGGGGGGGGTTCTTATTCTGGCATGTCTGATAGATCAGCTGTGCTCAGCCCTCAACGCAGCAACTCGGAGCTACATCTCAAAGACTATGGCAAGGCTTTCCAACGTCAGAACGGAAACAGTGCCACGTCATGATCCTCCAGGGTCAAGCCAGTCTCGAAGGCAGCGAGAAGGATGGCCTTAGAAAGCTGTCTACAATTTCGGTATATAGGTTTCCTAACGCCCCTTTGCCAACCAAAGCGCTTTGTGTCGCCTACAGACATGGAACCATGAAATTAGCACATTTGTTCAGGCACGGTCTAGGCTTTGGGCTGAGGGCTTAGAGTCTTGGTAGCCCAGTAACCACATTACAAGAAGGCACCCTTTGTGGGGTTGGTTGCTTTACTTTATCAGGGAACCCAGAACCACACAAAAGGGGCAAGGGTACCACTGGGCTAACAAGGTTTAGTTCAGGGTTCGAAGTCTGGCTCGGTGCTTTCATCACTCCGGGGGTGTGTTTGGGCTGTTCCGGATGGCCGCTGGACAAAGAACTGCGATGCTCTCTGCCCCAAGGCCTCAACCCATGCTGCTTGTAGCCTCCATGTCCTAGCCCCCATGCCCGAAACAACCTCCGGGGGTGGGGGGGGGAGGCTCGGAAAGAACTTCTGCAGCTAAGCCTGTCATCTCACTCTTGCTGCAAAAGACGACCCTAGGCCGCCTCAACCCATATCAATCAGACCTGTAGCTAGGCCCTAAACCCTAAACCCTAAACCCTAAACCCTAAACCCTAAACCCTAAACCCTAAACCCTAAACCCTAAACCCCAAACCCCAAACCCTAAACCCTAAACCCTTGAATGCCTCTAAGCTCAAACTCATGAGTTGAGCTCACGCGGCGTCGTGGCCATAGGCATGGCAAGCTCCGCCACTGAACCACCTACGAGGGCCGACGATGAGGTTTCAGTTGCTTCGAAACCCCGAAACCCTAAACCTTAACCCCTAAACCCTAAACCCTAATTAAACCCTAAACCCTAAACCCTAAACCTTAGGAACATAAGGGGGCAACCGAAACTAGGGGTACCTTAGCAGGGCCCCTATTATAAGGAAACCCTACTGTTAGGGCATCTTTATGTAAACCCCCCAGACGTCCCTCTGCGAGAGCTAGAATTGGAACCCCGCCGCGCCGTCCTCGCAGCCTTGACTGTAGGGTTTAGGGTTTAGGGTTTGGGGTTTAGGGTTTAGGTTTTAGGGTGTAGGGGGCCTCAAAAGCTGGAGGCCTGTACAGCGACAGCTCATGAACTAAACTCTACCTGAAGAACCCAACACCTACTTTTTTGTAGCTTGTTGCAACAACAACCCCTTATAAGATTGATTCTTAGGCAACCTACAAAAAAAGCGGTTTTTAGTTCCTGAAACGTCAAGTCTGACCATTTAAGACTGAGGGGAACAGCGTGAACAGCGCCAGCCCACGCCTTTGCATGTGCTGCCCATCCACGCGGCAAATCTCACGCATCCGGGTCCAAGGCTCGACTTCGCTCTCGGAGTGCGCCTGCGCAGGACATTGATCTTGTGATCGTAGGTGGTAGGCATTGAGGCTGTGGAGGCGTTCATCACATTGCGAGGCCGTTCACGATGGCCCACCCACCCCCCACCCCCCCCCCCCCCCCCCCCCCCCTACCATAGACCTCCACCCACCCCCCCCTCCCCCCCCCCCCCTCCCCCCCCCCCCCCCCTCCCCCCCTCCCCTCCCCCCCTCCCCTCTCCCCCCTCCCAACGAACACCCTCAACAAATGATCCCACTCTTTAGGGGGGGGGCTTTGTACGGTTCTAAACGGGATGAGTTTATATGAATTTAAAAGGGATCCATATGAGTTTAAAAGGGAATGGCTCGTATGATTTTAAAAGGGATCCATATGATTTTAAACGGGGTGAGACTGTATGAAAAAAAGGGATCCATACGATTTTAAGAGGGATGAGTTTATATGAATTTACAAGGGATTATATGATGTTAAAGGGATCCACATGATTTTGAAAGGGATGAGTTTATATGAATTTAAAGGGGATCCATCTATCCCAACCAAGCCAGCCCGCAAAAATAAAAAATAAAATAATTCCGGGGGAGCAAACTTTTTATATTATACGGCATCCGGGCAGCTGCTGGACTCCCCCCTTTGAAATTTGATTGCCTGGCCTCGGTACAAAAGCATTTTATAAGGAAATCTTGGCTTTGGGGCTGGCCTGGAGACTGAAGATTTCAGGGCCCGACAACTTCAGGCCTCAAGGTTTAGGAAGCCTCAGCCCTTAGGCCTCTGGATCCAAACCCAACTAGCCCGCAAAAAAATATAATTCCGGGGGAGCAAACTTTTCATATTATACGGCATTCGGGCAGCTGCTGGACTACCCCCTTTGAAATTTGATGGCCTGGCCTCGGTACAAAAGAATTTAATAAGCAAATCTTAGTTTTGGGGCTGGCCTGGAGACTGAAGATTTCAGGGCCTGACAACTTCAGGCTCAGTTCAGAAGCGATTTCTAGACAACGACGCCATTCAACAGCCTCGCCGAAATTTTGCATCGCCCGACTTTTTTTTCACAATTCCGGGGGTCCTCCTCAAATAGATCCCCCTGAATAATTTTCGAGTTTTTTTCCACAATTCCGGGGGAGCACACTAATCAGTATACAACATTACAGGGGTATTTAATATTAGGCGGTAGCGCAACCCTTAGTCGCCTTAGGCAGCCCGTGGCCCAAGCCACAAGCATTAGCCCCACAACCTAAACTTCTCCAAAGCAACCCCCAAACCCGAAACCGGCAGCTTAAACTCCAAACCAACCCCAAGCATCCGAGGACTCGAAACCTTCAACCGGGGAGGCCCAACCCACAGCCCACATGGCCTCCAACAAGGACATAGCTTTCTCGAAGACGCCGTGCCAGAGGAGCGCAAAGGGACAGTGCAGCCGCAATCGCTGTGTGAGTCCGGCCTCAGGGCCAATGGGCTTGGGCTCTGCACCCAAGGAGCCGAACCCCCAAAGCCCCTCTCATGCCCCAAACCCCATAAACCCTAAACCCTAAACCCTAAACCGTATGTCGCTTACGGGATGCCAGCTCCGGGGGGAATGAAGATTTCGGAGTCTTGTGAATTTCTTGGGGATTCTGTACTTTGGGGTCTTACCCTACACCCCATACCTGAGGAGGAGGATTCATGAGCCTAAACCCTAAACCCTAAACCCTAAACCCTAAACCCTAAACCCTAAACCCTAAACCCCAAACCCTAAACCCTAAACCCCAGGCTTTAGAGAGGATCTTGCGACGGAGCCGCGGTTCTGTTCAGCAGCTCATCTGCTTCAGTGCTGTCCTCCAACTGGCCTCTGAACACCTCAGGGCATCCTGTTTGGATGCAGACCCTAAGGGTTTAGGGTTTAGGGTTTAGGGTTTAGGGTTTAGGGTTTAGGGTTTAGGGTTTAGGGTTTAGGGTTTAGGGTAAGGGCACGAGAGCCCTGAAAAACCAACTGAAAGCCTGCTACACGCGGTGGCAGCGCCACTGTCTTTCTCTCTCTCCGTGTCCGTGTGCCCCTCTATCTCTCATCTGGGGACAGGGGAGTGGCGGATAATAATGAACCCTAGACCCTAAACCCTAGACCCTAAACCCTAAACCCCTACACTCTAAACCCTAAACCCTAAACCCCTACACCCTAAAGCCTAAAGCCCAAAGCCTAAAGCCTAAACCCTAAACTCTAAGCCATCTTGAACCCCAGCACCCAAAAGCCTCGCTGCGAAGTGTGCCTCGCCACAGCTCGCGGAGTGCCGCATTCTCAGAGACACGAAAGGCACCAGCGCCTCGTGTGTGGGCCCTAAACCCTAAACTCTAAACCCTAAACCCTAAACCCTAAGGATACAGGAAAATCTAAACACGGCACCCTGGACTTAGACCCACATCCCAACGTCTAAGCCTCCACCGAAGTAAGTGCCCCATACAGCCATCACGCCGTCATGTCGGCCCGACGGGAGGCAGTTTGGAGCTTTGACATTCCAGGCTTTGGGATTCTGCGACGTCTGTGGCTGCACATGGGTTTAGGGTATAGCGCCGCTGTAAGCCGGGCTTTACCGAGAAGTGCCAACCCGGCACCCAAAGGTTGGAGGTTTGGGGGGGGGGGGGGGGTTTGATATGGCCCGGCTCGGCCTTAACTCCGATCCCCGCAACTAAGCCGACAAACCCTTCTATGCCCTAAGGACCACAAATGCTGAACGCCACACCCCATATCCGAAGCCAAGACGGCGTGGCCTGTGCTTCCGATGGCCACCCACTGGCAGAAGCGCTCAATGACTTTTGCCAAGGCCCCCTCCAGGTGGCGAATCTGCGCCTTCCTGGCGGGCTTCTGGGGTTCGCGCCAGGCTTTGGCCCAAACTGCGCTTGGTTCTCAGAACTGGTAGGGTTTGGCATTGAGGGTTCATTCCTCGGCTGTTATGGCTTTGTTTGGCTCCAATTTAGGGTTAGTAAGTGGCTGCTTTCCTGCTATCATTCATCAACCCGACAAAGCTTAGTGCACCCAATTTGCAAATCTGCAGCAGCTACAATAATATGCCACCGTGCCACAGCCGAACTAACAACTACAGGCCTACATACACCCTAAACCCTATTAACTCTCTAGCTTTGCAATTTCCATCCGGGGGCTTGGTGAAGTGCCGGGCACGAGCGACAAAACCCGCAAAACTTGGGATGTTCCCTTTTATACTAACAGCCTTCATAGGCTTTTAAGGACTGTTCGACACACCTCCCCCCCTAAAAGCTCCCTCTAAAGCACCTGAAGGATCCCGCGCGAGCGATCGCCGAGCGACTCAGCTTGGCCTGTGCTGAAGTTGTGGGGGAGGGGTTTGGAGATAAGCCCTACAACCCTAAAAGAAGCTGAAGCCCTCAACAGCACACTGAACTCCAATGAGTCTCTCTGTGCGCTGGGGACCCTCCACTCTAAAAGCCTCCTACAATGGACATGCAATGTCTAGGGTTTAGGAGCACCCAAGGCTTCGAAGTACCTTAAAACCCCATAAGCCCTGGATCTCGACATGGGCAACCGACCTGCCAGCCGGCCGAGAAGTTCGGAATGTTCTGAAGCCTCGTGGCAAAAGTGTGCTTGAACCTTTGCTTCCGGTCTTCTGCCTGCTACCGGATAGACAACCCTGTAGCCTGAAGCCCAACTGCCGTCCTCAGGGGATCGTTTGTTACCCAGCTTGTAGCAGTGTCTGGAGGCTACTTTAATGTTACTTGGTGCTCCAACAGAAGGGTGTACGTGTCGAGCGAATGCGGGAAGGTGGCTCGTGAAGGCAATGGTGGCAGTAGTGCAGCAACTCCTCCTGAAAGGAGTGCTGCTCCACAAGGGCGAAGAGATCCTGCCTGTTGGCTTGAATCCTTGACTGCACTGAACAATCAAAAACCTGCAATGTAGGAGCCCGAATAACTAGAATAGGGTTTTAGGGTTTTTTGGGGGGGTTATTGTAGTACAACTACAAAAAAAGACCATAAGGGAATCATATTAGCAATTCTTCCCACCCCTATAGTAACTCTAGCGCCGCCGCACCTCCACCTGAGAGGTTCTGCTAAGATCGTCTTCTGAAATTCGTGCGGTGTCGCTCGTCCTGCGCTACTCCATTCGAATATAGGTCCGCATCCAGCCGAAACGCCAACTTCCGTTGCAGGGGGGCTCAACTCTGTGGACATAACCCCTAACCCTAAACCCGAAACCCTAAACCCTGTCTGAAAAAATTGCATAGGGGACCCTAAACCCTGTCTGAAAAAATTGCATAGATAACCGCGCGAGGATCAACTCGTGGGAATCTGCCGTCTGGTTCCGCATGGGTACCACTGCCAAACGCCACACGTTTCGCTTCACGATATCCACCAGCAGTCCGAGGGAAACGATCCTGGTCTATACTACTAATTGCTTAAGAACCCCCACCCCCAAACAAAAAAGAAACAAATAAATAATAAAATACTTGTCCTTCAAAGGGTGATATAGGGATTATTGGATTACATTTTTTTACTTATTCTTTTGGGGTTCTTTAGCAAATAGTAGGATAGGACAGCCACTCACAGGTTCATGTCGAGATTCAGGACCTAAGGCCTAAGGGCTGCATGTAAGTTCATGTGTGCGCATGTCGAGTGCATCTAGAAGGCTGATTGGCAACCGATGAAATTTCCTATACCCAGCGTGAAGCTCAAAGCCCCTGTCTAGCAGAGCTTCGTCGACCAGTCGCCGTCTGTGTGGTTGATGATGGTTTCCTCCCACGGCACGGGTGGTGCAAGCTCATCGAGCAAGGCCACAGAGAATCCTGCTTGGCCACTGCAGTGCATCGGCACCTGTATGTTCCTGCTGAAAGCCAGGTGCACGACAAAGAGGATCCATTTCTGAGGATCGGCGCACTGCTGGCGGCAAGTTGAGGCCATTTGCATGAGGTGCTGCAGCATTCGTGGTACCTGCTGGTCGCCGCAATCAAGAGAAGCCTGGACAATGAGCGCGCGCTGATTGCCATGGAAGAGATCCTGGCCAGGCGCAGTGCAGCGGGTGTCGTGGGCTCGCCGCATCTGCAGCAACCGCCCGCATGATGGGACGACCCCGAAACCCTGAAATCTATGTCTAAAATGAGGAACTTCGTGAGTCTGGCCTGAATGTGGCGCTGGGCATCTGCGGCAGAAGCGACACTCGAGAGGTTCAGAAGCCGCGCCGACTCCCCCCACTCTTTCGGCAAGAAGGGCTCGAGCTGCGTCTTCGCCGAACTGAAGGTGTAGATGATCCAGTCCATCCTCATAACCCTCTGCCTCTTTCTCTCTTGCTTGCTTGCTTGCTTTGGTGGCACTCCGGTGTACTCGCAGTATGGTCTTCCTGGCAGACCAACTGAGCTCACTCTCTCCTTGTTTGTTCCTTCCTTTCTTTCTTTCTTGGGCATCCTCACAAGCTGAAGCCCAAAGCCCTATGCAACTTCATGTGAGGCTAGGCCCCTATGGTCAATCTCCAAGCAGCTGCCCGAAACCAATGAAAAAGACACTCAGCTCGAACTTGGATGCCCCGGCCCTAAGTACAAAGGCCCTCAGAGGCAAATAGCATTCGAATCCTCAGTCCTGATTCCTACCGGTATTCATACGCAACAAAACAGGTTCTGATTAACTCCATATATAAACCCCAACACTCAACCAAGAGGCACGTAACCGTGGCTCATCGCTTGCGCAAGGAAGTCATGGAGGGAGCTATGGGCAGCAGGCCTCTGGCAACAAAGGCAGGGGACTCACTGGGAGTGGCGGTCCTGTTGGTGCTTGGGTGGTTCAGGGTTTGAGAGCCCTTAACCCTAAACCCTAAACCCTAAACCCTAAATCCTATATGCGTTGATGCCCTAAGCCCTAAATCCACCGAAGAGGCCCGCGAGGCATCCAAGCTGTCTTAAGCCTCACGTCTCAACCCTTGGTCAATGAATGCCAAACGCTAAAAGCTTAATCTGTCTGCTTGGACCGATGTGCCACAGTGTCTCGAACCCCTGTGCTCGCTGATCCACACTCGCCCCAAACCCCAAACCCCAAACCCCAAACTCTAAACCCTAAACCCTAAACCCTGAACCCTAAGGCCTAAACCCTAAACCCATTTTGGGATCAATTCAGCATTCAGGGTGGGCGGGGCTTGCCTCCAGCCGTGGGCATCTGGTTTTCCACCGCAGCTGAGGGAATGTCGACACCAGGCCTCTGCAGAATCTTGGGTGCAGGACTTTATGGAGCTTACTGTAGGAACGTAGGGTTTAGGGTTTAGGGTTAGGGTTTAGGGTTTAGGGTTTAGGGTTGAGGGTTTAGGGTTTAGGGTTTAGGGTTGAGGGTTTAGAGTTTAGAGTTTAGGGTTTAGGGTTTAGGGTTTAGGGCAACCCCTGAACAATCCTGAAACATCCCCACCTCAGCCCCAGATCCCTCTCCGCCCGGCTCTCTTTTGGTGGCCTTGGGCATGCCTAAACCCTAAACCCTAAACCCTAAACCCTAACCCTAAACCCTAAACCCCTAAACCCTAAACCCTAAAACCCTAAACCCTAAACCCTAAACCCTAAACCCCAAACCCTAAACCCCAGGTCTGGCCTTGGGCAAGCAGGTCGCCAGGAGCTGCTGCCTCGCCCATCGCAAGGCCTCCTCCGCGGACATCTTCCTCCTCCTTCTCACGGGTTTAGGGTTGAGGGTTTATAGGGTTTAGGGTTTATAGGGTTTAGGGTTTATAGGGTTTATAGGGTTTATAGGGTTTATAGGGTTTATAGGGTTTATAGGGTTTATAGGGTTTATAGGGTTTAGGGTTTAGGGTTTACGGAGTGTAGGGGGGCTTACTATTGGAGGCCAAGGTTCCGCGAGCGATAGGCAAAGCTAAAGCAGGGTTTAGGGTTTAGGGTTTAGGGTTTAGGGTTTAGGGTTTAGGGTTTAGGGTTTAGGGAGTGTAGGTTTGAGGGATTAGTCAACTGTGATGGGCCATGGGCAGTGCTATCAGCAAATTAGAAGGGTCATGGGTGGCGCAATAAGCAAACGAGCAGGGTCATGGGCGGTGCTATAAGCAGGTGGAAAAGGTCTGGGGCGGTACTATAAGTAAATGGAATGGGACTTGGGCGGTGATACAAGCGAATGAGAAGGGTTATGGGCGGTGCAATAAGCAAATGGAAGGGGTCTGGGGCGGTGCTATAAGTAAATGGAATGGGACATGGGCGGTGATACAAGCAAATGAGAGGGGTTATGGGCGGTGCTTTAAGGAGATGGAAGGGGTCTGGGGCGGTACCACAAGCAAATGAGAAGGGTCATGGGCGGTGCTTTAAGCAAGGGGAAGGGGTCTGGGGGCGGTCCCTTTTGAGCATTGCTGAATGCGCTTTGTTTTGGGCGGGTCCTGGGCTCCTAATGGCCCTCGACTATGGTGTTTGGTAAACGCGCTTCACGGCTTCTAACGGTCTTCGGGTTAAAGCTCTTGGCGACAGCCAGGCTCTGCTGAAAACATATGTCGAGTCATCAGGTACCAGACGGTTACGCTTCAACTTAAAACCTCAACCTTGAACCTGGGTTTAGGGCCAAGTTTTTAGGGTTCCTCAACCCTAAACCCAAAACCACAAACCATGCAATGCAAGTCTCTGCGCTGCCAAAAGGAGCCCGGGGATCGTCTGCTCCTTTGCTGTCCCATGCCACTCCCTTTTTTGTGGATCTCAAGTCCCACCGTAAACCTCAGAAGCCTTGAACTTCAACCTAACGAAGGATTTGGGATTTGGGGTCCCTTAATTTACGCAGCCACGAAGCCGTGAAGCCCAAGAAGGCTGAGGAAGCAGGGGTGTTGCCCCGCACCTCCGACACCCAGGTCTCAAGCTGCGGCGCAAGCTCCTTGAGCTTCTCATCCTGCCGACGGAAGTGGCCAGGCAACTGAGGTCTTCAGGTTTCAGGGTTCAGGGTTCAGGGTTTACGGTTGGTTTCCTAAATCTGATTTTTGGATCCTCTTGTTTTTCTGGTAGCCCAAAGACAAAGATGTCGTTTGGCAAGGGCACCTTAGAAAAGGACAAAACTTAAGGTTTAGAGAACTGAGAGTATGCCAAGCCGACTACATGGACTTGTCCTTCAAGAAGCTTGTGTGATCCACCTGCTGCTTCTCAAAGCGGTTGAGGAGCGGTGCTTCATAGAGACTCGCCTTCTCCTTGCTTTTTTTGGCATGCAGTTGAAGGTTTTCAGGGTTAGAGTCGGTCAGGGGCAGAGGGACGTGGAGTCACGCAGGTTATTCGCGCCTAGAGGAACTGAACTCTAAGCTAGCACAGAAGCCTCGTGGGGCCTTGAAAGCAAACCTCAGGTCACGCATTCAGTGCCCTCACCCATGCTTTAACGCGAAGCCTGGCACCCCTGCTACACACTCTTTCTTGAACTGATCTGATACGCAATAGCAATGAAACAGACACGAGCAGTCGCCAGAACGGATTTTCAAGCACCTATATTCCTATAGAACCTAAAACCCTGAACTCACCTTAAACCGTAAACCCTAAACCCTGAACTCTGGCACTCGAGTTCGAAAACGACCAAGTCTCTGCGTCGGCCACCACGATGCAACGAAAGGCCGGATGCACGTCGCATTGCCGACTCTCAGCGCCAATGGCCAAACGGCAGAGGGTTCGTCCCAGTGCCTCTGCTTGGTTTAGGGTTTATGGGGTTTAGGGTTTAGGGTTTAGGGTTTAGGGTTTAGGGGTTAGGGCTTAGGGTTTAGGGATTAGGGTTTAGGTTTAGGGTTTAGGGTTTATCTTTTCTGAGCCCATTGAGACTCAAGGGTTTTGGGGCTCTGCATGTCTTCGAAGGTCTTGAGGTCTGTTTGTGCCGCAAAGTGCCTGTGTGTAGAACTGGTTCAGCATGTCATACAGGGACTCATACACATCCTCGGCGTGCACCAGCATGATGCAACCACCCAGGGCCATGGCCTGCTTGATGCGCGCAATCTCCCGATAGATGGCGGCTATTGACTTGTCACCTGGGAAGGATGAGCCAAATATGACCGTGGGCATCTGCTCCTTCAACTCCTCCTGGAGGAGCAGCGGAGCCTTTCTCTGCAGCCCAGGCTATGACGGAAAGGAGAACATGTCTGAAGCCCGAAATCTGAACCTCCAAAAAAAGCTAAAAAGCCAAGTACGAAATCGTTTCTGCCTTCCGAATTCCTTCAGACCGTCTCACTTTCCCAAAACAGCCCAGAAGCTGTGGCCGCAGTCGGCCCGAAGATCAACAGGTGCCGCGCTCCGATCTGCGAGCGCTCTGGCACGGCCAGGTCACGCAGGTTGCCGTGGATGAGGTCCAGCACGGGCAGGCGCATGTGTAGAGCATCTTCGAACTCCTCTTGCACCAGCGCCTTGCAATGCTCAAAGAAGGGTTCCAGCATCACCTGGAGACGAGGCGCTTTAAATGAACCCCCAAATTCGAGTTTCGCAGCACAAAAAGATGCATAGCCACCGGATCAACGACAACAAGTTCGAAGAATGAGTGCCGTGCAAGAACTGCACAGCAGACTTTCCATCCTAAACCTCCGGCGTCCCCACGCCCGTGTTGCTGAACTCTCTAAGTCCTAAATCACCCTGAAACCCAAATTGAGCACATTGCCCCCACCAAAAAAAATTGCCAAACCCTAAACCCTAAAACCCACAAAACCTAAAACCTAAAAGCCTCAAAAACCTTATGTCCTCAAAAGCCTAAAAACCTAACAGCCTCAAAAACCTAAACCCCCAAACCCTAAACCCCCAAACCCCAAACCCCAAACCTCAAACCACAAACCCTAAACCCAAAACCCAAAACCCTAAACCCAAAACCCAAAACCCCAAAACCCTGAAGCCTTGCCTCTTGGATCAGCGACTCTGGGATGCCCCCGAAGGACCGCTGGAGGGCGTCGACCAGGAGGCTCGGAGGCCTGGAAAGGGTTCGGGTTCAGGGTTTAGGGTTTAGGGTTTAGGGTTTAGGGTTTAGGGTTTAGGGTTTAGGGTTTAGGGTTTAGGGTTTAGGGTTTAGGGTTTAGGGTTTAGGGTTTAGGGTTTAAGGTTTAGGGTTTAGGGTTTAGGGTTTAGGGTTTAGGGTTTAAGGTTTCGGGTTTAGGGTTTAGGGTTTAGGGTTTAGGGTTTAGGGTTTAGGGTTTAGGATTTAGGGTTTAGGGTTTAGGGTTTAGGGTTTAGGGAATTTTTTTAGGGGTGGAGGGTTTAGGGTTTCTGTGAAGCTGCAGCCACTAAGAGCGGGTTGCCCCCGTGCGTCTGGGAGCCAGAGGCAGTCTCGTGGTGGCTGTGCTCAGCTTTCCAGGGTTGGCAAATGCAGGTTCTCACAGGTTATGACGCCCAAAGGCTTAAGCACAGCCCAGGATAAGGACTGTGTGAAATGCTTCGCGCTTCATTGTGCGACTTCGTGACGTTCCTGGCCAAGTGAGACGGGAGGTTTGTAAGAGCTCTTGGTGCAGCGTCGAGCACGGGCGCGCCCTGATCCGGGGATTGTCCCAAATGCTGGCTGGCGCCGCGTAAGGGCTTATTTTTGGAGATGGGTTTGCGTAGCCGGCCCGCTGCCGGGAGCCATAAATAAGTAAGCTTTCTGGAGGACGGTGATGCCGGGAGACGTCTCAGGCAAGGCTTGGCTGCGAAGGGCCAGGGGCCGAAAGTGTATCGCAGGGTGCTGAGGAGGTTAACTTCAGCTACCGGTCTTTGCCCCGAGGGTGGGGCCATGTAAGCGGGTCATCGGCAGAAGGCACACGTGCATGCAATGTGGCTGCAGTTCTGAGAGTCACTCTCCACTTGCAGTGCAGAGTGAGGGGGAGTGTGAAGCTGCAGCCATTAAGAGCGGGTTGCCCCCGTGCGTCTGGGAGCCAGAGGCAGTCTCATGGTGGCTGTGCTCAGCTTTCCAGGGTTGGCAAATGCAGGTTTTCACAGTTTCGGTTGTTTTTAGGGTTTAGGGTTTACTGCAAATATAATTGGGCATTCGATCTTGTTACTTATATAGTGTTTTTTCGCTTCTACTGCGCATATTTTCTGTCCATGAGCACTTGTTGCTATGCATTGCTACATATTTCTTGCGATTTCCTTACTGTTCTCACTATAGTTCTTCCTGTTTGTTGCTAGTCATCATTACGTTTCGCCATTCTCAGGAGTGCTCTTGTTCATGCTCGAGCGCTGGGAGTGAATGTGGGGATGACAACGATTTTCACAAATTCTAGGGGTGTAGAATTTGCAAGATTTGGAAGTTTTCGGAGTTTGTGAGAAGGGCTTACAGGGAGTTTTTTGCTGCCTGCCCAAAGCTGGGAAAGGGTGTAAGGAGCAGAGTTCAGGATTCAGGGTTCGAGCTCCTTGCAACGAGGGTTGACGCATGCGTCCCAGGCCTTGGACAACAACCTGTGTAGCTTTTACCTCAGCACTGACGAACATCCGACTTGCCTCGGTTTCCCTGAAACTCCGACGGAGAAAATCATATGAAGTTCTAAGCCCTCTATACATCCCGAAAGCCTCAGCCCCCCGAAGCCGTGCCAGCCACAATATGTCTTCCAAGGGGCAGCTCTGTTGCTGCAGCTGGCAACTTCCGGTCGAGAAGCTTGACGAAGGCATAGAAGTCCTCATTTGTTCGCGTGGGTTTTTGGGCTTAGGCTTTAGCCGGCGCAAGCTGCAACCCAAAACAGGTAGCAAATCGTGTGTATATATATATATATATATATTTATGTATTTATTTATTTATTGATTTATTGATTTATTAACTTATATATATATATATACATATATATATATATCTCTCTCTCTCTGTCTCCCCTAAGCGCCACAATTGAAAAAAACGACCAAGCCCTATGAAGCCAACAAAAGCACAATACACCAGAGACCAGAGACTAAGCAGCCCAAAGCCGTTCCAAACCCCACAACACAAAGACTTGGCAGCAAATTGGCGTGATTGGGCTTGAGGGTCGCGTGAGGTTTGTGCAGTTTCGGGCTTTGGTTCTTCAGGGTTTGCAAGGGTCAGGGTTTCATGGGCTTCAGGGCTTCTGAAGGTTCAGGGTCTTGGGGCACTACGCTACAAGCCCCCAAACTGTACACAACGTTGGCTCGGTCCGAGCGGCACGCAGGCCCACAAAGTTCGCAAAGCCCTTGCTCGCAAGCCTCTTGCACATGTCCTTGCGTCGTGTCAGAAGGCGACCATAAAATCACGCAAAATCTTCGCATGATTTTCGTGCACGTGCGGCAAGCGTCTAAGAAAGCGCTGCCGAAGGCGTCGAGGTGGTCTGCCAGAATCTGTGAGTCGCGGCCAGAAGCTAGGATTGCCTCTGCAGTGCTGCGAAGCTCCTGGAAGCCAGGGAGGGTTTACGGGGAAGAGGTCAGGGTTTAGGGTTTAGGGTTTAGGGTTTAGGGTTTAGGGTTTAGGGTTTAGGGTTTAGGGTTTAGGGTTTAGGGTTTAGGGTTTAGGGTTTAGGGTTTAGGGTTTAGGCTTAGGGTTTAGGGTTTAGGGTTTATAGGTTTACGTGGAATGCTGGAGGCCTGCAGGGCTTCTGGTCTGTGGCGCGATTCTGACTTTAAATCCTTTTGGGAAAACTTCGGCAAGGAATCCCATCATCTACGGTATCTAGAAAGGGGCCTGATTCGCAACCCCTTTTCGGGCTCTCCGGCGTTCTGGATAGTGCACACCTGCTGGAAATCTCTTCAAGGCCATCCTTTCTTCACTTGTCGAATTGCAAGTCCAAGGATCTAGAGAGAAGTAAATACCGTTCAGGACGCCCTAAACCTGTGACAATGAACCCGCAAACCTTACGGTCCTAAATTCTTGAGCCCTTGGATTGAAGGTGTCCTGTGGGCTTGCCTCTCCGCGGGATAGCAAGAGGCATCGGTTCATCTTCGCGGCATCTAGAGCCCAGTTCGAGAGGCCAACGAAGCTCACCTTCGGGACTCAAGCCCAACATGGAGGCTTGTTCACCCTAAACGCCTAACCCCTAAACCCTAAACCCTAAACCCTAAACAGTTGGCTGGAAGAGGTCTTCTGGGCATGCGGCTCATGCCGAAAACACCACTACAACAACGCACCCGCCGAATCAGGATTGTGGGTAGGTTTTCGATTCCAATCCGCTGCAAGAAAGCCAGGCCCATGGGCCTGCTTCCCTGGCATCTCCAGCAGCTTGTGCAGCACCTTTCAAGGGAACTTCCATCACTCGAAACTTCCAAAATCCCAAAATCAAAATGCAGCTCCTCACCCCTGGGGTACTGTGCCCCCCTAAACCCTAAACCCTAAACCCTAAACCCTAAACCCTAAACCCTAAACCCTAAACCCTAACCCTCCCCAAGCGCCTACCCCCCCCCCCCCCCCCCACCTTGAAGCCTCTGTGCTGCCTTCCTACTGCCAGTCAATGCAGGGTTCCAGGCCTGCACGCCTCTTCAAGCTCACTTTTAGGGTTTAGGGTTTAGGGTTTAGGGTTTTTTTAGGGTTTAGGGTTTAGGGTTGAGGGTAATTACTTTACGCTGCAGGTTCAAGGTTTCAGGTTTACGTCGCCCGGCTGCCGAGGCACGCAAGCATTTACAACGGATCGCGCACGTACTATTTCAGACTGTGGTGGAGTTCGCATGATATTCCCCCTGACATAGGTAGGCTCCAATTCATCGTGGCTACATTCAGGTGTACCTTGTCATTGCAATTTCCGATTGGGTTGTAGTTGTGGCAGCAGCCATGGGCAATCCAAATGATATTGCGCCTGTAGGGGTCGTGTCGGGGTTATTTCCGGTCTGGCAACTGCCACGGCTGAGGGTCTCATCAAGTAGGCACGTGTTATGTGCTTAGACTACTGGTTCAGCATGAACAACAACAAGTCATTACGCCAAATCGTTTAAGCGGCCCCCCTCAGATTCAACACGCCTTTGAACGTTCTGAACTTCAGACTGAATACTAAACCTGCCCTAAACCCTGGCTCACTTTGGCTGACAACACCAAATCAAGCAAGTAGTTCTACCTTGTGTTCTGAAGTTGCCACTGATAATGTAGTTGCTGGAATTCATAGCCCACCCGGCTTGCCCCCACACCATGTTAAAGACTTGCCGTTACATCCAAAGCATTCTGGCCTAGATTCAAAGATGCTGAAGGTCAAGAGAACCCGGAAGCTTGCAGTCAGCAGCCTTTCCCCTGTACTAGCCTTAGATCCTAACACCTTCATCTTCCCTGGCGGCAGGCCTTCAGCGGTAGGTTGGGCGAACGCTCCGCCAGACCAACCTGCAACGTTAGGCTGCCACTACAGGGGCTTTGAAGTTAGTGAAGTTTCGGGCTACTGGATTGAAGACCTTGAGGGTTTATAGGGTTTTGGGGATACTCTGGGGTTCGTGTCCTGGCCTAGGGCTTGGAGTGTTGGGGTTGAGGGTTCAGGGGTTCTTGGTGCCCACCGCAGAGTCTCTAGCGACACCCATTCCTGCCTGCAACAGCCATTCAGAAAAAAAAAAAAAAACAAACTTATTTTGCTTCGAACATCCCCACCCTCTCCGGGTAGAGATACCCTGGAGTTGGCACTCCAGGGAGACTCTGGGGTTGGGCACTCGGATTCCAGGAACACTTCAGGATTGGGCATTTCAGGCACACTCGGGCACTCCCGGTTGAGCGAGGTAGACCGGGCGAGGAGAAGTGGCCCGGGCGAGGAGAAGAGTTGAGTTAAAATTCTAACAACCCCACACCGAGGGTGGGGAACAACGGGGACCTGCTTCTATGACGTTGGAGTTGGGTGCACCAAGAGCCATGTGCGCCGGAACTTGTGCAGCAAGAAGCCGGCAATTCTGTGCCTCAAAGTGTTTCAGGCGACCGCCGTACGAGCTCGACACCTTCCCATAGCCACCCTAAACCGTAAACCCTAAACCCTAAACCGAAGGGGCTCTTGCTCCCCAATTCGTAGCTTGAGAGATTTTTTCACCTGAAATGTGAAAACCGCAATCCTGTGAGCTGGTCTGATGGCCTCATCGAGGAAGACCAGCCCTCGCCGATCCTCTCCGCCCTCTGCGCAGGCTTCGGGAATCTCTAAACCCTAAACCCTAAACCCTAAACCCTAAACCCTAAAGCCTACACTCTAAACCCTAAACCCTCAACCCTAAACCCTCTTATACGCTTCAAGCCGCTGGTTGTCCCTATAAGCCTGAACTAAAACCCTCAAAGCGTTTTTCGTGTTTAGGGGGCTAAGAGCAACTAGGATCTTAATTGCTTCATGCTCGACAGTGAAGGCTCTTCAAGCAAGGCTCAAAACGACTCGAAGCCTCAGGCTTGCGACTCGAAGCCCTGGAGATTCTATGGGCTAAGGAGCCTGGCGTGGAGATGAAGGTTTCTGAGCACGCATCGAATCTCAAGTACTGGCCCTGCTGGCTGTAGCCCCCCGAGTGCACAAGGCCTTTGGCCTAACCTGACTTCGTGCCTTCTCATACTCGCGCGCATCGTCAAAGCGTTGCTCGATGTCCTGCACTTTGAGTAGGTGCAAACATTCAGTCTGTTACGCGGTTCGTGGTAGGACATGAGCAATGTCGCTCCCATGGGTTCTCATGGTTGCAAGGGTTCCTGGTTGTCTTGCCGGGTGCTGCAAGTTTCGTGGGTCGAGGTTGTCCCGCCCCCAAGATACCCGAAAGCCTTCAAAGCCCCTCTGGAGCACATCAAGGGCAAAGAGCTGTCAGGGTCGTCCTTGGCCATGCTGTGCTTGGAGCACTGATAGGGAAAGACCTTACTCTGATGCTTCGACAGGCCTTTCTCCCAGTAGCGCTACCAAAAAAGGGGGCGTTTTGTGATGTCACCAGATTTTGAAACCTTTTGCAAAACATGGAATCTTGACCATTGGTACAACAAGGAACGCGATCTTATGCCGCCACATCGCACACAGTGGAGGCCCCAGAAGAAATTGCAGATCCAGCTCATACGAGCCCTAAACAATGAACCCTAAGCCCTAAACCCTAAATCCTGAACCCTTAGCCCTCAACCCAAAGCCCTTTTGCGTCTAGGCCTCTTCGATCACTGCCGGGTGAGAAACCCTAAACCCTAGAAACCTAGAACCCTAAACCCTAAACCCTAAACCCTAAACCCTAAACCCTAAACCCCAGAACCCTAAATCCTAAAAACCCCGTCCGAGCGGCCGCAATGTCTGGAAAGTGGCTGAGCTGCCGGGGTTTGGTCGAGCGGTGAAACCGATCCTTGGGCTCAAGGTTTTTCATCTGCATACCAGGATGGGCTATTAGGCTCTATAATCCCTATAATCAATCCTCTAAAGGGCCTTTTTAGGGGGGTTATCGGGTATAATAGTCCGTCCTGGTATTGGTAGATTAGTATTTTAGTATGTTTGTATAAGTACATTGGTAGATTAGTATAGTAGTGTATTGGTTTGTTAGTATGTTAGTATATTAGTATGTTAGTATATTGGTGTAATAGTACATTGGTATATTTGTATAGTCGAACATTCTGCACCCAAGAGTGGCCCAGGAAAAAGGGTACCCTTTTCGCTTTAACAGGGCATATAAGTGAAGGGGATACTCTGGGTCCTAGCAGTAGTATATTCATTTTATTCGTACATTATCGCGATGCCCACCGCGCCTGCTGTGCGAACGCTTCCAAGCCAGGTATTACATTACATACCAGAAAAGTTGTTCTGATTTGACGCTACTAGTATATCACTATATGACGACATTATTCTTTGACTTTCTGTTTTCTTGCCACGTGCCTAGCTGATCCGTTGGGATCCAGGGGTGACATTTAGGGCTGCGTTTGTCTGAATGACTTGCAAAGAAACGGCTGAAGAACTGAGTGCCCCTGAACGTTTCGGACCAAAGGCCCAACCTTGGAATGTCCCCCCCTTATACTGACAGTCCTGCATAGGGATTATAGTACCCCCCCCCCCCCCTTATCGTCCCTATTAAGGACTGTTCGCACAACGGGGAACATCCCAACCCCAACCGCCCAAGCACCAGGCACCAAAAAGGCAAGCTGGACACCAACACCGCCATCATGCCTGCGCTTTTTGGAAAATATGCCACTGGGGGATCAGTCAGGAAAGCTTGACTGAGAAACCCGAAGCTACCTTAAACCCTAAACCCTAGACCCTGAACCCTACAACCCTAAACCCTAGAACCCTATAGACCCTAAACCCTAAACCCTAAACCCTAAACCCTAAACCCTAAGCCCCAAGAAGAAAGCGTGCCAAGCATCGCGTATGATCTGCATCGCAAGGCTCTTGGAGGAGCCAGGCTTGCCGACCTCAAAGCTTCCCATGGGTTTAGGGTTTAGGGTTTAGGGTTTAGGGTTTAGGGTTTAGGGTTTAGGGTTTAGGGCTTAGGGCCAAGGCCAGACCTGGGGTTTGGGGTTTAGGGTTTAGGGTTTAGGGTTTAGGGTTCTAGGGTTCTAGGGTTCTAGGGTTTAGGGTTGTAGGGTTCAGGTTTTAGGTTTAGGATCAAGTGCAGGCCACCTGGAAGGCACATGGGGGCAGTTCCTCCCAGATGGCAGCTGATATACTCTGGCCCCCATGATATATACATGTATGTGTAGATATATATATATATATATATGTATACATATACGCCTGTGTATATACAACAACAAATTCACGTGCCCACACAAGGACCGTTCTTTTCGTCAACGAAAATTGCCACAAGACCACGCAGTGTTGCAGACCCATCCGGCGCAGCATTGGCAACAACACCGAGGAAAGAACCGGTGCACTCTCACCACCTGCGCCAAGAATCAATGATGAGTGGTATGCGCACGTCGATGCATACGATCCTGAGTATGGCATCAAGTGCATCTGTCATGTAATCGCCAAAACCTCAGATCACCTTGTAGACCCCTGACAACCCTCATGCCGCGAGGCATGGCTACTCGCCTTCAAGATGTGATGCTGCAACCTCAGACCCGAAAACTTCAAGAGCGTTCCTCCAACTTCTTTCGTTCACCTTGAGTTTTTGCACCACATCCACCCGGTTGATGGGGAATAGGCCAGATTCCTTGGGGTGCAGGCTCTGGGGAGCTCACTGTTGCCACTTGACCTGTGGATGCACTGCAGGAATCTAGGGCTTAAGTGTTCAAGAGCTGCAGAAGGAACAAGGGAGCAGCAGGAGCTTTTTCAGCGACAGACTTGTCTTACAAACCTCAGTTCTTCTCAAGTCCTACAGTAGATGCTGCCATCTAGATTTTCTTGGGCACCTGAAATTTCAAGAAGACCGTTATACATGCTCAAACTTGCGGACATCAGGAAGCAGAAGCCTACCTTCACACGTTCCCTCTGAAGTCCCGGCCGAGACACTAAACCCTAAACCCTAAACCCTAAACCCTAAACCCTAAACCCTAAACCCTAATCCCTAAACCGGCTGAGGCTCATGGTGAAGATGTTCTCCTTGAGAGATTGGTTCGCCGCAACGCCCGCGGGCAGGGGCTGTGTGGCCTGCATGGCCTTATCTGGACAATAAGAATAATATTGATAGCAATAGCAATAGTAATAGCGCAATAGTAGTAGCAATAGTAGTAGCAATAGTAATAGCAATAGTAATAGCAATGATAGTAGCAAAAGCAATATTGATGGTAGTCGTGTTTGAAAATGGTAAGAGGTCAGAGTCCCTGATCACCATTGGATCGGCAGCAGCCCTGGCAAAATCCAGAATCCAGGTCTTGAAGATTCGTGCCAAACCGCACACACATGAAGTCACGCCTAAGGGCATGGATCATCTGATCCATCTGCTCATTCAGCAGCTCCTTGCAAAAAAAAAACTACATGCACCCATAAGCTGCAAGCCCCCAGGGCTCCCCCCAGGGAATCTACCTGGCTTTCAACTCCACCGGTTGAGGGTTTACGATCTATGGGCTTGGGCCACAGGGTTTAAGTGACTATATGCATGGTTGCACACGTAAACCTCATCATATCTTATGCCCTGGGCCTTGTTCAAGTTGGACAGGTCTAGAAGGGCAGGCCAGCTAAACGCTACATATGCACATCACGGTCATCAGTCTTTGTCACCCCGGATTGCAGCATGTATCCTGAGCGCAAGTCTGTGAACAACGCATCTTGCAGCCCTGGTTGCCACACCAGAGAGGAGGTCAAACAACTCATGATCCGAGCTTAAACCTCAATCCCTCAAGATGCAGTCCTCAATGAAGGTGGCTTTGTACCAGTCCCACGGCAGCTCTGTCCAGTACTCCTCCATCGCCTCCTCCCGGGCGAGGGCTCGTGATGTCTGCCATACACCTCTTTACCTACAGTTTTATGGGCTATACCTGCTAATTCAGGGTAGTTGCTACTAAACTGTAGGTAAATGAAGTCCCAACTGTGCCACGCTTACAATTTCAGGTCTGTGTGAGTCAGGTGATCATGGTTCATGCTATTCAAGAATTCAATTAGGCCTGGCTATGAAACTTGGGTTCACTACGTGCTTCAGACAAGACAACAGCACGAGCCCTGCACTACTGTGGCAAGTGAACCCCTTTCCCTGCCTTGATACGCCAGCGACCGTCATTCAATCGTATCCTTTCCGCAGTCCAGGTTCGCTCAAGCTCCTTTTGGATCTCTTGAAGCAAGGCCGTGCGGTGATTCGTGTTGAGACGGAACCAGTAGCATAGACAGATGGCCACGTAGAACGCTTTCAGCAAAAGCCCTTGCCGGCTTTCCTGTTCCTCGGATGGACGTCGGTCGTTCTGGTGCTGTAGCTTGTGCAGATAGTAGGGAACCAAGTTGGCAACGCGGCGCACGTCGCGGAGGGAGACGGCAGCAATGTCCTGCTTGTTCCGGAGGAACCTATGGCATGCAAGTACCTTGGAGTTCTTCGTTGGGATGCTTGCGGATAACGTGGCTTTGAGCAAATTTAAGTGCAATTAGGGTGATTAAACAGAAACATGAAGGGTTCGCAAAACAGCTTTCAAACACCCAGCTACCACCATGACCATGCAGCAGTGAATTGGGCGCCACTCTGTATCCCCGAAAGGAAGTTCCCGGAGGATGGCTTGCACATACCGCCGCTCTTCCGCCACGCTCAGCATTCCGAAGTCCCATGCGCACATGATCAGAGACCTCGAGCAGGAGATGTGCAAAGGTGGAGGTGCAGACACAATATCCATCATTTAGACTGCTGTGCCGATCGCTAGCCCCGGCATCTCCATGCATATCAAGCGTTTACTTACTGGGCTGCTGCTCAGAGGCTGTGGCAAGGGATACACTGCATAGACAAGATCGGTCAGCGGAACGAGGCATGATGGCCTCGTTGATGGCCTCTCCTTGAAGGGTGCCAAATCCAAGCCAGCAGTTGCGTGACTGTCCGACTTCTTTCCTCACTTGCGCGCAAAAGTCTTTCATTTGCGAGTTCGCACGGCAACCAAGCATCAACAACGTTACAATCTGTTCCCACCAAAACGATCATTTAAATATGATCGCACCGAGAAAGCGCTGCAAGAGAACCTCGAGTCGCGGTAGGGATTGCAGGCTGCGAAGACTCTCCTTAGTTGTCCAGTAACCTGGGGGGACTAAAGGTTATCACCTTTGGGATTTTAAAGGGGTTTATATTACCCCAAAAAGGTTAAAGGTTACCTACTCTACTAGGTCTCAGGTTGGGGGGAAGGGCGGTGCCCTTCATGGACCTGTCGCAAACGAGCTCACGGAAGAGGCCCACGCAGCTGGCCGTGTTGATCTCATCCAGAAAGACCCAGACTTTCCCAGCTGGGTTGCTGAAGGCTGCGGCAACGGCTTCAGAGACAAACTCAACAATGTCATTCTCTGCAAGACCGCCATGCACATCCAGCACGAAAGCCGAAATGTCACAGAAGAGCGCCAAGTACCGAATGACCGCACTCTTGCCACAGCCGGACTCCCCCATCAGCACCGTCGGCACACCCGAGTTGATGCGTATGTACAGAGCCGTCATCTTCAGTACAGTGTCCACGGTCAGTGCAAAACCCTTCAGACCTGGATGAGCATCCAGATGCTTGAGTGCGAAAGCTAGCAGCCCCTGGTCCGGGCAGACCCCCAAGAGATTGTTCAACAAGATCTCCAGCTCCCCAGGCTCTGATGACGATCTGCTTTCCTCGGAGATATTTGCGATCCAGAACCCGACCTTCTCCCAATCTGCCTTCTCCTTCTTGCTGTTGGGCTGCTTCTCCCAGTAGCCCAAGGCACGGACAATTGGGCTGAAGCCCGAGACGTGGGTGTCATGCGTCTTCTTCCGAGTGCGGCATTCCTGACAGCATTTTCTCTGGGGTTCAGGGTGAAGTCCAACATGTCCAACATGTCCTGTGTTGCAATATTCTTGCTTTTGTTGTTCTCTTTAATTCTTATTGTAATAAATCTGCTACGCTATCACTACCTGCTGATATATTCGTATATTACATCTAGCATTTATCCTCTTGGAAACCCCGCGACTCTCACCTGACAAGGTATCATCATCAGCTGCTCGCCCCACGTCTTCAGCAGCCGGAATGATCGACCTTTTGTAGCGTGGGAAAAAAGGGGACACGCACGTCATCGAATGAAAGCGGTTGAGGTTTAGCCGAGCAAGTAGGTAGATCAAACACTCGCCTCGGCAACTAAACCCTATTTAGGGCCGTCTCTGGCCTGCAGAGTTTGGATTTCGAGATATCAGGCTTGTGGGTGGTTTCAGGTTCGAAATGGAATTAGTCAGTAGAACTTCTCTGTCCGAGACCCCAACCTTCGTCTGGTGGTAGCTGCAGTATCTGCGCCTGCTCTGGCAAAAACGACTTCTGCAGCCTCAGCATGCCAGTTGATTCCACGCTCTGCAGATATTTGACTCATCAGTCGGTTGAGCTTCTTATGTTGGAACCCTGACACAGTTCAGTTGAAATTTCAAGCCAGGCTGGCTAGGGCTACAGCATCTAAACCCCAAGAGCAGAAACCCTAATTCAACCCTAAACCCTAAACCCTAAACCCTAAACCCTAAACCCTAAACCCGAAACCCGAAACCCTAAACCCTAAACCCTAAACCCTACCCCCAAACCAAATTCCCAAACCTTGAACCCCCGAACGCTTTGTGCGGAGCAAGCGCAAGTGGCGTGCAGCAAGCTGCGCTGCCAGGCTGCGCAGCTTCTGCATCCTCAGCAACCAAAAGGTTTAGGGTTTAGGGTTCAGGGTTTAGGGTTTAGGGTTTGGGGTTTAGGGGTTTAGGGGTTTAGGGTTTAGGGTCCCATCTAGCGTCCGAAACCCAGTACCAACATGAAACCGTTACACCGCTTGAACCATTGCTAAGCATGGTACCCCTTAAGCCCAGTAAGGGACGAAGATATCCCAAGGGCCGAGATGGGGTCTACCTGGCTCACTACTCCGACTGGCCATGGGAGGATAGGGTTTAGGGTTTAGGGTTTAGGGTTTAGGGTTTAGGGTTTAGGGTTTAGGGTTTAGGGTTTAGGGTTTAGGGTTTAGGGTTTAGGGTTTAGGGGGTTTAGGGTTTAGGGTTTAGGGTTTAGGGTTTAGGGTTTAGGGTTTAGGGTTTAGGGTTTAGGGTTTAGGGTTTAGGGTTTAGGGTTTAGGGTTTAGGGTGTAGGGTGTAGGGTGTAGGGTGTCGGGTTTGCGGTTTGCGGTTTGCGGTTTGCGGTTTGCGGTTTGGGGTTTGGGGTTTGGGGTTTGGGGTTTGGGGTTTGGGGTTTGGGGTTTGGGGTTTGGGGTTTGGGGTTTTTGTTTAGGGTTTAGGGTTTAAGGTTAGGATGCAGGGCGTGTGGTTGAAGGGCTAGGGTGCAGGAACCCATGAGTATCCTAAACCCAATCCGAGCCGTAGATGTAGAATGATTGAACACCCAACAAACCTCAAATGTGTCTGAGGCATTGTGTGTGTGTCCAGGGTTAAACTTTGCTTGGTGTGATCGGGTTCAAAGATGGCTGTCACAAACCATTCGCCTTGCTGTGCAGGCCGTCTGCTTTTCTTACTTCTCATCTGTTCCGCACGCGCCTGGCAACCGCATCATAGCCCCTGCGTGCCGTCGCGACCAGTGGCACAATGTCGATCCACGCGTACATGTTGCAATGATGTACAACTTCTGGCAGTATTTTGCGCGTCTGCTGCACCGCGCATCCCGGGTTGACAATTACCCACGAACCCCCCCTCAGCCCCCCACCCCGAACATAGCCCTCAATATTCCAGATGATCAGTTTCCTGATTAAGGCGCCCCCCTTCATTCTTGGGGTGTGGGAACACAACAGGGGAAGAAAACCCTGATTCAAATCCTGTACACAACAGGGGAAGAAAACCCTGATTCAAATCCCTGAACTAAATCCTATAAGCTCTGCTCTTCCTGGCCTGCCTGTCGGTGAACCTGCGCTCCCAAACCTTTGAATGCTTCTGGCCTAGCCCCCCAAATGCTTAAAAGAACTGCAGGGTGCAACTTTTATAGCCCAGAATCTACACCCCTAAACCCTAAACCCTTTTGCAACGAGCTTGGCTATGCTCCCTAAACCCTGAACCCTAAACCCTAAAGGTCTAGAACCCTGCAAAGCCAGACGCCAGGCTGCAGCCGCTGCGATGCCTGCGCGTGACGACTGAAGCCTTGCAACCCGCGCACAGCCGGCCTTTGGGCGAGCTCGGGGCTTCGGGTTTGGGGGTTAGGAGGGTTTAGGGTTTAGGGTTTAGGGTTTAGGACTTTAGGCGGGAAGATTAGAGGGTTCTTTTGTCACCAGTCTAGCCACGCACTACGGGATTGCAGCCTAGGAGGAAGATGGAGTTTAGGGCTTTGGGTTTAGTACCTTAAGGTTGCGTGTCAGTTGTGTACAAAGCTTTTGGATCTTGACAGGGTGGGGTCACGACTCGCCATCCTTGGACCATACATTTTGGACTTACTTTTCTTAGAATATTTCGCGTGCGCACAAGAGCACCCCACACCTCCATGCCATGCTCCCAACTGCGCAAGGATGCTTACTGAGCCTCTGAAGAGTTTCTTCATGCCTAGCATGGGAAGGGGGCTGCTGGGGGGGGGGGCTGGAATGCCGAGGTACTCAAACGTCTGGCAGACGATTCTGGCAAAGTGCACCAGCAGCACCTGGCTCAGGCCCGGCGTTTGGGCGTTGGGGTTTCAGGCGCAGGCTTTCCGTTGGACTGACCGGTGGCTCTAAACCCTATAAACCCTAAACCCTAAACCCTTTTTGAGCACGGACTGGGAAACTGCTAAACATACCCACATTTCTCTCGACTCGGGCTGGCACAGGCGCTGCTCGCAGTGCAGGTGTACCGTTCTCCACTTCTGGACCGTAGGCCTCATCCAACGGTTCAAGGCCGAGCCGACCATATCTTAGGGGCTGAATACCCTTGCCCCAAGAAGGTTAACCTTTTTTTTGTGATAGGATTCTACATAAGCAAGAAGGGTAAAGGCTGACTACCCGGCCCCTAAGATACACTGTAAGATATATGTAGGACCTTGGCAATGCAAAGGGAATATCACTAGAGCAAAGCACTGTATCAACTCAGTGTGCGTATTCATGTGTTCCTATGGTTGCCTCCGGCCGTCACCCTAAACCCTAAACCCTAAACCCTAAACCCTAAACCCTAAACCCTAAACCCTAAACCCTAAACCCTAAACCCTAAACCCATTCAGGATGAAGGGCCTTCAGGGCCTTACTTGGTGCTGCAGCTGGGATGGCTTGATGGGAGGAGGCTTCGGCATGCTGATCATGCACATTGTGGGGGCTTGGTGGCCCTCAGAACAAGCCAACACAGCCCGAAAGCTCAATCAGTCGCCATCACGTGTGCCTGCTAAGCCTAAGCCCTAAATCCTCTCTCTCTCTCTCTCTCTGTCTGTCTCTCTCTCTCGCTCTCTCTCTCTCTCTCTCTCTCACAGGCACTCAGTCAATCCCTAAACCCTAAACCCTAAACCCTAAACCCTCAACCCAGAGCACGGAACAGCTGAGATGCCTCCAGCAATCTGAGACACTGCTCCGGTCTCAATGAGAAGCGCGGGCAAGGCCATGGGTCCTAGAGTCAAAAACACACCAAGCACCTCGACTTTCGAAGCGGAGCGACGACAGCAGCAGCAACAAGCAACAGCAAGATCCCAGGGCAGTCGAAACAGAAGCGGGATACAAGAAGTATCCACCCATCAGCCTACACGACGCCGGCACCGTCTTCAAGTTTAGGGCCCGCAGCACAGGGGTTTAAGTTGTTGAGTCAAAAAATGCGAAGGTTTGGGCTTTCAGCAAGGAGCCTGATCCACGCGACAGCGGGGCTGCTCCAGCGCCCAGAGATAGCTGCAAGCCTGTCACGATGTAGGGTTTCACGCAGCCCCAAAGCCCTCAAATGACTTTTTGGCTACATTTACGCCCGAATGGGCCAAAAAGGGGAGTTTTTCGACGGGTTGAGGGATGGTTGCAGGCCCCGGAGGCAGTTGCCTGCACTGCTACTGAAAACCTGGTGAGGGGATCTTGGTTCGACAAGGGTTTAGGGTTTGGGGTTTAGGGTTTAGGGTTTAGGGACCCCAACGGGTTGAGACGACCACACGGGCGGCACCGGACCATGATTTGCATGGAGTTTTCGTGTCCGAGGCCCAAATCTCAACCCAGCATCGCTTGTTACCGCTTGTTGCTGTACTGTACATGGAACCCGTGTTGTTAATTAATGAGCACTCTTAGCCCCCAAGAAATTGCACAACTGAAGCATTGTTTTTCAAGATGCACTGTAGGCTGCTCTAGTGAACACAACCTGGGCAGGACACAGGCCTGGGCCAAATCTCCATGTTGAAGAGCCAGTCTCTCGGCTGACATGCGAATTTCGCACACTGTCACCAGCTTCCTGCTGGGCAGGGCCGGAAATCGGTGGATTGCGGCAAGATGACAGGAAATCTACAGAATGAGGGCTTTTGTACCTTAAAGACTCATATCCTATATCTTCCCCCAAAGCTCCGAACATTTGTTAGAGCCCACCCCGCCCCATGTAAGAATGCCCGCAGGCTTGTGTGTATACATGCGTGGCAGATGTAGACATTTGCTTTGTTTTAATAGAGATAGTCAGTTCCGCACAAGGAGCTGTGAAGGGATCTAAGCGTGCTACGAGCATGTGCCGGTGCTACAAGCATCATGTCCAAGCGTGGAATTTGGGATTGCCTCCCCTATCCCCCCCTCCCTGAGCCCTAAACCCTAAACCCTAAACCCTAAACCCTAAACCCTAAACCCTAAACCCTAAACCCTAAACCCTAAACCCTAAACCCTAAACCCTAAACGGTCATGCTTGTTTAATGTCCGGGGTTTGTGGTTTCAGTGTCGAGTACGGAGCGCACGCTCGAGTTCCCCATCCGAGGCTCGCGAAGCTGCCGAGGGCCGGCGATGATGAGCTCTGGAGCACGTTGGGGATTTCGACGTACGTCATCCTTGTACCCATCAAGGGGGCTTGTGCAAGAGCCTTGGGGACCAGATGAACCCGCAACTTGGGGTCATACACCCTATACTAGTGTAAATCCTATGATACTCTATGCTACTGTAAATCCTATGAAGGTACATGAACCATAAACCCTTTTTCATTGCGTCCCGCAGGAGGTACAAGGGTTTGACGCCACTTTCTCTGCCACACACCCGTGCGACGCACTGCGTCTAGCCCAGGCAAAGGAGAGGGATACATGTATCGAAACTGAGCACCCGCTCAAGACCCACAACACAAGCAGCTGCCTTCACTGTCTGAAACCCTTTTTTGAACGAAGCTCAAACCCTAAACCCTAAACCCTAAACCCTAAACCCTAAACCCTAAACCCTAAACCCTAAACCCTAAACCCTAAACCCTAAACCCTAAACCCTAAACCAGCCATGCCAAGCCTAGATTGACCAAGGCGGTAGGGCTTGCCATCGGCGTAGGAAAGCTGGTGAAGGACCAGCGTGCGGAACAGCAACCTGGGCAGGCCATGGCAGCCACCATAGGTTTAGGGTTTAGGGTTTAGGGTTTAGGGTTTAGGGTTTAGGGTTTAGGGTTTAGGGTTTAGGGTTTAGGGTTTAGGAACAAGCTTATTGAAGAACAACAGGTGCATGATATTTGGTAAGGAGGATGGCGAAGATACAAGAGAAGTATCTATCGCTCCTATTTCAACGATGGCCAATAGCCACTAATTCTGAAGACAGCACCAGAAATGCGGTAATATCAAACAATAGCAAACACCGCAGACCAGGCGGGCAACGTGTCCACCCTCAGTGCAGACACCAAGGGTGATAGGGCAAATGTAATCGCCGCGGAGCACCAGCGTCTGCACTCGCGCAAGCGGCAGATGATCTCGAAGTCGGAGGTCGTCTCATTGACGGCGACCACCGTCTGTCCACCAGCACAGTCTTGCCGGATGAAAGTCGACTTTCCTTCACATGCGTTCCTGGACCACACGATCTTGCACTGATTTGCTAGCTGCCTTCTCAGCTTTTCGACTTGCAGTTGCGGTGGATCCCTCTGATGGGCACGGAAGGCATCAAAGAGCAGGCTGTTGCGGCTGCTGGACCCTGCAATGGCGAGAAGATACTTGCCTCTGCCTGCGGATGTCTGAAGATCGCCAACCAGTCGCTGCCAGCAGGCCACGAAATACTCTTGAGCTGACGTGGAAAGGAACTCTGGCAGCACGAGGACATGAAGAGCACCAGTTGCAGAGAGCATGCAGCGCAGGAGAAAGATGCGCAAATTCTCCTCCTGGTGCCGCTGCTGCTGTTCAATGTTTCCTAACCCCTTCGACAACGTCGTTGGACACTGGCAAACTATCCCTAAACCCTAAACCCTAAACCCTAAACCCTAAACCCTAAACCCTAAACCCTAAACCCTACACATCTCTCCTGGTAGAGCTCGTCCATGCCAAGGCAGAGAAGCACCTGGCTTGCCTGGGGCATACTCCCCTGTGCCTGGGTTCGCGATGACCACTACAAAGTGTTGCAAAGACCCCAAAAACCCGAATGGGGCTTTACGACAAGGGACCCCTCATCTCGACCCCCCCAAATAGTAGGATCCCTCATATAACAGGGACCCCAATGAGGTACCCCAAATATCGTATAAAAAAGCCAGATCGCGCCCTAAATCGGTATTCGTGAAGTGCAGCCTGGGCACATCATGGAACATGGATAGGACGGCAGGCATAACATCATTTTCTGGCACCTGAGCTGACAGAATTTTCGCTGGGCACAAGTGCGCCCTTCAATGCTACACCCACATGTTCAACCTGCTTTAGCGGGGCCCCCCGACAGACCGACTGCAAAGCAGCTGTAAAGGCTCTGATCGCTCAAAATGATTTCAGTACCTACACTTTTGCTTCCTTGGTGATGTGTCGCCTAATGTTGGACATGCTCTAGTATGTTACTTCCCACCCCATAGGCTGGACCAGGACCTCCGACCCCAAGGTAAATCCATGTGCCAAATGCTTGAGAGAAGAGGCGCCAGGATCAAGTTCGGCGCGGCTTGCTTGAGATATGAGGGTATGGTTGAACTCCTGCCTGCGCCCTGCTGTCGCTGAGGCAGTGCCCGTGCCACCGTCTGCAGCAACACGGCCTCTGGACTCCGGACTACGTAAACTCTTGCACCTTGCTTTTTGCGTTTCATGGCCTTGAAAGTGGATAACGGAACCTACAGGTACCGTAAGCAAGGGAGTAAAGGCCCACTGGGTATCGTAACTATATCTCAGGGCTGGGTAGGGGCGTTGGTTAGGACCTTTCAGCACAAAGGCAGCCACCGTCACGAGCCCAAGGAGTCAGATGCCCTTCAGCAAAGTGCTTCATCAAACGTAGGGTTTTGGGGTTCAGGGTATGGTCTATGGTTGGGGTTCAGGGTATGGTCTAGGGTTAGGGCTTATTGTTTAGGGGCAGGGTTTGGGATTTAGGGTTTAGGGTCTAGGGTTTAGAGTTTCGGGTTTAGTTCTGCGGGTAGGGTGTATGGGGTGTCCTCTCCTTTATGCTCGCGCCTCCCGCTCCACCATGGCAGAATGCCTGTAGGTCAGGGACTTTGCATGCAACCATCGGAAAGCAGAGTCGACCATCGTCTTCGGTGGCATCAGCCTATCTCCTTACGGCGGGCGCAGTGCTGATCGGGTGGCATGCTGGGAGACGAAATGAACCCTCAAAGGGTTTATGGTTCATATTACCTGACTAGGACCCGGAGACTAGGATGGTAGTCAAGGGTATATGACCTCAGGGTCCATTTGGTCCGCAAGGGTGTTGGGGGGCCCGGCTTCTGGCTTTGAGCTCTTTCCGGGCAATACATCCAGAAAGCTGGCGGACTGCCTTTTGGGGGGGGGGGAGAGGGGGGGAGGGGGGGAGGGGCGGGGAGGGGGGGGGGGGGGGGGGGGGGGGGGGGGGGGGGGGGGGGGGGGGGGGGGGGGGGGGCGGGGAAGGGGGCTTTGCGTGAACTGAAGAAAGCCACGCTCCGGAATTGCTTCAGTCTTTTGGGGCTGAGTGGCCTGAGGCCATGAAGTTCGAAGAACCCTAAACACTCAACCCTAAACCTTAAACCCGAAACACTCGACCCTAAACCCAGGCTGGACTCCAAACGTTCTAGCTGCGGCCCAGAAACTCTTCACTACTCCAGGCAACCCTCAAAACAATAGGTCGCAGAAATAAGTTCGGAAACTTCTCATAAGTAGTGGACCCGTGCTCAATTATAGTTGGTGAGTGCAGGGTTTCAAATTTGAAGTTTAGGGTTTTACCACAGGCAGGCACAATACTGCTCAATCCAACCAGCAAAAAACGTTTCGCTACAGCGCTCTAAGTGTCGAATGCGTTGCAACCGCTCTGGCTCTGTACGTCTCTGCAAGGTGGCATCCCAATTCCAAAGCAGGGATTCCAGATCACTCTCAGGCAGTTCCGGAGAAGTGAGCGCACGGATGTTGGACTGCGTGAAGAGGTTCAAAACTGGATTCGCAATCCGCGAGCTCATGTCCACAGCTTCCCAGGACGTCAGGCTATCCTGCCACTCGAGAAGGCAAGCGCTCATCTGCTCGATCACCGGATATGGCTTCTGCAAGGACTTGCCTTAGGACAGAGAGAGGCCCTAAGCAAACTAGCAGACTAACAAAAAATGAGAGTGGACTGCATGTATTTGAGGCAAAATGACTGGTAACCTTGATCAAGAGGCTGAGTTTGAATGTGCTGCTCCCGGGAACTCGTAGTCCCCTCTGCTTCAAGGCCTTTCTCTTCGACACAAGCTGGTCGGTGACCTCCCGTGACTGTCTCAATGGATCCAAGTTTGGCCCCAAAGGTTGAACCCTTACATGGTTCGTTCCAATCCACTCCTAACTCCTAATAAGGCCTAACTCCGAATAAGGCCCCTCTATGGTCTGGTGCGACCTTGTGCGCTACTCTAATCCACGGCCTTGGTCAGGGTCTGATGGCCAATATCTTCACGTGGGGGGAAGGGGGGGGAGGGGGGGCAGGGAGAAGTATGACTTTCCCCGGCCGACTTCCCAAGCCCGGATGCAAAAGGGTTTTGTAAACCCTAAACCCTAAACCCTAAACCCTCAACCCTCAACCCTCAACCCTCAACCCTAAACCCTAAACCCTAAACCCTAAACCCTGAACCCTAAACCCTAAACCCTAAACAACCAAAAAGCCGTACACCGGAGCAGGACAAGGCCTGAAGAAGAAGGTGCAACGTGTCCGCGCGCATCTTTCGTTCGCAGGCTGCCTGGATGGTTCTTCGGTTTGGAGATTTCGGCTCTCAAGGCTTTAGCACAATTACCCCAAGGCTCCAAGGACTCGCCTTATGATTAAAAGGTTCTTGGGCAATTTTGAGCCTAAGGCTTAGGTGTGGGATCGCGTGAAGCAGCGTTGGCTGTATAAGCCCTGGCCTCAACTGGTAAAACCGCACGGACTGTAAGCGTCCCCCCCCCCCCCACTTAGCCGTCCCCTTGCCAGGAATTCGAAATGCTGCGCTTTGACGCCCTGGCCCTCACGCAGGCGCATTTAGCATCTTAAGCTTCTGCCGGCTGCCGTGCATGGCTGTAAGCGGAAAAAGGCAAAAGAGAGGATGCTGCCAATGGGGCCCACGAAGAGAACCTGACCTTCAAAAAAAGGGAATGAGGAGCCCACTGGCCATCCGGGGTTTTATCACTTCCCCAAATCCTCTCGGCGCCCCCGCTCACTCTGAATGTTTTGCCGGAAGGGGGACGGATTTCAAGCGATTCACCCACAGTGGGCATTGTGGATTGCTTGCTGGACCTGAAAAGCCACTGTCAGAAGGCAAGCCACCGTGTCCAGAGCATCACCCAATTCCTGATCCAAGAGCAGGCGATCGCGCACTCTGCATAGCTCTTCATAGCTGCACCTCTGCTTGCAGGGCATCGGGGCCGGGGATGCAAGCACAGCTTGAAAAAGATAGCGTGCTTCGCAAGCCAAGGCACGACAGCTGCGAGGGCAACAACAGACGAGCTTCATCACCAACTTCCCACGTCCCACCCCACATGTCCTGGATCAGTGAAGCATCTCTGCCACGAACGTCTTGCGAGAGATCCTTGTAAACGCGGCCGACCTTAGTCTAGGGCCATATCCTGAATGCAAAGCTCTCAACCTTCTGCACCCTTGTTCTGAACCCTAAACCCTAAACCCTAAACCCTAAACCCTAAACCCTAAACCCTAAACCCTAAACCCTAAACCCTAAACCCTAAAATGGGTCTGCTCTTGATGCAGGCCAGCGGGCTATATCAATGAGCTCGCCAGCTCCTGAGCCGATTCGACAGCTCTCCGTGTTCATTGACTCATGGCACTTCATGGCACTTCATGGTAGGTTTAGGGTTTAGGGTTTAGGGTTTAGGGTTTAGGGTTTAGGGTTTAGGGAAATTTCAAGAAGCCTCTGCTCTTTGCGGGGGTAGCAGAAAGATGCTCTTGCCAGTTCTGCTCTCTGTTGGTTGCATCCTCCCGGCGGGTTTTCCACAGTAGTGCCTCCTCCCTCTGATTTCAGAGTGGCGATTGAGACCTTGAAGTTCAGACCTGCTGCACCTATCAAGATTCAAAAAAGTAACCCTGCACCCTAAACCCTAAACCCTAAACCCTAAACTAAACCCTAAACCCTAAACCCTCAACCAAGCTAGAGCCAGCAGGTGCCAACAAGGCACGCCCCAGGAGCTGCAGCAAATGCCCTGAACCGGGTCGCTCATCTGCAATGTGCTGGCCAATTGCCTGAACACAGGAAAAGGGAGGTAAAGCCACCCGAAGCCCTAAACCCTAAACCCTAAACCCTAAACAAACCCTAAACCCTAAACCCTAAACCCTAAACCCTAAACCCTAAACCCTAAACCCTAAACCCTAAACCCTAAACCCTAAACCCTAAACCCTAAACCCTAAACCCTAAGCTGCGCAAAGGCATGGCAACCCCTTCGCAGTGCCACCTACGGCTTCGGCTCTTCAAGCTTTGGGATGTATATGGATGTTGTTAAATCAAGCAGTAAGGGGGGGAGCAGCTTCTGCATTTGCATTCGTCAACCACACAGGGCGCGTCCTGCCTCAGCCAAAGATGCAATCGAGTGTCCACCTGCTGCTGGACAGGAGATGGGCAGCCCGTTCAAGTAGGACTGATGTGGGATCGGTTGGACTCATACAGATATTCTTTGATGCAAAATGTATGAACGAGTCGATTCCAACACCTTGCGCCGAGAAAACGTGGCGAATGCACTGCCTCCGTAACCCTTAATTAAAGCCCACAGCTTTCGTGAGGCCTCTCTCTCGTTCCCTCTGCCTCTCGTGTGCTCAACAACCCAGCTGTTTCCCCGACTGCGAAATGCCCTTGAAGCTTGCAACACCCTGGAGGCTTGCAATCCTAATGTTAACCTCGTATTATTGAACCCCCTGATATTAAAGTGCGCCAGGGGTCCCGGCCGCAATAATAAAGCCCTGGGAATAAAGTACGCCAAGTCGGGGCTGGTTTTTTTTGGGGGAGTTTGATTGAAGGGGGGCTCTAAGGAAAGGAATCCTTATTCAAAGGGGCCCTACTCTATTTGGGGGGGTTTGATTGAAGGGGGGGGGGGTTTATTATTACGAGGTCAACATTACCTCTTCAACCATCTCTTCGCGACCTTAAAGCCTAATGCTGTGGCCTTTGAGCACCCCAACACCCGAACCGTGAAGGGCCTGTCATGAGAACGTCCTCAAGGAATGGCCTGTCAGCTTGGAGCGTTGAGGGGCTACGTCGCCAATTGGAACTGACTGCAGCCAACAAACATGTATTGCTTTCCTTGGGGGATAGAGTTTAGGGTTCAGAGTTTAGAGAAAACTGTGAAGGCAAGAAAGTTGCAGATTAATGAGTTGGGGTCGCTTCCGTGTCCGTGCTGATCATCCTGATATTGCAGATATCAGTGAACTTCAGAGGGGCTCCCTATCCCCCATCCCTTGCCCCCCGTGCAGCATTGTGCATGCCTCAGTCCAGCCAGCTCGTGCAGCGCCTGGCGTTGGGAGGTCTGGAGGTCGGTGGCGTTCTCGCGCACCTCACGTGGTTTCAGGTTTAGGGCTGAGATTCTGGAACTTCTGGCAGATCGGCTCGGGGTTCGGAAACCAAGAAACCGGCTCACCAAAAGCGAACTGCCAACGACAACGCGCTGCTCCGAGCAGAGAACCCCAAATCAAGCCTGAAGAGTCCTAGATTGTAGGTAAAATTCTGCAAGACGGATAGAGGCTGATGTGCACCGTGTGCTAGATGCAGGAAAATCAGGGAATTGCAGAGTGCAAGGCCCGAGACGCCATGATTTCCAGCTCCTGGAATCTGATCTTGTCCTTCAGGAATGCCAAAGCCGGATCGCTGTCCAAAATCATGCCTGTGTTGTTTTACCCTACTTTGGAGCAGACCCTGGAAAAAGGCTTATACTCTTTCGGTATACGTAGCGATAATCGGAACCCAGAGCCAAAAAAGTATTGAAGTATAGTACTCCAAATCTAGTTTAAGATTTCGCCGTCGCAAGACGGGCTTTCAGCACAGGTGGGGGGGGACCAAGCAAGGGTATTCTAGACTCCAAGCGTGCGCTGCACTACAGGCCCCGCTAGATATCCGGCTGAATTAGGGCTTACGGCTGAGAGCCTAGGGCTTAGGGTCCAGAATCAAATAGCAGGTCTTGCATAGCTCGACCAAGCCGCTTGCTAGCGACCTTCCTCGACCAACAACACGAACAAGGGCTTGGACGGCCTCGGCCTGTGGGGAGCGCACGGGAATTCCCACGACGCTGGAGTGGGAATAGCTCTTCATCATCTTCAGGGCGACGGATTCCTGTCCAAGTAGCTCGTAAGTCTCTCAACGCCCTTTTGCTAAACCCGGAACCGAGCTCCGGTGTCACTCGACGCCCTGAACTCCTAACTGTTGTTCAAACCAAGTAGGCGCTCGACATCAGGAGAGACATAGGGTGCGGAGCAATGCAAGCCCAGATTATCCAGAGCTTCTGCGATGGGCTAGCCGTGTGCAGCAACCATAGGTCGCACCAGAAAACAAACCCTCGCTGAAGCAACACTAATTAAGCGGCAAGGAACACTTAACGTTAAGCTTCCCTTAAGAACCCCACTCCTACCTGTTTGTAGGCTCTTATTCTAACACCCCGTTCAAGATTCTTTGGTAACCTACAAAAAAGTAGGTATTGGGTTCTTAAGGTCTCCCAATGTTTGCGGGTTGACGGGGATTGGCTTCGTGTGTTTGAATATTAACTCCAGGTTCGAACAACACCGCATGCCTTGAGACCCGACGAAAATTTCCCTAGCCCTATACATATAAACCATACATGCTAACGCTAGACCCCATGCAAACTCTAGACCTTATAACCCTCAAATCCTCAAACCCTGACTGACGAAGCCCAGGCGTCTGGGTCGAACTTCTTCACCTGGCCCTGCATCCTCGAGAACCTTGCAGATGTGGAGGTTTGCCAAAATTAGAGACATTCCTTTTAATTTTGAATTCCTGGTGGTTCCGATAATAATTAATTAGGAAAATAGGAACCATTGAATTTTTGGGAAGTACCTCTGAAAGCAAGGTCGCTGAGAAGATTTTGGGGTTGAGGGAGGGTTTGGTCCTGGTATTAGTTGGAGGGATGCAACCACTCCCGGACCTTGAACGCTGGAAGGCTTCGGCCAAAAGCCCTAAACCCCAGTCCCCAAAACCAACCTCTTCGCCGGGGTTGGGTCTGGGTGGTTTGGTAGCAGAAGCCTCAAATGAGGGTTTACGAAAGTAGGGGACCCCGAATATGGACCCCAAATAGGAGGACCCCCAAAACTTTTATAAGGACCCCAATAAGGTACCCTAATTTTGGAAACCCCCCAAATCCCAAACCTTTAGAAACAATGTAGTGTAAACCCTAAACCCTAAACCCTAAACCCTAAACCCTGAACCCTAAACCCTGAACCCTAAACCCTAAACCCTAAACCCTAAACCCTAAACCCTAAACAACAAGCAAGCGGCTCGCGGAGCAGGTCGTCATCTGCCACGAGTTGATCAAACTTCTGCAGCTCCTCCATGGATGTTGGAGTTCAGGTTGAGGGTTGAGGGTTGAGGGTTGAGGGTTGAGGGTTGAGGGTTGAGGGTTGAGGGTTGAGGGTTGAGGGTTGAGGGTTGAGGGTTGAGGGTTGAAGGGTTGAGGGTTGAGGGTTGAGGGTTGAGGGGGAGCATTTAATGGTTAAAGGTGGGGACTTTATGGGTTTGAGGATGTTGGGTTCCGGGGGGGGGGGGGCTCTTTGGTGTAGAAATGGAGTTTGTGTCGTCCGAGTGGAATCCAAAACGTGCCCATGACGTCTGCTGGACTGCACGGGCAGGCTTGACAGGGTTTGGAGGGAAGCGGATGTGCCGCAACACAAAAAACCCCTTGCCGTAAAGAGATTGCCGATTCTGTAGGGCAATGGGCCCTGGGACATGTACAGACCTACTTGTTCCCCGCCCGCTTAAAGACCAGCCCGCCCCCTCCCCATAGCCTCTTTCAACCCTCCTCCTGACTTCTGCCGGTAGCTATCACATCCTTCTGGCAGGTCGCCAGTACAAGTTCAGCACGCTGCAGGTAAAACCCCAATCTTTATCCGTTCGGACTTCCCACGATGACAAGCCTCAGGCATAGTGACATGCTGCAAAAAAAGCGAAACCTAAACCCCGAACCCGACAAAAAAAACAAACCCTAAATCCTGACAAGTGCAAGAACCCTACCTCTACGTGCCCGAAAAAAGACGCCATCGAACACCCTGCTTTTCACAACCCACTGAATGAGAACCTCCCGCGCCGAGTTTTTTCCCCCTGTCCTTCAGCAAGCTGCCCACACCGTTCACCAGGTCACGAAAGCCGCCAAATTGGTCCAGGGCAACAAGATCCTGTGGTTTGGCTTGTGTACGCGTATGTCGGTGAGAGCTATACAAGGGGGGGCTCATACTCAAGGGTTCAGGGAGCTAAGAAAGTAGAGTTTTTTAGCAGCATTGAGGTTAATTAGGTGACCATGACCGGTGTCCTGGGCAATGCGCTGCACGCCCTGCTCTCCGCAAGAAGTCCCTGGCTCCAAACCTGACGCAGGGGCTTTGGGGGTGGATGGATGTTGGGAGAAATCAGGGGTTTAGGGTTTAGGGTTTAGGGTTTAAGGTTTCGGGTTTTTGTTTAGGGTCTAGGGTTTAGGGTTTAGGGGCCAGTGCAACTGTCTTTGGGTGGAGGTGCGGGCGCTCATGAGTCAAATGCCTGGATGCTGGTTGTGGTGGGTACTGAGGAGGGCGGGGTTAGACTGTTTATGGCTTGTGGCAGGTTCAGGGTTTCGAGGGTGTGGTGAGTGTGGTGTAGAGGGTGTTGTGTGCCTAAACCCTAAACCCTAAACCCGAAACCCCAAACCCTAAACCCTACACCCTGATGAGTCGCCTGCCCCAAGGACCTCCACTTAAACCTGAAGCCCTTCTGCTTAACCCTAAATTGGGATCTCTTCATCAGGGTTTCTAAGGGCTCCAGGAAAGTGCTCTGAGGTGGCAGCTTTGGACTGTGGACTTGGGTATTGATGCGGACGTCTTGCTTGAATTGGCACAGCGTGCTGCATGCAAATGTCGTTATGTCCTATCTTTGTTCTTAAATGCAGATAGAGACCCCAAAATAGTAGGATCCCCTTCAAATAAGGACCCCAAAGAAGGTACCCCCGAAAATCGTAGACCCCCATGAGAGTTCACAAGGAGGCCTTCCCAGAGTCGGATCTCTTCTCGGAGCCAGGAGTGCAGCACTCTCTCATCGTCTCCGCGCCGGAGAATTGCTTTTGCCTCCACCCGCGCGACACTGATGTCTCCACTCTGCAGCGACTTTAGCAGCTGCGACCACTCTTCACGCAGGTCTGCCACAAAGTCAGGCAGCTGAGGCATCGAGCGTGCATGCCTGTCGATGACATCGTTGAGAGCGGCCGTGCGCGCGCGTGCTGAGGCATCCAAGGCATGGACGACCACTCGTGGCGGCAAGTCTCGCATCATCTCTTCGCATTTCTCTTCCAAGCTCTTTGCTGGAGTACTCTCCCAAGCAGACATCATCTGCTTTACTGTCCCAAGTTTCGATTCCAAGTGCTTCGACAAGTATGGATGCCAAGCAGCAACCACGTGAAACAGCTGCAGAGAATCTCGGGACTGACACAGCTTCTCCAGGCGCGCCTGTGCATCTGCAAATCCTGAGTCCTCCAGCCCAAACAAACGGATGGCGCTAGAGAAAGGTTTCCCAGCCCGAGCCAAATCCCGTAAGTCACTCATTGGCAGCACCAGAGTGGTGACCTGCAGGTAAATCTCCTGTAGCCGGCTGCGCAGTCTTTGATGAAGTTCATTGATGCGCTCCACTTTAAACCGACACCAGCGCGGCAAGCGCAAGCACGCCTCGTCCACGATGGCTCTCTGCCACTCGTCCACGCTGAGGCTGGCGATGCATGCCATCAGGCGCACCTGTAGCTGCGCACCTATCTCAAACTCCTCAAGAGAAGAGCACAACATGACAATCAAACCGTTACCAATCTCAACCAACATGGCAAAAGAAACGCATCGACAAAGTGGTGTCCAGGGCACACACACGGTCGTGTTCTCTGCGGTGGCACATCGCTCCAGGTCGTCGAGCAACTTTGCTGCGGCTTGTGCTGCCTGACGCTGATAGTGTCTGCAAGCTACGTCCTGGGCGTGCGCGAGGAACAAGTCTTGGAAGGGCCAGGTAGGAAATGGCCGGGCACCAAGCAGGTCCAAGAGCTGCTGTATGCCTGCTTGGTGCAGCAGAGCTGCTGCCAGCTGAGAGGCATCTTTCAAGCCAGCCGCACCCGCCAGGGCTTCAAATGCAGGCATCCAAGCAACTAGGTCAACTGTACCTTGAAACTTCGTCTCTCGGATGGCCCTTGCCAAGGCATCCACCTCATGCTGCAGCTCCGATGATTCCTCGCCCAGTCCCTGTGCAATCCGAAGCGCTGTGACGAGTCCAAGCCCCATTTCAATCGGCCTGGCTGTAGCTCGGGGTCCGCAGGCTGCACGGAGAACCCTGAGCAAAGTCACTGCCAACTGCGGCCAGGACTGGACCAAGTCGGCGGAGTTCGTGTGCATCTTCTGCACAAACTCCGAGAAGTTTGTCTTTCCGAGGCGTTGTGCTACGGGATCCGCCAGAGTCTTCCAGAACTCCAGGCGCAACCTGGAATAGAATGTGCCGGAAGACACCTGGCAAAGTATGGCGCATACTACAGCCTCAAACCCCAAGCCTCACCATGCCCTAGACATCTCCAGCAGTTCAGGGTTGAGGGGTTCAAGATTGAGCACTTTGGGCTTGGGACGGCATGGGAGTTGGAGGGGCACTTCGCGGAGTACCAGCTCGAACTCCTCCAAACTCAAGTTCTGGCAGTATCGGCCGCTGAAGATCTGGATCCGGCCAGCGTCGGATGTGGACTCAAGCAGTTGGATCCTGACTTGCCCGAACCCGGAAACCAAGCAAAGGCCTGACCATTCGTTTCCTCCGGTGTCCAAGATCCACTTACTCAAGAAAGCAGTGAGAAACTTGCTCCAATGTGAGGATGAGGGTCAGAGATGCGGGTGAGGGGCAGACTTCTCCCAGGAAAGCTTCCACACTGAACGCCAGCGGCGGGCCATCCTCCAATTGCCTGTCTTGGTGAAGCAAAGGCTTGATCGCATCCTTGGAACAAGGTTCTTGGGCTGGGTTTAGGGTTTACGTAGGGTTTAGGGTCTAGGCTTTGGGGTTGCTTTCGGATGTCTAGGGTTCAGGGTTCCTCCTTTTGAACCAACGACGATGCCATTTTTGAAAAAATGTTCACGGTGCCTGAAGGAAGCAGCAGGGCTTCCTATAACCTTCGTCACCCATTTGGCAGTAAAAGAAGCTTCGGCGAAGGATAGCGCGCCCCCTGCCTTTCCTCCCAAAAAAATCAAAAAGCCAGTCAACCATAGAAAAAGCCTCTCAGGCCACGTGCCCCCTACTATTAATCCCCATTAAGGACTCTTAAACCCTAACGCCTAAACCCTAAAAACCCCTAAACAGTTAGCAGAACCCTTGCCCATTTTGGGTAATAATGCGACCAGTCAACCCATTAGAAGACTATTCCTATACTCCCCCCTACGTCGCCCCCATGTACCAGAATTAATGCCTCAAGTCACCTCCAGACTAGATCACCGCCACTACCCCTAGGAGTACTCATGCAGGATGAATTGAATAACCCGTGATGCAATGGCCGGTACCATCCCTCCAGAAAACAGAGACTTTACGACTTTAGGTGACCCCGACAATGGATCATAATGCCTTCGCTATTGTGAACAATCATCACAGAAGCACGGCCAGTGAACAGACATTTTGGCATGGTGTTGGCTCATGTGCAGCTCATTTCATTGCCTGCCACTTCCTAGAAATACCAGCCAGCAGCTGAGAGTACGCACTGGAGATCACATTCTCTTAGCCTTGCCCAGCAAAAGTTTTGAGCTTCCTGCAAGATGGAACCATCCTCCCGAAATGTCGCGCCTTCTTTGCGGTGCAATTTTTCCACTTGGGCCAAAATCAAGCGGCTTTGATCCATACATTCTCGCCAGGCGACTTTGCACTTCCAAGGTACTGCTGTGTCGTTAAAGATGAGGAGGTCTCTGTAACATTCATTATGGTACGGTCGAGAACCCTTGCACTCCATGAGGAACTCCCGGATTGTAGGCTCCGGTGAGCATGGAGACCCTTCCTTGTTCAGGCCCTCCCCTGTGGAAAAGAGCAGCACCGATAGAACCAGCGTGGCGCAAAACATGGCCCAACAGTGTCAGAATGCACGGGGGACAGCAGCACAGGATTGAGCCCTCGCCTTACGGACGCAAAGCGCTTGCCTTTGTTTCACGAAACTGCCGTCAAGGTTACCCCGGCTTAGAGGCTTGGGATGGGGTTGCAAAAGGGTTGCAGTTTTGGGTGTGGTTTCGGTTGAGTATTAAAAGGCTCGTTGGGTCTAGGGTTCAGGTCTAGTAGTTTGTTGGTTCTTCTTAAGGCATTCTGCGTTTATATAAAAATGTTAAACATGTAAATTATATAAATGAGCGGGTTTTTCATTAATTCTAAAGGTGTATCTTGTATCCCTTGTAGATGTAACAGACAATCTTATCATGAGGAAACAAAAACGGTCAAAGAAAATACCATAATAACAACGAACATTGTGGAAGACAGGCATAATATGAAATTGGAGCAACAGGACGACATGTATCACCCGATGAAAACCAGATATTCAAAAAGTATAATCAAACAGGAAGCGTTGAAATATGTGATACTGGTTTTGGAACTCATGGTATAACACCCTCGGAATGCGAACAGAGAATAGAAATGACCGAGACAGACATTGAATGTATTCAGATAGACATAGAACGATTGGAAGTAGAGATTGAAGAATTGAAGTTTAAAATTGATAAGAAAATTGTATAATAATCTAAATATGGATTGTTTGTTTCCTGAGAAAGAAAACAAAGAAAATAAAGCAGATTGGCTGGCGGAAAGAAGAAATATAAGAATGTATAACGCCAGATTAAGTGCTATTCTAGATAAACTAGAGGATCATTATCATTATGAAGAATATAACAAGCGATTTAAAAATTGTTGTTTGGGTTTTCTCAGCTGGAAGAATTGCTAAAATAATGTTGTCAAGAGTGAATTACTTATAGAATGACACCGCCCCACATACAGCATTTCTCCCATTTCCCCAGTGTGCCTTCCATACGCATGTCAAAAGAACATGGTAATGGTTAATTAGTTTGAAACAATGTTTATCATAATTAATGAATTATGACAAATATTGTAAAATAATGTAGTATGACAATTTTTGTTGATAAGATAACCATGGATTTTAATACTGAGTGCCGTCCTCCTCATTGTGAAAGGCAGTGTGTCAGATGCAAAGACTGGAAGAATTTAGTGCATTTCAAAAGAAATTTTTATTGTAAAACGGGTAGGTATTTAATGCAGTGTAGAACCACGGTTACTTGCAGTGAATGTCTTGATGGAATGAAAGCATACAATGATAAAAGGAAACGTGAGTTAAACACATAAGTATAATGTAATTAAGCACATTTCATAAGAGTTTATGGAATGTAAGTCTTTTATGACTAGTAAAATCTATGAGAGAACCCTTGCCCATTTCGGGATGATAATACCACCTTAGGGAATATGGATGGGGTAATTGGCTATTCCAATACTGGTCTTGGTAATGGGTTAGTAGTGGTGATATTTGGGGGAAGTGTTAGGGAGTATAGGAATATTCCTCTTATATGGATGAGGTAATCGGTTATTCCTATACTGGTATTGGTAATGGGGTAGTAGTAGTGATATAGTTGGTGAGGTGTATAGGAATAATCGTCCAATGGGTTGACTGGTGGCATTGTTACCCAAAATGGGCAAGGGTTCTAACTTAAACCTGGGGGTCGAAGTTCTGGGTGTCGAAGGGCGACGTCGGGGCCTTCAGGGTAATGAGGGAAGGAGGTACCTTATCTCCCTTTGAGGGGTATAGATAGGCCCCTGATTCCCTCATTCCCTACTAAGCACCAGGGGGGCTAGATGGTCCTAGACTCCGGCTCAGGTTCCGAGCCACAAGCTTTGACTTCGGCCTTTGCAGTTGGGCCTCCCGCATCTAACACCACGAACATGCATGTGAAAAACTCAGGGCGCGCAAGGCCTCAAAGTGAACTTCCAGTTACCAACAAACCAAGAAGTCAACAAGCACCCCTTCTTGAACCCAGGCTCTGTGCCAAGGTCGACTGGGAGCCATGCTCACACGAGCTTTCCAAACTTTCCAAAACCCTAAACCCTAAACCCTAAACCCTACACCCCAAACCCTAAACCCTAAACCCGGAATTCCCAAGCAACCCTCAACCCTCGAATTTCAGGCCGTGGCTCCAGACTTTCCAGGAAGCTCGAGTCCGAAATTCCCAGCATCAAGCAAGGAAGCTGCTGCACCTTACCAGTTCACCCTTTTTTAGGATTTAGGGTTTATGGTTTAGGGTTTAATTAGGGTTTAATTGGGTTTAATTTAGGGGTTCATGGTTATGGCGCTTCGCAAGGGTGTGGCCCGCCCTCTCCTCCCGTTCCTGGAACACACTACAACTATGCTAACCAAGCTTCACGGCAGTTCCTTCATCGAAACCCTTCTTTGAGCTTGTCGAACTGATAGGGCTTACTGACGTGGTCTTGATGTATGCAGTTAGGCAGAAACTACAGACCAACAACGCTCAGAAGATTAACTGGCTGAGATTGAGGTTTTGGGTGCTCAAGAAGTCTTTGAGGATGATGGGGTGACAGGGCATGCAATATACATAGTAAATAGATAAATACATAAATAAACAAGTAAAGATATATAAATAAATGAATGAAATAAATAAATAAATATGTATATATATATATAAATGTATCATCATCATTTTTTGTGGGGGGGGGCTCTTAAGCAATTGGCAGTATATCTGAGATGAGGCACATCTGCCGCTACCAACGACGCCAGCACTGCGCCACGGAGCAGACATGAGACAGTTGGCTGCATGGCTTCCTTGGGCAACGAAACTAACGAGACCCCTGAACCTTAAGCATCCCGAAGCAGGGTTTAGGGTTTAGGGTTTAGGGTTTAGGGTTCAATGAACCAGGCGGGGTTTGTTCCAGAAGGGATATATACCCGAGGAACGCCCTTAAAGCCCTAAACCCCCCTCCAGTGTACCGGGCTTGGCTCACACAATGATCTGCTTCGGGTCGCGAACGGGTGCAGTCAGCTGCAACGAGCACTTTCTACAACTCACCTCACGCGCAAGATTACAAGTGTCGGACTGACCCCACAAGGCACAATGCCCTGGCTCCAGCCGCAAAAGAACCCAAAAACCCAAACGCAAACACAGCCGGCGCCCTGTTTGGCCCAAGATGCTCTGAGCCGTCCTCTCAGAAAGGCGTAATCGCCGTGTGCGTAGTGAAGCTGCTGTCCTTCGATTCTTTGGGGCGGGTACAAAATACAGGGTTGAGGTGGCTTGGGGATTAATACGATGTGGGCAACCGGGGGGTTTCCGGCTGAGAGCTTAGCTTTTGCGATGTTATTTGGGAATGGGGTTCTCTTGAGGTCAGACACTGAATATGGCTTGAGCAGCGCTTGAGACTACGCGTCGTGACTTCGGGAACCTCCTGGCCAGTTCGTGCCTCTAAAGATCTCTGAAGGCTTTTTGCTTTCTATTTGAGACGGTAAAGCGTTTTTGCATGTCTCTCCGCTTGGTGACCTCAGATTGCAAACAAGATGTACTGTCATTCAAAACAGTAAGACTGCACCGCCCAAAGAAAGCAAACACATCTTGCAAAACTTCCAGGCCAGTTCGTGCCCAGAGGTCTCTGAAGATTGCGTTTGCTTTGTTCTTTTGGGCAGCACAACCACTAAAACATATGGGTGGTTGTCAAAATTCTGAATTTCTTTGGGGTACCCTAAATATTAGGTGCCGTATTACAATAAGGAGCCAAAAAGGGACCATAATTTTGACAACCACCCATATGGTTGTTGGGGACCATGCAGCGCTCTTGGAGGCCTCAAGAACTCAAGTTCTATTGCTGAACAAATGAAACTACGACTTAAAGGTGCAAGCCACTTGCTACCCTAAACCCTAAACCCTAAACCCTAAACCCTAAACCCTAAACCCTAAACCCTAAACCCTAAACCCTAAACCCTAAACCACACAACTACAAAAGAACAAAGGCTAGTCCCTGATGCAAATTGTATTTGGCCTGTCGGTTGTCCAGTAGCGGTCCCTCATTCACTTCCAATATTCTCGGTCACTCGAACTTCTCCAAAACCCTAAACCCTAAACCCCAAACCCAAACCATTCACTTTAGGGCTTTAGGGTTTAGGGTTTTTCTGGCGTCATCTTTCAATATTCCTGGCTCTTAGCGTAGTAGAATTTTACACAAATACTATGACTGTGATTGACCTGAACCCATAAGTTCAACTATTGAACCCCCAACGCCCAAAGACCTAGGGACCTGCATGCCACCTGAATGTCAGAAGCCCTTACAAACCCTAAACCCTAAAAACCCTAAAAACCCTAAAAACCCTAAAAACCCTAAAAACCCTAAAAACCCTAAAAACCCTAAAAACCCTAAAAACCCTAAAAACCCTACAAACCCTAAAAACCCTAAAAACCCTAAAAACCCTAAAAACCCTAAAAACCCTAAAAACCCTAAAAACCCTAAAAACCCTAAAAACCCTAAAAACCCTAAAAACCCTAAACCCTAAACCGCCTTCGCAGTCCTGTTTGTCGGAGTTGGCCTTGAACTGCAATGGCCAGAGCCAGTGGACACGCGTCTGCCAGCAGCAAAAACAACCTGAGGGTTTAGGGTTTAGGGTTTAGGTTTTAGGGTTTAGGGGTTAGGTTTTAGGGTTTAGGGGTTAGGGTTTAGGGTTTGGGGTAGTGTGTCAAACCTCACGCCAAAGCACCTGTGCTCATTTAGGGCTTACGTACCGCCCACGAACCCAAAATGACCCTAGGTCTCTTCCTTCGCAGAAATTGAGATGGGCGTGGAGCCAGGGAGATGTAGGGGCCAGCCCTTGAAACAGCCCTAGCTGAAGGGGTCCGGGATGCAGCTGTCGCCCATTTGTTGCACGCACCACCTCATGCGTCTCTGCAGAGCTTAGGGTTCATTAGGGTTTAGGGTTTAGGGTTTAGGGTTTAGGGTTTAGGGTTCAGAATTTAGGGTTCAGGATTTAGGTTTCGCAAGTCGAGTTGTCAGTCTTCAGAGTGGGCTTTGAAGCTGTTGAAACGCACTGCCAGGTTTAAAACACACTGCCAGGTTTGGGGGTTCACGTTGACGGCTGAAGAGCTTTGTAGTCAAGCATTGCAGGGTTTAGGGCTTATAGTCCAACCAAAGCACAGCCCAATGCTTCGGCGCTGGGCCACTGCTAGCTCGAGAGTTTCCCCAGATAGGTCTCCTCCTGATATACCCCAACAATGATAGACTCGCGATTCTAGAAACCACAGAAAGCTCCGAATTTTCGGTAACCCACAATTATACTCTAAACCCTAAACCCTGAACCCTAAACCCTCAACCCTACTGCCTACCGGGAGTGTTTATGTTTGCTCCAGGCTTGAGGGTCCACGGCACCTCTTCGTCAAAGGAGTGCTGGGTAGATGGCGTGGCAGCCAACGCCTCCTGGCAGGAAGAGTCTTTCGGTTTAGGGTTTAGGGTTTAGGGTTTGGGGTTTTGGGTTTACGGTTTAGGGTTTGGGGTCTGGGGTTTGGGGTTTAGGGTTTAGGGTCTGGGGTTTTGGGTTTAGGGTTTCGGGCCTCCGGGCGACTACTGCAAGGGCTTCTGCCAACCGTATAGGGTCCTGCTGCTGAGAGGGTGTAAGGTTGAGGTTCCGGTTCAGGAGTGGTTTATCACGGAAAAGCCCTCAAGCCATAGCCCAGCCCTCAACCAGTCATGCAGCCTGTCTTGGACTTGCCACACTTCAGTTCCCTACTTGTGCCCCCAAGACCCTAAACCCTAAACCCACCACCTACATGACCTACATCAGCCTACAGCCCTGTTGTAAAAGCTCGGCATCCCACACGCCTGTAGCGTCACGGAGCTTTGACCCCCACACCTGAGAGATGACTTTGGAGGTGAGGGTGGTTTGGGGATTACGTAGGGCTGCCAAGGATCTAAGGCTTTGGCCTTGAGGGCTTGGGGGTTGAGGGTGTGCAGTGCCTTTTTGCCGCCTAGCAGGCGCTCGCACACCCTGCAGGGCTGATTCTTGTAATTGGGGTTGTAGATTTCTTTTCCTGCCCGCATGGATGACAGCAATGGGCCACTCCGAAGGGATTAGCCGAGGTCATACAAGAGACTTCCTGGGGAGGAGAGCTGGGTGTACGTTCCTGCCGCCGCCGTCTGCGCAGCAAGTTGCAGGTGGTTTGGCAGCTTTAGTTGAAACTCTGAACCCTATAAACCCTCAACCCTCAACCCTAAACCCTTTTGCAACTGGGACTTGGTGACTGCCAGAAACCCCTCAACCCTAAACCCTAAACCTGAAAACCCAAGCATTATACAACCACAGACTAGATTTGCTCGTCAAGAAGCTCCAAGAGCAGGTCTTGCCACATGTAGCTCGCGCAAAAGTCGGCAGTGGGTGCAGAGTCGGGGCGACCTGGCGCTACAACTCTCAACAACTCTCCCTCCCTCTTTCTTGGTGTTCTTCCCCCCTCCTTTCTCGTTCCTTCCTTGCTTCCTTCCTTCCTTCCAGCGAGCAGGACCCCCTCTCCCCTCTCTCGTTTTCATGGCAAGTTCTGGCTACTCCTCTACTCCCAAGCATTTGGCTGTACAGGGGAAGCGAGAAACTGAAGACCCTGTGGTCCTTATCGAGGGGGGGAACAACCACATACTTAAGTTCAGTTAGCTGCAATGCCATAAGGCCCCCGCAGAGCTGGAGCACCCACTCCGTCGCCAAGCTGTAGTCGAGGTTGAAGAAAGGAATGCCGGATGGATCCAGAATCTGATGCCGATCTGCTGCATCCACAATCATGGGAGGTCGAGCATCCGCCACAAACCGGCCACCCCAAAGCGCACATGGCTTGTACTCGAACCACTTCCCCCTTTGCTGGGGTGGCGGTAGCAGGATGCGCCCAACCAGAAACTGCGATGCTTGGTCGAAGACTGCCGTCGGTTGGCTCTGGAAGTTGTCAAAGCTTGCAGACCCCAACTCACGGCAGGTGCCAGCAACAGAAAAGGTTGGGCCTTCCAGCTTCGGGGCGAAAAAGTAGAAGGGTGCCACTGGTGCTGTTGGATCCACTGCAGGGCGGTCGCATGGCTGGAGCATGCGGCAAGGAGGTTCCTGCAGTTGTAGCAGGCTGAGCAGGCGCGCTTCCAAACCCGCCCGCATGGTGGCCTGCAGTGGGGGACCAATGCGCCCCACAGACTCCAACAGCATCCCGTGCAAATCCTCCATGCTCCGCAGCGCCCGGCAAAGCTCTGCCTCTGAGCAGGTGGGGTCTGGCTTCCAGCCTGCTTCCTTAAGATGCTCCAGCAACTGCTGCTCTGCAAGGCTGTATGGCTGCCTGACCTCAGAGGACGCAAACATGATTGGAAACAAGGTGCCGGGTTTAGGTTTTGGGCTGCCATGGATAACCTTCAAACATACAATGCCGTTTCCTTTGAACCCCACTGCTTGCTGAGCCTCTGCTGCTGCCACCGCCTCACGCATGCGGGCATTTCGGCCGGTGATGAACCCAAACAGCCGTGATGTGCTGCCCAGCAACCGCCTTCGTCCAAAGAGTTTAGGGTTTAGGGCTTAGGGTTTAGGATCAAGCGGGGGGAGTCGGTGTTTTTGGAAACGAAGCCAAGCACCCTCCACAACGCCATGCCCTGGTTACACATGCGTTGGCATCGACAGCAAGAACCAAGCGCAAAGTGCAAAAAAAACAGAGCTCAACGCCCGCGAGCTTTCCATCTTCGTTAATCGAATCATCCGATTTCTAGGGTCAGGGTTCAAATATGCACAACTTGCACATCCGAAGTGAGGCTTGACAGCTGAGCGTTAAGCTTAGGACGTGGGGTTTTGGTCCCCTATCTTCAGAGATCCGCAGCTAATTTTCATCAAGCCAGCACAGTGTGGTTGGATATGGACACTTCTGACGCCCTCGTGTCCAACCTTGAAACCCGAAACCCTAAACCCTTTTCCCCTTCCCCCTAAACCCTAAACCCTAAACCCTAAACCCTAAACCCTGCAAGCAGCGACTGTCAGCCCAGGAGCTGCAAAAACCCATCTCCTCGGCCATCTTCTGCCATATTGGATACACCCACACAGCGACAAGGCGTGGGCAAGGGGAAAGTCGATGTTGGCTTTATGGTCTTTAAGGACTCAGCAGGCGTTACAGGGTTGAAGGTTTAGGTTTCGGAATGCAACATGGACACCATGCTTCCCGCTGTTGCCGTCGGGCTTTGTCAGGGACGGGGCGTACAAGGCAGGACCAACTGTAAACCCTAAACCCTAAACCCTAAAACCTAAACCCTCTCGAGAGATCTCGTAGCTTAGAGGACGAGAGTTCAGTTCAGGGCCGTACAGGCTTGGGTCATGCCATGACATTTAGGTTCATGCAAGTTCAGGCTATTAAATGTTACTCTTCCTCTTCGTACCACTACTCATGTTATGACTATCACTACTATCATTGCGTGTATTATTGTTCCGCTTCGGGTTTTCAGACCCACACGCACTGGAGCAATAGGTGCTTGCCGCAACATTTGGTGGGCACCTTACTGCTGTGCACCAGAACGGTCCGTGCGGGATCAAAGTGCCATATAAGGGCTGGGTCACCCACTTGAACCGCTGAGAGAAGAGGATAAGCACAGCCATACCACCCACTAACGATGAGCGCTAAGATGACTCATAGTCATGACCCTCATCGAAGGTGGCTTAAGGCTTCTCAAAACAGCATCATCCTTGGGACTTAAGGACCCTCAATCCCTGGGACAATTGCTGGGGGCTAGTACTGGGACGTCGGAAGTGTGGCGTCGCAGCCAGCAGTCCATGGTGAAACTCCGAGCGGCATCAGCACCAGTAGAGGAATACTTCCCTTTTTGCTTCAGGGCTCCTGGGGTCTCTGGCCTGGTATTCCCTAAACCCTAAGCGCTAAATCGACTTGCTTGTGCATGGCGCAGTTTCGATGCCCATAGCTGGATTCTTCTGCAATTGCGAGGCTCTGATTACACAAGGCTGAGGGTTTAGGGTTTAGATTGCACAGAATACCAGAAACACTTCGCATCACGAGCTCTGCTAACATTTCTTTAGGTGCCGGGGGCACATCATCAGGGCAACAGCTTTCACACAGCTTCCTGTTCTCTTCACACGCCATGGACACGCTGGAGCTCCAGGTCTAAATATTGCTTCAACCCTAAGCCCTAAACCCGAAACCCTAAACCCTAAACCGTATACCGCTAAATATGAAGCAACAAATCCCCCCCATTCCTCCAAGCCTTGCCAAAGGATGGGATCACACCATGAGTACTTTGGGATTGGCCGAGTCTATACGTTTGCTTTTAGATTTCGGGCTTCCTCTTTCGAGTATTGTCGAGGGTGTCTGGGTGGGGATTGAGGATTTTGGCTCATGAAGGTGACAGCAATGAACTCGTTTTCTCTTACACAGCGCTTCTGGCAGAGAGGTTCATGAACGTCTTCTACGGCTTCGGTGCCACGGTGAAACAGGCCTTTAATCTTGCTTCGAGAATGCGGGGCTGAGGTTACGTTTCAGAAGCTGCATGTGGCAGTAACCCTAACCCCCTAAACCCTAAACCCAAAACCCAAAACCCACCTTTCAGAAACTTTGTGAAGTTTGAGTTGTCTTGTGCTCTTGCATTCAAAAGGCACCTAGAGTTTCGATGTTCGCGAGGTAGAGATCTACAAGTGGGCACCTTGTGATTGTTGCTGGCCAGCTCCATTTGGAGAGGTCGGCTTAAAGAATTCCATGCGAGGTCGTTCCCCAGTGGACACGCATTGTTTCTAATGGCCGTCCCTTACACCACGACCTGTGGCATCCGTGCGCTTGTTCCGGTGTCAAGCCACGCTTCTGCGCCGAAAACGCCTAGGTGTCCAGGCTTCTCACGCGAAGCCCGTGCAGAGCGGATCTCTCTGCAAGGCTTGTCACTCCAAAAACGCCTCCTGTCGGGAACATGTTCGACATGTCTGGCGCTGAAAGCATGCTTGCAATGCCCACAGCCTTGATTGGATCTGAAAGCCACAGCCCTTGGGTCAATCATCACGGGTATGTGTTCTGTAAAGCCGAAGCACACGATTCAGCCCAAACTCTGAGCCCGTGAGGCACTTGGGATCTGAGCCAAACTCAGCTACATTTTTCCCAATTCTGGAGGCACCGCTACGAAGTAGCCGGTCGTGCTTCACCCCACACACATCTCAAGAAGCCCGAAACCCTAGACCCTAAACCCTAAACCCCAAAGTAAAAAGTTCGTGCAAGTTGAGAAAAGGCCAGGCAAGGCATCTTCAAGGACGCCATCAACGCCCCATCCTTCCAACCCCCCACATCCCAAACACAGAATCAGTTGCTGTGCTTTTTGAAACCCTAAAGCCTAAACCGATACTATTATAATCCCTATCAAGGTATATGAACTATAAGCCCTTTTAGGGTCCATGTCGTCCCCTAAACTCTAAACCCTAAACCCTAAACAGTCATCGGGGTTCCGTCCTTGGAGGACCTTGATCTGGAGATGGAAGACGAAGCCTCAGGAATGCTTCTTGGTTTAGGGTGTACAAGTTGGGAGGCTCCCCCCCCCCCCCCCCCCCAAATGGGGATCATAATCGCGGCTACGAGAATCCCTATGAAGGACTGTCAGTATAAGGGGGAACGTCCCAATGTACGAGGCTAAGGCTTTTGGGGTTCTGTGAGCTTCAACCCTAGCTATGGGGAGTCCCAAGGACTGCGAGTCAGCATTCGAGGTCGAGGGGGGGCCTCCTGTTGTATGAACTTTTGGGGAATTAGGGCCTTGGCTCTAGGGGTTTAAGGGTTTCGGTTTAAGGGGATCAGCCAGACCACTCTAGTTGCCCTGAACCGCCTGAATTCCCCCTGTCCGAACCCCAGGACAAACCGGGACACACCCTGGCGCTTCCACCATGGCGCTGAAAAGACGACACAGATGCCCCAAAACCCTCACCTGTACCTTTACTTCTCTGAAGGCCAGGGGCTTTACCGGCTGAACAGGACTAAGCGTTATTCCGATATTCCTTCTTTAGTATTACAAACGAAGGCACCCAAGGAAACTGAAAACCAGCGATGGGCCAGAAAGTTTTGGCTGTAAACCAGAAACACACAAACCCATCGAATCGAAAACATAAGCACGTCGAACAACGAAGAAGATTCAGCTTTTGGGGGGGCTAAGGCTTCTAAGGGTAAGGGGCTTCTGGATTTTGGGTTGAGGGGTTTTGGGGTGGGGCCCAGGGCTAAGCCATGCTCAGGCCCCAACACGGGATAGCTTGGTCCTGAGCCAAGTGTGCCACTTGAGAGCATACCATAGGGCACCCGGTTGAAGAGGTGCCCGAATTTCGAAGAATCCCCATGCGCAGCAGACATCTTGAGTTGTTGCTTTCCTGGGCTCTGAAATCGCTTCTGCCGCATCGTCAAGCAGGAGCGCCCATGATGGAGCTAGTTCCGTACGGCTGCAAGCCCCCCTCTCTCAGTCGCTCACGACCCGCGAGCAGCAGATTGTAGTATGGCGGGGTCGAGCTGCGACATACCTGTGCAGGTCCCGGCAGCAGCCCCCCCAAGCCCGTTTTGCCTATACTCCAACGCCTGCACCACATCTGGATTTCTCCCATATGTAGAGACAGACTTGGGTGTCGGGCTGGTGGGTCAGCACAGGGGATGACAGATGCCAGCAATGAAATCTCAACCTCTGGCTGACTTTGATCGTAAGACGCTGATGTTGACCCCTCAACTCAAGATCCTCCACAACAAGGCATGGCGGGCACACGATTCTGCAAGCAAACCTTCCTACGTCCTCAGCACTCAGCACCCCGAAACCTAGGAAACCTACAGCACCAGACCGCAACGCCGCAGACTTGTCACGCACTGCGCTGTGGGTCACCACCCTTCGAATTCGGAGGTTGCTCCTGGGCCAATGCCGTCAACTTCGCATACCCCTGAACTACCCTCGCGAGGGCTTGCATGTTTGGCTAGCTGCCTGGCTGGCTAGCTTCCGAAACATCTTCAGGTCATGGTTTGCGGACTGTGATCATCCGACACACATGGGTTCATACTGCTGATGAAGACGCATGTGGATTAATCTTGGAAAGCGAAAATGGTATCCGCATGCGCAGCCTCGGAGAGTGAGCCACCGTCTTCTGCCGTGGCGTCAGCTTCTGCGTGTAGCCTGAAGAAGCGTGCTGTCCAGGGGCAGAATGTGTTTTCAAAAAGTCAGGGTTTCAAGTTCTGACCAACCCATGAATGCATGTTTGATGTGCATACTTCTGTCCTATAACTACATACATGCTTCCATACATACATGCTACCTAGCTACAAGAGGCAGAGTAGAGTTAAAATCAATGTATGCGTTTTAGCTGCTTTCAACCGAGGTCACAACCGAAAACCATCACACACACACACAAGGAACATCCCTCCGCTAGGGTTTGGGGTTTAGGGTTTAGGGTTTAGGGTTTAGGGTTAGGGTTTAGGGTTTAGGGTTTAGGGTTTAGTTTAGGTTTTAGGGTTTAGGGTTTAGGGTTTAGGGTTTAGGGTTTAGGGTTTAGGGTTTAGGGTTTAGGGTTTAGGGTTTAGGGTTTAGGGTTTAGGGTTTAGGGATTCGGGTTTAGCCCCCGGAAGTTCAATAACGTCTCATCAGGAGTTGCCTCTCATCTCCCTCCTCAATGGGTGGGTGCTCGCCTCGGGAACCAAGGGCAGACTTCATAGCTCGGGTTTAGGGCTTCCGCTGCGTGATCTGAGGGCCGCGCCCTCCCGATTCATGCAGGTTTAGGGCTTCGGATTTAGGATTCTTTTGACTCAAGAGACGCACTGGTTTAGGTTTTAGGGTTTAGGTTTCAGGGCTTTGGCCGGACGGTGCTTCAGAACCTCCACCCTAAGAAAATTTGCAGGGGCAGCATAAGTGGTCCTGAACCCGAAACCAACTTATACCGTAAGGCTTAGGGTCGCCATGGCTGATGGTAGCACCTGCACTCTGCAGAAGCTTAGGGTGTTGAGCTCAGGGTACAGCTGGTAGAGGGATACTTAAGGCTCAAAGTGCCAACTTCAGGATCACGGTCCTAGGGCGCCCATCCTAAGCAGGCAACTGCATCACAAAAGACAATTTAAGTTTCAACTGTCGGCTACATCTGAGGAATCATGAATCCCAAGTGCCAGGCTGTCGAAACCTGCGGCCGAAGGGCTCGGGGGGGTTACGGGCTGCTGTGGGGGGTTTGGGGCTTCAAGGGCTTGGGGTTGGGGTAAACCCTAAACCCTAAACCCTAAACCCTAAACCCTAAACCCTAAACCCTAAACCCTAAACCCTAAACCCTAAACCCTAAACCCTAAACCCTAAACCCTAAACCCTAAACCCTAAACCCTAACCGCCAATGCATCTTCGAAGGAGCCAAAGCCGAAAGACAAACCAAAAACCCCTGTCCCCAACCCAGGGGAACCCGAAGGGTCCATGCACCTGGATAGCACATTCTGGTCCAAAAGCTGCTATATAGGAACCCTTTGAGGCCTAGGCTATATACTACAGGTACATGGACCCTGAGGGGAAGCACTGAAATCGACAGAGGGTATAAATTTGGGAGGCAAAGTGCCCCCCAAAGCTCTATACAGTCCGAAATCCTTGGAGGCTGCACCTTGTTCACATTTAAGGGACACTGCAAAAGCCCCTCACCCCTAGCCTGCAGACCCGCTTTCTGGGTTAGGGTTGAGGGTGTAGGATTTGCGGTGGAGGGTTTAGGGGCTTAAAGCCCCAAGATTTTGGGGAATTGCCTTTGACATGGCTTTTTAAACATCCAACAAGTTGGACTGTTGGGGTTCTTGGGATGCTTGTTGAAACATGAGGGGGTCCCGGGCATTTGAGGAATTATCGATCCAGGCGTTTGGGCCGGAGGGCTGTGAGGTTGAAAATTCCAGGATGCCATGTTAGGATCCAACCCAGGAGGTTTGAGCTTCGGGTTTAGGGTTTAGGGTTTAGGGTTTAGGGTTTAGGGTTTAGGGTTTAGGGTTTAGGGTTTAGCGTCCAGAGTTTAGAGTCCAGAAGCCGCAAGCTCTCACGCTCCTGGCGAACGGTCAGGGCGCATGTCGCCTACTTCTGCCGGCGTGTGCCCCGAGCCTTCACGACTCTTCGTTCGAGAGAGATGCAGCCGCAAACGCCGGGCTGCCTCCGTCGATTGACTGGTTTGGCTACTAGTCTCCACCTGTTCTTGCCTCTATCTTTCCGGCTGCTCTTGATTTGCTGCTTCTCCCACTTGGCCTAGGGCTTACGGCAGCCTCTTGTAGACGCCTGTCTCAGGGTAGGTTTTAAAGCTTGGGGCTTCGGGCGGTGTGATCGCCCTCACACTGCTAACAAGCCACCGGGCACCCAAGCCTGAACCACAGAAACCTTAGATCCGAACACCTAAACCCCAAACAATGCCCTCTCACAATCAACGCTAAGAACTTAGAAGTCTTACCGAAAGGCATCTAGTTAATGTAGTACCTTTTGGGTCCCCTACTACAACCCAAACCTTAGAAATCGCAACCTTCACAAACAAAAAAGCCCTTGTAGCGCCGAAATGCGCACTCCCAGCTCTTTGACCCCATTTCACCCTTCCAGTCTAAATTAAACCCACCTCCCCCTCCCGCCCTAAACCCTAAGACCTTTTTGAAACCGGACTTGATGACTGCCAGTAGAAAACGAGCCAGAAATTTGATTGACACATCCCAAATCCTAAACCCTAAACCATAAACCCTAAACCCTAAACCCGCCCTTCTCCCCCAAAAGCCCCCCCTCGACCTCCTCTACCTGCCGGGTCGTGCTCCCTGCATGGGCTACAGGACGGCGGGGCTTGTGGCAGGACTTCGGGGCTTGGTGTGTGCAAGCTCCTCCAGGTGCTGGGGTTTAGGGTTTAGGGTTTAGGGTTTAGGGTTTAGGGTTTAGGGTTTAGGGTTTAGGGTTTAGGGTTTAGGGTTTAGGGTTTAGGGTTTAGGGTTTAGGGTTTAGGGTTTAGGGTTTTAGGGTTTAAAGGTTTAAAGGTTTAGGGTTTAGGGTTTAGGGTTTAGGGTTTAGGGTTTAGCGGTTAGCGGTTAGCGGTTAGGGTTTAGATGTTGGGGAATTGAGGTGCAGGAATCAGGGAGATTTTGGGGGGGTTTAGAATTTAGGGTGGTTTAAGATTGCACTGCTTCGGCATTTGTGCGTGGAAGGGCGTTCGGTGCTCGCAGACTTTCGGCGGAAACATGTGCTCCCACCGTAGCTCTTGTAAGCCCTTTTTTGAACCCAGACTCAGAGCACCAGCTGGGACCACCAAGCCACGCATTTCCTGAACAACTCTAAACCCCAAACCCCAAATCCCAAACCCCAAACTCCTAAACCCTAAACCTTAAACCCTAAACCCTAAATAACAAATAACCCTAAACCCTAAACCCGCCCTCCCCTCAGCACGGCCTGCAGGATCCTCATAGTATTCATCCTCCGGATTCCTGGCCACGAGGCTGCAGAGAGCTCTTTCCTTTCAAGGTTTCGGGTTTCGGGTTTAGGGCTTGAAAAGAACTTAGGGTGCAGGGCGGATGGTGTTGGAGATTCATCGTCTGAGGCTGGATGGGCCTTTTGCTTTCATGAAAGGGCTGGCTGGTGTTTAGGGATTTGGGGTCTCAAGCAGCACGAGCTACAGAGCTGCCAGTCCTTTAGTCCTGCCTGTGATCTCCTACCAAAAGCATGAGAGGTGGGCTGCAAAGCAAGTAGAACAAGCCACCTAAACCATGTAAGCCCCCGAGCCATCGTGTCCTCGTCTGGCTTGTGCTACCTGGGCATAGTCTACAGGATACGCACAGGACGTAGGGGTCGAGTATCTGCCGGGCTTCTGCTATACAGTACAGGGCGTACGCAGGCTGACGGTTTTGTGATGCCCCTTGCGCAACCTTTTTTGCCCTAAAGGCCTCACCAATCGCCAGAAAAAAATCAGGTCCACCTTCCATACTCCTACCAAACAAGAACCCCCCCCCCCCCCCCAAAAAAAAAAAAAAGAACTGCAAGAACAACAAGTTCAAACTATTGGCCAAGCAACCGGAACACAAAACAATCAGCCCTAAATCCAGCAGGACATGTCCCCTATCAGGTCTCGAGCTCTTCCTGAGCAGCCCGGCCGAGTTCGCCTGTGGCTTTCCGGGTAAGGCTTTCCAATCCTCCTGGGCATCCGCCACTAGGGGAATTTGGGGGCAGTCCGGGTACGGGAAAGTAGGGCAGCAGAGGCAAATTGAGCTGTTCCATGGCCGGATTGCGTTGAGAGTCGCGACTTCACTTGGCGGCAAGCTACAAAAGCACAAGGTCATCATCATGAAGAACATGTGGTCAGTTCTCTATACACGATGGTGCCCTTTCTTGGGGTTCCTGCTGCAGTGTGACATATTTGGGTACACCGAAAAGGGGGCCAGACTTGCAGAACTGCCCCATTTGGGTCTGTGGCGCATAGCCTCATGTCCTACTTGAAAACTCGGCTGCCGGCCAAGTTCACCAGTGGCTTTCCGACTCAGAGTGCCAGACCCTCCTCAACAGCTCAAAGGTGCTAGAGGGTTATCTGATGATATTGCTATGCATGTATTTGTCATACAAGTTGTTCTGCTGATAGTGCCTTATTGCTAGATTCTTCTATCACTCTTTTCTTACGTAGTACGGAAGTCTTGTATTACTAGGGGGGAAAGGTTTGCCGCATTGCAACTTCGAACAGTCCTCTGTACTTGGTCTGACCTTCAAAGCATATTCTTTGGGTTTAGGTTCTTCTCCTTTTGCCACCGGCCTAGCTGACCTCTCTCGGACGCTCTGCACGGGAATATCTATTGCAAATGCCTCTCATCTCGTTGGCTGTTCCCCTCAAGTTTGCAGGCGGGGAACCTGAGAGGTTTTTGCCACCCGCACTGCCCTCGCTCACCGAGGGGGCTTAGGGTTTGGGGCTCTCTCCTCCCAAATCGTGATTGAAACACAACACTATGCCCTGTAGCCCAAACCCCAAAGCCTAAATCTCCCTCCGGCCTCGAGACAGCTTAGACTGACCTGCACAGGAGCGCTCTCGAAAAGGTTTAGGAACTGAAGCTTGGATGCTTTCGCCTCTTGGGGTTTAGGTTTAGGGTTTAGGGTTTAGGGCTTAGGGTTTGGGGTTTAGGTTTAGGGTTAAGGGTTTAGGGTTTGAACCAGTGTCATAGGGCGCTGTGTTAGGGCCAGGTTGCTGACCCCAGCCCGAAGTCTACGTGACCGATACACAGCCTTTCCGGCAAGCTGCTCGTGGTCCCGTGAGAAAGGGATCCCCCCCTACGATACGGAGCCTTAGTACCTTGCACGCCATACAAGGAACCATCATGTAGAGGAAGCCCCTATCGAAGTTGAGCAGCACCATGCCTGAAACCCGAATTAGCAACAGCCCCACATGCAGAGAATCCTCCGAAGGAAAGCATGCGCCCGCAGACTTCGTTGTGTGCCCCAAGCCAAGGCAGAAGCCACAAGGAAAACGAGCTGCAAAGCCAGGGATGGGACCGTGATCCATGCTGGCTTGCCATGCTCTTTTGCAAGCTTGTGAAGGATGGAAGGTCGAGGGTTGCACCGTTACCGTATACTTCCATCCCAACCGAAGGCGTCAAACAATCCAAAGTGCGGAAATCCGATGCCAGCTTTCAGAAGAAGGGGCGCGCCTGACGGCGCTAAGTCGTCCACCATGAGCGAGGGATCGCCTGTTGCGGCACTTAAACTCATAAAAAACCCTCTATTTGCTGACCCCGGTACCCCTGAAGCCTTGCAGGCTAAGGATAGGAGGAGCTCTGGCAACAGCTACCCTTCCACAGCGCCTTGAGGCGCCGGAGGCCGCGGTAACCTTGGCCGGGACTGCCTCTCATCCGACTTTTTTAAACCTGGGAGCTGCTTTCATCCCCAAACCCTGAACCCTACATGCTCGCTCCTGGGCGATCTGTGTCTCTCTCTCGGTCTCGCTTTCGCTCTGCAACTGGAGCCATGTCATAGGCCAGAATTCCCACAGTTCATGGCCTCATGACTCTGGATCGTTGGACGAGATGGTTTTCGTGTAACGCAGCCTTTCGGATGGTGCCATCCTGCTTGGAGTATTTGCGGGTCCGCGTGACGACATGGGGGGCTTCATCTGATCCGAGGCGGGATGCTCTCAAGTCCAGCCTCTGATTGTTGCCAGACTTTCACACCATGTGGTAAAGGAAGACATTGAATACACTCGACCTGGAAAAAACACAACCCAGACTCCAGACAATCACGCTTCCGTTATATAAACCCTAAACCCTTGAACAATACGCAAGATTTTTATTGACAGCGACTGCCTGACTTTCCGACAAGAGGCGAAATGCGAGATCGGGAGCCTGAAGCGGAGGCTATGGATAGGTTTCGGTGAAGGGTTTAGGGTTTGGGGTTTAAGGTTTAGGGTGTAGGTTTTTGGGCTTAGGGTGTAGAGGGCAACATGCCATGCCAGCAAAGTCTACAAGTAGATTTTGTTCGGCCGCAGTCTAGATCATAGATGCCAAGTCTGGGCCAAGAAGCATTGGAATCCGCGTTAAAGTATGCGCACAAAACTGCTACTGAGTCCTTGGGTATAGACACGTGTTTGCCCCATTCCTAGCAGCAGGAACCCTAAACCCTAAACCCTAAACCCTGAACCCTGAACCCTAAACCCTACACCCTAAACTACTTTTCAGCCCACCAGAGCTCTCTGGGAGATGCTGTGGCTGGGAGGATGGGCTCCAGACATGTTTGCACTTCGTAGAACCCAGGGCGCCTAGCACTTCTTCTATACCATGCCCAAAAGGATGGAACACAAAAACACGTAGTTCCAGAGCTATGTGTATATATATATATATACATATACATATACGTGTGTGTGTGTTGTATGACACACACACACATATATATATATATATGTATATATGATATGTGCAGTCTAGAATGCATATGCTATGCTGCTATGCCGTCGGTATGCAACTGCTGTCGGAGAAATACATGCATCCCCACCCCCCCCCCCCCCCCCCAATGACCTTTGACCCTCCGTGCAGCGCAAGCAAAGACCCGAAGCCATGTAGACCAGAGCTCAACAAGGCCCCAGGCTCCTCCCTCTCCATCATGAAAGTGCAGGATTCATAGGGTTGAGGGTTTAGGGTTTAGGTTTCAGGGTTTATGGTTTCAAGAATACTGAGCCCAGGCACAATCGAGGACGCCAGATGTGGAGAGGATGTCCAGCCTACAGAGCTGCAGAGGAGGCTCGGCTTCTTGTGCTGAGCTTACAGGGTTTAGGGTTTAGGGTTTAGGGTTATTTTTCAAGAGAGCTTGCGGCATGGGCATGGGCAACAAGACATCTGGGTCCGGTCTTTGAAATCAGGGGCCATTTTGGGGTGTGCTACATACCAGGACTCGTGGCAAGAAGGGATCACGAGTTCGAGTAGTGACCATGCTTGCGTTGAGGGCCGACAGGACAAGTAGGAGACTGAAGGGTGGCCCTGAACCCTTAAGCCTAAAGCCTATAAACCCCGAACCCTAAACCGTATATGGTTGAGCGCGCTTAGGCTTATTGAGTATCGGCTACCTGCGAACGGTAAACTGGCACCTCGGTCCGTGGAAACCAAGGCGCCCCTTATTGGGGGTAGCATGGTTTAGGGTTTAAGGTTTAGGGGATTGCGAACTTTTTGATGCGCGGAACAACCCCAACCCTACCCCCCCGCATCCAAATGAACCCTACCAAGGGGGTCATCTACCCTATCATTAGGGCATATGAACCGACAACTTTTCTAGGGTTCTTGTGGACCCCAAGGCTCACAACCCACGGTGGCCTTTCGACCTTCTTTGGCGGATTGGCCCTGGGACATTCGAGCGTGGGGACTGTTAAGCCAGGGTTGAGGGTTTAGGGTTTAGGGTTAGGGTTTAGGGTTTAGGGTTTAGGGTTTAGGGTTTAGGGTTTAGGGTTTAGGGTTTAGGGTTTAGGGTTTAGGGTTTAGGGTTTAGGGTTTTCGGGTTCAGGGTTAGACTTTCAGGCCTTTGGGAACTAGACTTCGGGGGCCATGGGTGCACCCCCGTTCCCTACCGTACCCTTTTCGGGGCATTTCTGGGGCGCCGACAATGACAATCTCGCGCCACAAGCTTTGGGGCTTGGGGTGTAGGATTGAAGGGTTTAGGGTTCGGCTGGGTACCATACCCGAAACCCGGGTGCGTCAGATTTAACACCCAGAGCTCAGCAACCTCCAACCCCCCTTCAACCCCCTCCCCCCCAAAAAAAGGTGTGTCACCCTCGAGGTAGGCCCCTAGGCCCCTAAATGCCTGCACCAAGCCTGAAACACAAAATTCCACAAACACCGAAACCCTAAGCCCGAATACAGCAGAAGCTGAACCCTAGCCAAGCCTTAAACTCTTTGACCAACTCTTCTTGCAAAAACCATGAAACCCCAAACCAAAAACCTGGGGCGCGGGACAAGGCGAGAAGTTGGGCGTTATAGTCCTCCAGCCTGGGCAGGACGGGCGGGCGCATCCCTTGAAGGCCACGAAGGCATTGTGGGTTGATTTGGATTCGATGACCAGCGCTTCTTCTGCCGCAAAACAAGTTGTGTAAAAGGGTACTAGCCCTAAACCTATTCAACCTAAACTCGGAACCCGAAGTCCTAGTCGCAAAGCAAAGGGATCTATAAAAGTGCCCAGTAAACCCTTGTAGAGCCCTGTTCCGCAGGAGTGAAGACTCCCCGAAACTTGAAAGCAGGGCTGTCGTGTCTAACAGTCACTGGGGCAAGGACTCATCATCCAACCTGGCAGCCATTCTTTTCCCCCGGGTGGCTAAGTGTAGCTGAGGCGAAGGAAGGTTTTGGTTGAGGGGGTTTAGGGTGCTGGGTTTTCTCCGGGTGTCGGTTCCCCATCTGCTTCCTAATCTCCATCCCGGCCATGGCTACTGCCCTGCACTCTCTCCATGCTCTTCTGGGCCTGAAGCACGTCACCCCTCCACATCACGCAGCGGGAGCCCCCAACTTGCTCCAGGCCCGAAACCCCGAACAGTTTCCGACACGTTCAAAAAGCATCACAAGCAAATCCTGAGGACTTGAACCCGAACTTCCGATGCTTGTGCTCCAACCTCTGCAACTCTTGAGGTTCATTCGCCCATTCGCTGTTCCAAGCAACTTCCAAAATAAGGGTTGGGCTTATAAAGGACTAGGGGGTTGGGGCTTATAAAGGATTAGGGGGTTAGGCTCGCATATGATAAGGACAAGCTTCCTCCCATTCCTGCCGATCAAGCTCTTGCACTCTTGTGTCTGAGCTCCCAGCTGCTCGATCTTTTTCTTGTTCTCTGTCATGACCCTCGGTGTTTGTCGGGTTGTGCCGTTTCGTTAAGATTGCCTAAGGAGTGGCCCTGCCACGCCAGGCTATGCCCTGCAGTGCAAGAACTCCTGATCCCCTACAGATGCATTCAGCAAGTCGGTTTAGTGGTAAATCTGAGCCCTAAGCCAGTTAGCTTCAACAAAAAGTCATCGAGGCCCAGGCGAGAACGGATTCCAGGGGAGCGGCGCATCATCAGAAAGGGCTGCGACAGCCTTCGCATTCGTGGGATGCCAGGGTTCTACTGCAGGGTTTAGGGTTTAGGGTTTAGGGTTTAGGGTTTAGGGTTTAGGGTTTAGGGTTTAGGGTTTAGGGTTTAGGGTTTAGGGTTTAGGGTTTAGGGTTTAGGGTTTAGGGCATGCTCAACCTCCACGCCTTGTGCCCTGCGCGCAAAAACCTACAACCAGCACCTCTCGATCCTAAACCCCAAATCCCCAGCACACGAGGGCTCACAGGTTCTAGTGTGCAGCCCTGGCCCTTCCGTAGCCTTCCCTTTCACAACATACGACACAACACAGAAGCAGAAACCTTTCAGTCGGGGCGAATCTAAGATCTCATCCTGGACGCGTTCCAGGCTGGACGCGCGTGGGCCACCATGAACTCCAAGCAAGTGGCAACAACAAGAAACATCTTCGACCCCCGATCCAGAAGCCCGCAACCATAAACGTTCTCTGCCTGTACAAATGAACCCTAAAGTTCAAAAGGGCCGGCACAACTCCAAAGCACTCCAATCGCAGCCCCAAAACCCAACCCTCAAACCTAATGGTGCAATCAATAGCATCATCGTGCCAAAACTATTGCAACCGAAACCCTAGAGTCCCAGGGGGTCGTGGCGCGCAAACGCCCAGGGCCCCCACCGACTCTTTGAAATTGGGCAGCTTCCCGTACCTTGGTATCAGGGCTTAAGGTTTATGCCTCAGGGCTTAGAAGGGCTTCGGGTTTAGGAGGGGCACACAAAACGGCTTGCCACAGTAGAGCTAGCGATGTGAGGCGTAAAATGAACCAGTTGCAACAATGTTGGGCCTCAAGATCTTTCGGGTGCCAGGCGGGCGCTACTTCCTTACCTTGATATGGTGACACCATCCACTCAACAAAACGCATGCCAAGGTCGGTGGTTGGAGTTTAAGGCTCCCACCCGGCATAGAGCATGTTGTCGATGAGAACGTCCATCGAACCTTTGGCATGGGCTGAGGGTTCTCCCTAGACCCCAAACTAGGGACATATGACTAAGACTCTGAACATCGCTAACATTCTCAGAATATTGTTATTCATATGATTTCACCGTGTTTTTATTGCTAAGTTACAAGGCCATTTGGGCTCGGGTGCTGAAACGCACTATGAGCCCCAAGAGGCCCTATGAGCCCTAGAAGCCCAAATCATCCATGTTTGTTCTCTGGCAAAGAAGAACCCGGGTCAGGGTCCCCAATTCCAGGAAAGAAAAACCTTTCCTTCCATGTTCCCTTCGGTGCTTTGGCAAGAAGTGCCCAGGCCAAAGCCATCACAAGTGGCTGGTGGAGAAGACCCGAAGGCAAAAAGCTACACCACTATAGGTTAGAGGGAACCAAGTGGCGCTGTTTGCAGCGCCTGCCAAGCCATAGAATGACTCCGCAAAGACCCCTGAAAATTGCCGGCATGCACAGCCCTAAACCCTCCCTAAACCCTGATGCCACCCCCCCCCCCCCCCACCCCACCCACCCTCGTTTCCCCCCTGCCCCTGCAGTTGCGGGACTCGACGGAATGCCGTCGCGCAAGGCCCGCGTGATCTGGTAGCGCCTGTACCTGCACGGGGGACTCTAGGGCTTTGAGTTCCGGGCTTCCAACTGATTGAGCCAAGGTTGAGGCTTAATTAGGGTTTAGGGTTTAGGGTTTAGGGTATATATATATATATATCTTTATAAGGTCCTGAGCCTACAGGTTCAGGCTTTGGGGCGTTTAGGGTTCCTCCAGATTTGGAGTTGAGGGTGGCAGAGTCAAACGCTCAGAAGAAGCAGGGTTTAGGGTTTAGGGGGGGCTCCCAGCTTCGATGTTTCAGGGTTTAGGGTTTAGGGTTTAGGGTTTAGGGTTTAGGGTTTAGGGCTTTCTGATTCCGAGCTTTTCGAGGTGCACGTCTTGTGATTCAGGGTTGAGGGTTGCGAAGTCAGAGCTTCACGGGTGCAAAGCTCTTAGAACTCAGGGTGTTAATGCCCCGTGCTTGTTGAAGCGTTCAGGCAAGGTCTGGACCCCGACAACCCTCAGCCCTGAACGCCTGAAGTCCCTGAACCATGGGTTTGGGTCTAGGGTCTTAGGGTTTAGGGTTTAGGGAGCGTCTGACCCAAAAAGACACAATTTCGTGCTCTTGGGGCGTCGGGGGGGGTGCGGGGGTTTGGGGCTTCGTAAGCATTTGGGTTTAGGTTTAGGGTTGCACAGTTCAGGGCTGCAGGGCTAAAGCCTTTGAGGGTTAGGGCCTAGATTGAACAGGCCTTGCGGGCTCTACCCTAAGAGCCAACAAACCTACCTTTTTGGTAGGTTCTTAGTATATGAAAACCCCTTCTAGGATTCTTGGGCGGCCTACAAAAGCGTAGGCTTGGAGTTCTTAAGGTATGGCTTGGCTTTGGCATGTTGCTTCCACGAGGTTCTTGCAGCTCCCCGGTGCCTCCAAACCCTAAACCCTAAACCCTAAACCCCAAACCCGAAACCCGAAACCCGAAACCCTAAACCCTAAACCCTAAACCCTAAACCCTATAGGGTATAAGCGCCAACTCATCACATTTGGGGCGTGCCCAATGGTCTCAGCTTCACGGATGAGCTTCCGCCTCTCCTGGGGCGCTCCCGTTTGAAGGCTTAGACTGGGTTTAGGGTATAGGGTAATTATAGGGTTTAGGGTTTAGGGGGGTGGGGTTTAGGGTTTAGGGTTTCGGGTTTAGGGTTCGGGCATGAGGCTTATACAAGCCTCAAAGCGAAGGGTTGCGGTTTCAGATCACTTCAACCCCCCCCCCCCCCCCAAAAAAAAAAAAAACCCTGTGCAAGGAAGTCTGAACGCATGGTCAGAAAACCAACGGAAGCAAAGGCCCAACCAAAAGCCTACGAAAAGGGTGGGCAAAAGTGCTTTGAGCACGAACATGGGGTGAGGAACGATTTTCAACCCTAAACCCTAAACCCTAAACCCTAGAGGTACGGCACCTCCAGCCAACTGGAGTTCCCCAATGCTGAAGTTCATGGCCGGAGAGAAAAGCTGCTCATGCTCAAAACTTTCGGCCGAGGTTCCCTACTATCCCAACTCCTTCCACTAGCTCAAATAAGACAAAGCCCCCATAAACCCTAAACCCTAAACCCTAAACCCTAAACCCTAAACCCTAAACCCTAAACCCTAAACCCTAAACCCTAAACCCTAAACCCCAAACCCTCCTCTGAACCCAAACCCAAGACTGAAAGCTATAGCCGACCGACGCACCTTCCCGGAGCCCTAACTTCCCCGGTACAGGCTGAAGAGGAGCCCTGACAATTCCAAAACAATAAGGGCTTCGGAGTTTAGGGTTTTTTACGGTTTAGGGTTTAGGGTTTAGGGTTTAGGGTTTAGGGTTTAGGATTTATTAGGCTTTAGCTGGGGAGTTTAGGGTTCTTAAGGCTTCCAGTTTAGGATTGGGATGCCCCCCTTATGCTAAGAGTCCTTAACAGGGATTATAGCACCCCTAGTAGAATCCCTATGAAGGACAGCTTGTACAAGGGGGAACATCCCAAGTTGAGGAATGTCAAGCTTCCAGCGCCCAGGAGTCCGCTACGCCCCCACCCGCGCCTCCTGCAAGAAGAGTGGGAGGTTCTCCACGTCGTCGTGACTTTTCTTGACCCTGGCGGCGCACGTACTTGGCTGTTTGCACACAGCAAACTTCGAAAGCCGGGATTTGGAGAGAACGGGAAAGCCGAGACGCATCATGATTGTTGGATGTGCGCAACTAAGAATCATAAAAAAGGACCCATCTACTAACCCTAAACCCTAAACCCTAAACCCTAAACCCTAAACCCTCAACCCTCAACCCTCAACCCTCAACCCTCAACCCTCAACCCTATACTTATAATCGAAGAATCACTATCAGATTCAAGGAAGCGTCGGGCTTCGGGTGCTGAGGGGACTTGCGGCCTGAGGGGGCTTTCGTTGAGGGGCTTGCGGGCGATTAGGGTTAGGGTTTAGGGTTTAGGGTTTAGGGCTTAGGGCTTAGGGCTTAGGGCTTAGGGCTTAGGGCTTAGGGCTTAGGGCTTAGGGCTTAGGGCTTAGGGTTTAGGATTTCAGGGCTCAGGGCTGAGGGTTTCGGGCTTAGGGCTGGCTGAGGGTTTGTAGGGCTACAAACAACACTAGAAGCATAGGTACTTGTAAAAACATAGACTACGTTGAAATGAAAACGTGAGTGTTGTTTGCAAAGGTGTCGCGGAATCAAGCGGGTGGTCTTGTATATTGCCACATAAACAAATAAATATCCAGCCCCATGTGCATTAAATATATACATCTACTTATTACACATATGCACACATTTCATATGACCTTTGGATCTAGCTGGGTCGAGGGCCTTCGACTCTGACAGGAAGCGGAGGGCCCCCGCAAATATCGGATCTGGGGCCGTGGCTTAGGCTTCTCCTCTTCTGAGGACGAGGACAGGTCAACCTCCATAAGAAGCAGAAGAGACTTATGTAGGGCAAAGACCGTGTTAGGTCTTGTAGTCTTTGGGGATTCTAACTTGGCTTTGTAGGGGCTGGAGCTAGGTAGGCCCTTGAAGGTTTCAGTAGGGGGGGGGGGGGGCTCCAGCTCGGGCGCGGCTTGAAACGGCTCAGCATCTACCTCCATCCGATCCCAATCCATGTTCCCTGGGAGCCCATGAGTGTCCACAAAAAGCGGTGGCTAGGGTGGGGTGGCGGGTTCGATTTCGGGCAATGGGGCTGTCAAGGTCTTCTACAAGGGCTGGAGCTTTGGGTTTAGAGGGGAGCGGGTAGATTTGGGGCTTCGGGCTGTTCAAGCTTGTTCTTGAGTTGGCACTTCGGCGACGGTCAGCAGACAGAGTGTCAGACATGGACACACGAACACAAACACACGGAGACAGGGAGACATAGAGACACAGAGACGCAGAGACGGTCAATTCAAAACCCGGACATCAATATACTAAACAGCCCCACCTAAACCGGAAAAAGCACGTACTTCCTAGTCCAGATCACTACTTGGAGGTTCATGGTACGTTTCAACCAATTATCACTGCACTTATAACCCACTTATTAGCCCCTTAAGTGCCCTAATCATATTGTTATAAGTACAGTTATACTTGGCTAATAAGTACCATGAGCCTCCAAGTAGTGGAGCTAGACATGAACTGGCAGAGTCCAGCTTGCTGCCGAGCATAGACTTTATGCTAGGATAAAGTAGAGATTCTGCTCGACTGCCTACCGCCCTAAACCCAAAACCTTTAAACCTTTAAACCCTAAACCCTGAACCCTAAACCCTGACCCCGGAACCCTGAACCCTAAACCCTAAACCCTGAACCCTAAACCCTAAGCTCTTGAGCATTGTTCTGGCCTTCCGGGTGTCCTCCAGGCTCTCCTCGCCCTCATTTGGGCTGAGACTCCTGCAGCAGGGTGCCCAAAGGATGAGAAGCTCCACATGCATCCGGGGACCCTAAACTCTAAGCCCTAAACCCCAAAAACTCAGCCCTAAACCCTAAACCCTAAAAGCTTTGTTTAAGCCGAAAGCCTATGACCCCGACAAGCAGGTGGCCCCAGACCTCCCTTCAAGACATGTCCGTTTCGCCTGCAAAGATCTGCCTTTGACCCTCTTCTCTTTACCCTTGAAACCCGACACCCAGCCATGGGTTTAGGGTTTAGGGTTTAGGGTTTAGGGTTTAGGGTTCAGGGTTTAGGGGTCTCGATTTAAAACCTGAAAACCATATGAGGAGAGCTGCAGGCCAGGGCCCGGACAAATGCGAGTTCTGAATGCTCAATGGGCTCAACTCGTCACTTTGCCCTGGAGGGGCCAGGGTAGCGGTTTGGGGTTCGGGGTTTAGGATCTATGTTAGGGTTTAGGGCTTGGGGCTTAGGTGGGTTCTCGTAGGTATAGACGCGGACGGGCCAGGCGAGGCATCAACATTTCCGCGTCTTCAGGCTGTGGCGGGAACTAGTTGAATCCGCAGTGTCAAGTCTTTCCCACGGCGCCGTGGTATTCACTTGGCAGTGACTTACATATACCACTACAGCCGCCGGCTCTGCTTTTAAGTGAAAGAGAGAGTCGCTACCAGAGCATGCTGCCGAGAGCTCAACCTTACACACTCAAGCAAATCCTACATGCCACAATAACAGCTCTACAACACCCCAAACCCCTATAGCTCGTGATAAGGGTTTAGGGTTTAGGGTTTAGGGTTTAGGGGGGCAAGGCGCCTCCCAGGTTGGAGCTCGCCGTTGACTTGAACGCGCTTGGGGTCCTTGGCGGTAGGAAAGATTAGGGTTTAGGGTTTAGGGTTTAGGGTTTAGGGTTTAGGGTTTAGGGTTTGGGGTTTGGGGTTAGGGCTCGTAGGGCTCTTAGGGCTCTTAGGGCTCTTAGGGCTCTTAGGGCTCTTAGGGCTCTTGGGGCTCTTGGGGCTTTTGGGGCTTAGGGTTTAGGTTAGGATGTTCCCCAGTATACTAACTAGCAGCCCTTATAGTAGGGATGATCGTACCCCCCACTTGCAGTCCCTATTCAGGGGGAGCATCCCAAGGTTTAGGGGTAAGGGTTTAGGGTTTAGGGTTTAGGGTTTAGGGTTTAGGGGTTAAGGTTTAGAGATTAGGGATAAGGGTTGTACATTTCGGGGGCAGGGCTGCGGGCTTCTGGACCAACACCTTGCCCCTCTTCATCTTACTACTTCACCGCAATGCCTCCAACCAGCCACTCCTAAGCAACCGCACCCTAAACCCTAAACCCTGAACCCTAAACCCTAAACCCTAAACCCTAAACCCTAATTGTAAAGATCAGTTGTTTTGAAAGGTCGTCAACGCTTCCTCTGACATGTATTTGGTAACAGCATGGCGGCCCTCTGCCTGGTGGCCTTCACTTGAACCTTCGCAGGGGACCAGTTATATATGCGGTTTAGGGTTTTTTTGGGGATTTCGGGAGACTGGTTTAGAGTTTTAGGGTTTAGGGTTTAGGGTTTAAGGTTTAGGGTTTAGGGTTTAGGGTTTAAGGTTTAGGGATTCCGAAAGTCCCGCCAATGGCGAAGCGCATGGACGTCATTCGTAAGCACACGGCCAGTTCTTTCGGTGCCTCACCAAACCCCATGCCCGAACCCCTTAACCATATACTGAACCCTATAGCGCTACAAGTGAACCTTAGAAGCCCTAAACCTGTTGAGGAGGAGCCCTACCAAGCTCGCGACCCATGATCCGAATCACCGGTGTCCTGTTGTCACAGATGGAAAGCAGAGGGATGATCGGTTCTGGCTTTACTTCAGGAACCCGATCCGTTGTCGCAGCCTACTTGGGAACTTCTAAGAATAACCTGCAACACACGGTAAGAGAGTTTAACCTAAGGTAACCCAGAGAAAAGATTGCCAAGGGCATCATGACTGTGGAGGTTCAGTGTAGAAGCCTTGGAAGATGAAGGTCAGTGCCCTTGCACGTGCTTAAGTGTCGGTTCGGCCATTCACTTCTTCACTTAGGAGGAAACGCAAGACACAACACCGGAACCCTAAGGAAAGCGGGGCTCTCTGCCCTGTGGTTGTGCAGAAGCCCATGTACTTGGACGCCCTTCAATTCAGGAATGGCGCCCGAAACCCTCCCGAAACCCCAAACCATTGAACCCCTAAACCCTTGAACCCCTAAACCCCGAAACACCGAAGAAGGTGAACCGCATCCATGTTTAAACCCTTAAACCCTAAAAGCCTTCAGCCCAGAACGCCTGAAGTCGAAGGACTCTGAAGGTTTCCTGCCTTGGAACCAGCCTGTTCACTCCGCGACTTCCTTGGACTTAGGGTTTAGGGTTTAGGGTTTAGGGTTCAGGGTTCAGGGTTCAGGGTTCAGGGTTTAGGGTTTAGGGTTTAGGGTTTAGGGTTTAGGGTTTAGGGTTTAGGGTTTTTTGAATGATCCCGAGGTTTACAAGGCTTGTAGCCTGGGACTCTACTCTTCCTGAAGTCTTGATGGGGTTTGCTCCTACGACTTCAGGGATAGTGACTGCTAAGCTGTGGTAGGGTTTAGGGTTTAGGGTTTAGGGTTTACTGAGAATTAGTTTTTTTACACGTACGTGTAAAAAAACTAATTCTCAGACTGCTAAGCTGTGGTAGGGTTTAGGGTTGAGGGTTGAGGGTTGAGGGTTGAGGGTTGAGGGTTGAGGTACAGGGTCCTTTGGGGTTTAAGATCCCGGTAAGCAGGCGGCCTTGCACCGGCCTGAACCTTGTGGAAAACATGAACCTTACTACCACAACCCTCTTAGGGTTTAGGGTTTAGGGTTTAGGGTTTAGGGTTTAGGGTTTCGGGTTTAGGGTTTAGGGTTTCTGGTTTCGGGTTTCGGGTCTAGCGTGGCGCGGCTCCAGGATATTGAGGGGTCTAGAGTCTGCAGACCCCCGCGGAGGCCCTAAGACCCACAAACCCAGAAAACCTAACCTGCACCTAAGGAATGGAATTAGGTGCCTTCTATCCTCCTATTCAAACAACACTTTCAGGGATGATATAGGGTCCCTACTTCCCTCATTCCCTACTACGAACCAGTTTACAGTAAACCCCAAAAAGTGGGAAACCTTTTTGAGGACAACTAGTGCTGGGATTCCCTATACTTTACTCTTAGGGATTGAGGCGATTGAGTTTCCAACCTTCTTGGCTTCTACTACATACGACTGTATAATCTGATGAAGGTATATGAACCATAAACCCTCTTAGGGTTCATTTCGTCCCGAAGGAGGTACAAACTGCAGCAAGGGGTCCCTTGGGTCGACTGCACCTTCTCACGGGTCAATCGGTCGGCCGTGCGTTGCTGGGCGAGGTTAAACTCCTCAGGCTCGCGGATGGTGCAGTCGAAGGCTTCTAGGACATTGGGGGGTTTTAGGGGGCTTTGGTTTAGGGGGTTTAGGGGGTGTTAAGGGGTTTTAGGGGGGTTTTGGGGTTTAGGGGGTTTAGGGGAGTAGTTCCTTTTGGAGGCCTTTGCTTCCGAGCCAAAACTGTATCTTGGGGATGCACAAACTGCATTGCAAGTGCAAGATGATCAGAACATACGGCGCTCCCAAAAATGGAAAGTACAGGTGGTATTTAGAGCTTCTCAGATTTTCAAACGGCTTGGGGTTTATAGGGTTTACAGGGGAGAAGAGGGCTTGTGGCCACCCCCTTCACTGACCCACACGCTGCATGCAGGAAGCACTTTCTAGTTCTCAGCAAGACCTGCAAAAGGGCATGTTTTGTCATTCGGTCCCCTACCCTAAATACGAAACCTCAAACCCTAGACCCTAAAGCCTGGCTTCAACTCCAAACCCAATATACTTCCCCTCTACAGGGCCTGACCATAAAAGGGCCTGGGTCATGCTGGGAGGCCTTTCCCCAAGTATGCGCTTCAAGAGCATACATGCTTCAAACTTCAAACTGCGTCCTCAGTGGCGGCGGCCAAGCACTGCACTTGCTTGGTGCTTATATAGATGCTTCCAAGATACTAAACCAGCAATGAAACGGTTGGCATGAAAACCCTTGCACTTTCTAGGCGCGTAGAAAATGCGCGCGCGACTTCTTGGAAACAGTTCTCCGAGTGATTTATTACACATCCACAAACATTGGATGTGACTTTCATCACTGCCGGTAGGGGCTTTTCTTGCAGCTGGGACTCAGTTACTAACTTGCATTAAAATCAACCCTTCTGCATCAGGTTGTCGCCTGGCTTTACCCGATGGACCCAAAACCCTAGGGTTTACCTTTGCCTGGCGAGGGTGTTGCAGAGATCATGTGCTGGCTTTCTCAGAGGAGTTGTGTCCGACCATGGGTACCAGTGGTGTGAAACACGCCAAGCACTTCAAAAAGCTTGCACGCACCACTAAATCTGTGAACCTCGGACCCCTCCGCATGTGGAACTCCAACACGTAATGAAAGGTTCTGGGGCTGCCACGCCCTTCGCAACTCGCGGGAGAGTGACAGGGAACCTGTGCCAAACAAGCTTTGCTGAGGGCAAGGTTGCTTGAATTCAGGCCTTGTCGCGCTCGGGGCAAAGAATCCTAATATATGCAGTTGCATCAGGATATATATATATATATATATACATATGTACTAGCATATACAGATGTGTAAACACTTCCTTCTTTGCAATTGCAAAGGTGGCCCAAAGTATGATTTCTCACGACCACTTGTATATCAAATCCTAGATCCAACTCAAGGGCGAAGAAGGCTCAGATTCTTTAGGGTTTAGGGTTTAGGGTTTAGGGTTTAGGGTTTAGGGTTTAGGGTTTAGGGTTTAGGGTTTAGGGTTAGGGTTCACAGTTCCAGTAGCAGGAGTACCATTGTATCGTGCACATCACCTTTTCTGCATCAGGTCTCCTCACCACTGCCTGCCTTGACCCTAAACCCTAAACCCTAAACCCTAAACCCTAAACCCTAAACCCTAAACCTTAAACCCCAAGCCCCAAACCCTAAACCCTAAACCATGTACCCTCGAGATTCTAGGAGTGGTCCTGAAGATCCGGAAGCATTGGGCTCCAGGCGACTCGCCGTACTTGTTCTCGAACCTTTCAAGGCCTCTGCCGAAACGTCCGCTGGGGGTGGCAAGCTTCCGCTTTAGGGTTTAGGGTTTAGGGTTTAGGGTTTAGGGTTTAGGGTTCAGGGTTCAGGGTTCAGGGTTCAGGGTTCAGGGTTTAGGCTTCAGGGTTTCGGGTTTAAGGATTATATCGGGTTTAGGCTTTAAATGGGGCTTAGGGTTAGGGTTCAGGGGTGGCAGGTCCAGGGATGAAGGTTGATGTACACCGATGCCCTAAAAGAAGCGCGCCGCAAGCGAGCGTAGACAGATACTTGCAGCAGACGGGGAGTTTGGGGGTTTAGGGTTTAGGGTGGGCTCAGGTCGTTCAGGTTATTTGGGTGTCTTTCAGGCAACAAAAACCCTACACCCTATGAACCTTGAACCCTAAACCCTGAACCCTCAACCCTAAACCCGAAACCCAAAACCCTTTATTCCCATGCTTGATCAACCCGCTCGCGTAAGAAGGCCTCGCGGCTTGACTCCAAGCATACGGTAATACCTGCCGCTGGGAAGTGACTGGGGGGCGGGGTCGTGAGGGGTTTCAGGGTTCAGGGTTCAGGGTTCAGGGTTTGGGGTTTAGGGTTTAGGGTCCTTGTACTAACATCACAGGGATTAGAGTACCCCCTAATAATGATAATCCCGACGAAGGACTGTGAGTAGAATTGGGAACATCCCAAGTTTAGGGTTTCGGGATACTGGTTGGGGGTGCATATTAGCCCCCTGGACCCTGAAACCCTGCATGCCCAAAACCCAAACCCCCTTTAAGCCTTGCAACCTGAACACCGAATCCTAATCATGTTTAGGGTTTAGGGTTTAGGGTTTAGGGTTTAGGATTTAGGGTTTAGGGTTATCCCTGCGCAAAACGCTGAACCTCACAAAGCAAAACTCCGGACCAACTCGCACTCTGCTTGGGAAAACTGGTCACAGAACACGCCGGTCGGGCTTATGCCCAGGCCCTAAAGGTTGGGGCCGGGATTCGGGTTTAAGGTTTTTTTTGGTTTAGGTGGAGATGCCACTGCTTTCTAGACCCAATCCCAACATCGCTCAGCATTGAAGTAGGTCGAGCCGATACTCCCTCCAAACGCGGATCCCTGAGTTTGTGCCTCAAGTGTAGCTCCTGCTTCCCTTGTTGGCACCGTGGCGAATAAGCCCCTGTTGATAACCCCACCCAAGGGCCCACTTCAAGTGGAACACCCATGAACCATACCGACCCTGAACCATACCGACCCTTACCCTAAACCCGATAACCCCGACAAACCCGATAAACCCGACGAGACCCTGTAGGGCCTAAACCCTTAAAACCCTACATAAGCCCTATAAACCGCATCAATCCTAGAAACCCCAAAAGCCCTGTAAACCCCATACACCCTATAAATCCTGTGAACCCTCTGAACCCCACAAACCCTAGAAACCCTAGAAACCCTGAACCTGCACCCCGAGAGTGAGGGGCGAGAAAGAGAGAGAGAGAGAGAGAGAGAGAGAGAGAGAGAGACGAGAGAGAGAGCGAGAGAGAGAGCGAGAGAGAGAGAGAGAGTTGGGGGAGGCGCAAGACGATCTCCTGTGGAAGCTCCTTGGCGGGAATGGAGGTGTCGAGTCTTGGGCCGTGCTTCATCGGCTGGGGGACTTGAGGGTCTGGATACTACTACGTAAAGAGCATGAATTCTAAGGGTAGCTACATGGTCCCTTAGTATGGGCCCTTAAAAGGGTACAGTACCCCTAATGTGCCCCTAATATACCCCCTTTAAAGGTTAGGGATGGATCTTGCGGGTCCATGAAACTACCCTCAGATGCGTGATGTTCTGGTTGTCCCTATCCCTATGCTAGTTCTTAATTGTTCCTGATCTTACTGCGATGGTTGCAATAATTATTCTGATTGTGGTACATGTCCATTGTGATGATAATTGTTCATACGGTTTGTGGCTTATGACCCTTTTTTACGGCTAACCCTCAACCCCATACAGCATGACATTTTGCCCCGCAAAACAAAACTTGAAAGGGATTTGGGTTAAGATTTGCGGGGGGCATTTCCCTAAAGAGGGGTGGGTGCCCTGCAGCATTCCGCATGCCTCAGCAATCTCCGAATACTGCCTTCCTCCTTTGTAGGTTTGTTTTCCGAGCCCAGCCGTGGTTGCGCAGCGTTTAGGCCCCAACCTGAACCCAAAACCCTGAAACCCTAGAAACCCTAGAAACCCTAGAAAGCCTTTGAAACCCTAGAAACCCTATTAACCCTTTTTTTTCCCCTAAACCGCCCAAACCAAGAGAGGTGCCATGTACCCTTGCATTGGGAAACTCCGACTGAGGGGATGTGGCTTGCAGAGAAGGGGTTGCTGGTCGTTTCCCGCCTCCAGGGCGTTCGGGTTGAGGGGCTGAAGGGAAAACATTTTTCTAGGGTTTTAGGGTTTAGGGCTTTGATTGAAAGCTCCGACAGTTTGAAGGTTTAGAGGTACGCGTTCCCAGGGGCTTGGCTTTGTAAAGTTGGAGCTGCCAACATGATACGAATTCATACCTCATGTCTTTCATTTTGAAATCATCCCGTCGTTTCTACTGCTAGTTACTACTATTTGCTTAAGAAGCCCAAAAGAAATATAACAATAATCCTACTGTTACCCTTATGAGGAATACTTTTCTTATAATTTTGGGGGGGTTCTTACGCAAATAGTAAAGTATTCTGGGCTGTACCTCAGCTTCTGCAAATTCATTCGACAAGCGGCAGCAAGCGTGGCTGCAACAAGACCTTCTGGATCGTTCTCGTACCTTCCACCGGCCCGCGTGCTCGACCCCCTAAACCCCATAAACCCTAAACCCTCCAAGCCCTAACCCCTAACCCCCGTTGCTGAAGGTGCTCCCGACATCAAGAGCGTGGCGTCCATGCAGGTGACTTTTTTGTGGCGCAACCCAGTCGAAGTAGATTCGGTCCAGGCGTTGGAGTTGCAATGCGAACTTCACCAAACTCCTGTCCGCGTGGTTCCGCAACCTTGGTGATGAGTTTGAGGAGTCGCTGGGGTTTTAGGGGGCCCCAACCCTAAACCCTAAACCCTAAACCCTAAACCCTAAACCCTAAACCCTAAACCCTAAACCTGGAGCCTTCGACTTTCGGCAGCTCCCAAGGCTCGAAGGCATAGAGCACCCCTTGCTGCTTATCCCACGGCGCGGAACTTTGACTAAATCTCCTACCTTGGGCTGTTAGGGTTTAGGGTTTAGGGTTTAGGGTTTAGGGTTATTCACAATCCTGAATAGGGATTATAACAGGGGGTACTATACTCCCTATTCGGGACTGTTAGTATAAGGGGAGCATCCCAACGCCCGCCTCGTAAGGCCTAATGGCACAAGGATTCAATATAATCCCTACTAAGGACTGTTAGTATAAGGGGGAACATCCCAAACCAAAGCATTTGAAAAGCGCTAAGTAATGGAGTCTTGGGCCTTTAGGAAAGGACAGCCAACATAGTAATCGTTGAAAGTTCAGCCGCTGTGGCTAAAGCCCGGCCGCCCAGCCATCACGGCATTCAACTGTGTACCCATGAGGTATAGAGCTTTGCACCTAGGGGATCCCCTGCTTACCCCCCTCCCTCCTTAGATAACTTTAAATTTATATATAGCCTTAAGTATGGGGGAACTTAGGGGGGTAGTATAGAGGGGGGTAGTAGCCCTAAACCCTAAACCCTAAACCCTAAACCCTAAACCCTAAACCCTAAACCCTAAACCCTAAACCCTAAACCCTAAAGATGGGGTAGGGAACCCATGATGTAAGCTTCACGGCCGAGCTTGAGGCAGGTGGCCGCAGTTCCAACCGGGAGGGTGCCGAGAGGTTCACCGAGTTGAAGCGGAAGGGATGCGCTGCGCCATCTCCTGCGATGGGCTTTCAGAGGGTTAGGGTTTAGGGTTCAGGGTTCAGGGTTCAGGGTTTAGGGTTTAGGGTTTAGGGCTGCGCCATCTCCTGCGATGGGGTTTCAGGAGGGTGGTGATACAGGGAGGGCCTCTTATGAGTAACTCTAAACCCTAAACCCTCAAACCCTTAAACCTTAAACCCTTGAACCCCGAAACCCTAAACCGAAGCATGGCAAGCCTGCAGGGGCCCTTCATAAAGGTTGCTTAGAAGTATACGATCACTTGGCTGATAAGCCTGGGCCTTATAACTTCCAGGCTCCCATCTTTCTCATCATCCTCCACGTCCCAGGGACCAGATGATGAAAGTTGCAGTCGTGGGTTTAGGGTGTAGGGCGGGAATCATGATAACAGAATAGAGTAGGAAAACATGCTGCTGTTTTCGGAGGTCTCTGAAGCCTCTGCCGTTGCCAACTCTCCCCCACTTCCCCCCCCCCCCCCCAAAACCGGGTCTATTGTAGCAAAACCGGGTCTATTTAGAAGCTGGGGCTTGTGATTTATAATACAGGTCCATATACCTAAATGTAATAAACCTAGAAGAGCACGGCTTCTAAATAGACCCTACGGTCGGATTTCAAAAGGACGTTGGCAGAAATTAATAATTTTAATAATTTTAATAATTTTAATAATTTTAATAATTTTAATAATTTTAATAATTTTAATAATTTTAATAATTTTAATATTTTTAATAATCCTGAGAGGCTCCCGGAAAATTAAAATTATTAACAATATTAAAATTCTTAAAATTATTAATTTCTGCCCTGAGAGGCTCCCGGAAAATTAAAATTATTAAAATTATTAAAAATATTAAAATTATTAATTTCTGCCATGAGAGGCTCCCGGAAAATTAAAATTATTAAAATTATTAAAATTATGAAAAATTCTGAAAATTATTAAAATTATTAAAATTATTGATTTCTGCCCTGAGAGGCTCCCGGAAAATTAAAATTATTAAAATTATTAAAATTATTAAAATTATTAAAATTATTAAAATTATTAATTTCTGCCCTGAGAGGCTCCCCGAAAATTGAAAATATTAAAATTATTAAAATTATTAAAATTATTAAAATTATTAAAATTATTAAAATTATTAAAATTATTAATTTCTGCCCTGAGAGGCTCCCGGAAAAATAAAATTATTAAAATTATTAAAATTATTAAAACTATTAAAATTATGAAAATTATTAAAATTATTAAAATTATTAAAATTATTAAAATTATTAAAATTATTAATTTCTGCCCTGGGAGGCTCCCGGAAGATTAAAATTATTAAAAATATTAAAATTTTTAAAATTATTAAAATTATTAATTTCTGCCCTGAGAGGCTCCCGGAAAATTAAAATTATTAAAATTATTAAAATTATTAAAATTATTAAAATTATTAAAATTATTAAAATTATTAAAATTATTAAAATTATTAAAATTATTAATTTCTGCCCTGAGAGGCTCCCGGAAAATTAAAATTATAAAAATTAAAAAAAAAATTAAAATTATTAAAAAGATTAATTTCTGCCCTGAGAGGCTCCCGGAAAATTAAAATTATTAGAATTATTAAAATTATTAAAATTATTAAAATTATTAATTTCTGCCCTGAGAGACTCCCGGAAAAATAAAATTATGAAAATTATTAAAATTATTAAAATTATTAAAATTATTAATTTCTGCCCTGGGAGGCTCCCGGAAAATTAAAATTATTAAAAACATTAAAATTTTTAAAATTATTAAAATTATTAAAACTATTAATTTCTGCCCTGAGAGGCTCCCGGAAAATTAAAATTATTAAAATTATTAAAATTATTAAAATTATTAAAATTATTAAAATTATTAAAATTATTAAAATTATTAAAATTATTAAAATTATTAAAATTATTAAAATTATTAATTTCTGCCCTGAGAGGCTCCCGGAAAATTAAAATTATTAAAATTAGTAAAATTATTAAAATTATTAAAAATATTAATTTCTGCCCTGGGAGGCTCCCGGAAAATTAAAATTATTAAAATTATTAAAATTATTAATTTCTGCCCTGAGAGACTCCCGGGAAATTAAAATTATTAAAATTATTAGAATTATTAAAATTATTAAAATTCTTAAAATTATTGAAATTATTAAAATTATTAAAGTTTTAATTATTAATGGTTTCATAATTTTAATAATTTTAATAATTTTAATAATTTTAATAATTTTAATCATTTTAATAATTTTAATAATTTTAATTTTCCGGGAGCCTCTCAGGGCAGAAAATAATAATTTTAATATTTTTAATAATTTTAATAATTTTAATAATTTTAATTTTCCGGGAGCCTCTCAGGGCAGAAATTAATAATTTTAATAATTTTAATAATTTTAATAATTTTAATAATTTTAATAATTTTAATAATTTTAATAATTTTAATTTTCCGGGAGCCTCTCAGGGCAGAAATTAATAATTTTAATAATTTTAATAATTTTAATAATTTTAATAATTTTAATAATTTTAATTTTCGGGGAGCCTCTCAGGGCAGAAATTAATAATTTTAATAATTTTAATAATTTTAATATTTTTAATTTTAATAATTTTAATAATTTTAATAATTTTAATAATTTTAATAATTTTAATTTTCCGGGAGCCTCTCAGGGCAGAAATTAATAATTTTAATAATTTTGATAATTTTAAATGTACTTTTTTAGCTTAGAATCAGTAAAAACTGAAAATTTGCTCAAAGAATCCTACAACATAGTAAAAAATCGCAAAAATTGACCAATTTTGGGGGCCCGTGTAGTATAAAATCAAATAAAAAACGGTACGTGAGAATGCCTTCAGATGCAGGAGAAAAGAGTACCCAGAAACCGCGGTATCATCTCCAAAAAATGACAAAAACACACCGTACTCTCCTACGCGATCCTACGCGCTATCCTGCATTCCTTCCTCTTTGTCTTTGGTTCGGAAAAGAAAGGAACGGCTACCAGCCTCCCTCCCGACTTACATCTTTACATTCTCTTGTTTCGTCCTGCTCACCCGGAAAGAAGGTCTGCCTCCAGTCTTTCCTCGCCTCCCTGCTCACTATTATGAGTTCCTTTCACTTCTCTTCTGTTGCTTACATTCTTCTCAAAAGTGTGAAAGGTGCGGGGGACATCCCTTTCACTTTGTCTCTTCTGGGGAAATTCCCAATTGCAGGAGGCTCTCTCTCCTTGTCTTTGTTCTGTGTTCATATAGGGAATGAAGATAGAAGATGAATAAATAAGAAAGAATCAAGTCTATAATGTCCTCTATCCGTGTCTCTTGTGATTTCTTCAATTCCTATCTCTGCAGATTCTTCAAAATGGAAGGCGGACTTCTTCCTCCAACCAAAAGCGACCTTCTCAAAAAGAAGACAAGAGACGAACATCAATCACCGGAACCTGACTCCTAATCTCCTGTGTTTCCTTGCCTCTTTCCTCGCTATTCTCTCTTCCTTTCTTCTCTCCCGGTGCTTACATTCCCATCAACATGAAAATTGAGGGGGCAGCGCATCCCTTTCCTTTCCCCATCAAAGAAAGGCTGCCTTCCTATCCGCGTATGTTCTTCCCTCTTCCTTCCGAAAAGACTATAAGAGGTAGGGGTAAACAGAATGAAAGAGGAGTCTCCTGTTGCTTTCCGACTACCTTCTCACCACAAAAAGGAACCTTCCCACTCTTCCCTACTTTCTTTCTTTTATCTTTTTGCACTTTACGTTTCCCGCTGAGAAAATGAGACGTTTCCCACTGAGAAAATGAGACAATGATGACAATAAGGAAAAAAGATCACCTGCCTGTATTTTCAGACCTGTCCGCTGCATCTTTTCCCTTTACATCGCAGATTGAAGGAAAGCAAAAAAGTCAGAGGGAAGAATCCCTTTCCCTACCTTTCCCAGTACATTCCTTGTGCTTTCCATGTTCTTTGGAATTGCTTTGTTCTTCAGCAAGGAAAAGCGCAACTTCCCTCTCAATTTCATGTTTCCATTTCTCCGATGTCTTTTTCATTCAAGAAGCAAGCGGAGGGGCTGCCTCCTGTGTTTCCTTGCCTCTTTCCTCGCTATTCTCTTTTCCTTTCTCTTCTCTCTTGGTGCTTACATTCTTATGAAAAACGTGAAAGTTGTGGGGGCATCCCTTTCGCTTTCTCTCTTCTGGGGAAATTCCCAATTGCAGGGGGCTCTCTCTCCTTGTCTGTCTTCTTTTCTCATACATAGGGAAAGGAGAAAGAAGATGAAGAACTAGGAAAGAATCATTTCCACACATTCCTCTATTCCTACTGTCCGGAGATTGGCAAGCTTTCGGAAGCTCTGGTCTCTAGTCACGCCTGACCAAAGTCAACTTCCCGTGCGTGAGGGCCATATGTGAGGGGCCAGGAGGGGGGCAGAAAGTCGGAATATGGTAGTGTTTCGAGTTTCAAATTCGTTTCCATAGTTTCAAATTAGTCTCAAGTCAGTTTCAAACTAGTTTCAAAATCCAGTTGAAATATCGCTGTTAAGGAGGAGCTGCAATTTCTGTCCGCGCTTGTTGAAAACCAGAACCTCTAGAGATTCCTGCATTTTTTGCAATTGCGCGTAGAAAAACGCAGTTTCCCCTTAACAACGAATTCGCAACTGGATTTTGAAACTGTTTTGCAACTAGTCTGAAACTACAGAAACGAATTTGAAACTTGAAGAACGCAGCATTTCTGCTCCCTGGCGCTTGGCCACGCCCAAGCAAGAGGAGGCTAGAAGCCGCGGCTCGCGAAACCAGCAACAACTCTTGCCAAGGCAGCCACGCAATCACAAGTCAGTAAATTATCTTGTCTGAGACTGTGTCTCTTCTGAGTTGTTCTATTCCTTTCTCTGCATCCTTTCTTCTTCTCACTTGTCCTTTCACTTTTCTTTTGTCTCTTCTCACTCCAACCAAAAGGGAAATCGCAAGGGAGTCATATAGGGAAAGGAGACAACGTGAAGAAATAAGAAAGAATCATTTCCATATTGTCCCCTATTCCTGTCTCTAAATCTGCAGATTTTTCAGAATGGAAGGAGGGCTTCTTTCTCCCTCTCACTTTTCCTTTCGCTTTTCTTTATATTTTCTCACTCCAACCAAGCAGACAAGGGAGAGGGGTGAGAGATAGAACGCCCTTTACCTTCTCAAAACATAGAGAGGTGACGAAAATCAATCACGGAAACCTATCCTGCCTTCCTTCCTCTTTGTCTTTGGTTCGGAAAAGAAAGGAACGGCTACCAGCCTCCCTCCCGACTTACATCTTTACATTCTCTTGTTTCGTCCTGCTCAACCGGAAAGAAGGTCTGCCTCCAGTCTTTC